CCTAGATAGCTACTAGCTAATCTGCTACTTACTCTAGCGTGCTATTTTCTAGTAGGATACTATAAGTGTATACTAGTAGGCGCTTATATTACTTCTTAGCTAGATAGGCTAGGCAGTTAGTAAGTAGTTATAAAAAGGCTACGTTTTAATCCTAAATTATCTATATTAGCTTTATAATAAATAAAGTAGATAGGCTAGATAAGGGTAGTTCTAATAGCTTTAGTTTAATTTAGTAAGTAGTTACTTTTAGAGGTAATAAGGGGCAATATAAAGATAAGAGATAAGAGATAAGATAAGATAGGAGATAGGAGATAAGGAATATAGTTATAATATAATATATTGTATTTCTTGCTTATAGAACTTATACTAGCTGCCTAGATAGAGGGAGAAAAGGGGAATATTTATACTTATTTCCTAAGGATATTTTAGATATTTAGAGATATCTAGAGGTTTCTTCTAGATTCTAAGTTATTATTTAGGTTTATTAATTAAGTTATTATCTAGTTAGGTTATTTAGTAAAACACCTCGCTTATATAGTTTACTCTAGAGTGTTTTATTACTAAAGTAACTCCTTAAGAGAATAGTGCTCTTCTTAGAAGTACTATTCTTTATATAGTAATATTCTTATCTTTTATTATATATAGTAGAATTCAGAGTAGTTATATAGATATAGAGTGTATATAGTGTATACAGTATTATTAATACTGTATTATATATTATACTTATATTTAATTCTACTTTATTATTTATAAGTTTTATAAGGTATTAAAGCTTAATACCTAACAGTTACTAAAGAGTGTATTAATTATAATAGTTAGGATTATAATAATTTATTATCTATTTCTAGCCTAATCCCTTTTAGAGGTAGAAGTTAAATAATTATAAGATATATTAGCTAAAAGCCTAGATTAAGGAAGAAGATAGACGTTAAATTAATTAAATTAATAGGTAGGGGTATCTATAGATATAGAATTTAACTTAGCTACTTTAGCTAGCTAGCTAGGCTAAAAGGTAATATATATATATATATATTACTAGCTAGGCTAATATATTACTAATTAGCTAGTAATTAACTAATCTATAGGCATCCCGCCCCTTAGCCTAGAGATATTATTATATAAGTAGTAGCCTACTTAAAAAAAAGGGCGCCCTAGGCCTTAATAGCCTTAGTCTGCTCCTTAAGAAGTGCGTTTTAGTGCTAGAGCGCTATAGTAGCTACCTTAGCTAACTTAGCTAGGGAGGTAGTAGTAGTAGTAAAAGCCTTAAGGGCTATAACCTTATAGCTATAGAGGAGCTACTCCTCCTCTTTAGCCTTAGCTTTACGCTTAGTGTTAGGGGCCTTAGTAGTATCTACTTTTTTTTAAAAGGCTTTTTTAACTATAGTCTAGGTAATAGTAACCTCTTTTTATATAAAGGGTTAGTTAAGAGGTAGTTATAAGGTACTAAAAAAAATATACCTTATAGTAGTAGTAGTTAGTATATATAGTGCTATTATAGTAAAAGGCCTTAAAAATGTTCTTAAAGGTAAAAGTAGTAAAAGTTATAGTATAAGTAGCTTATAAAAGGTTAGTAAGGGGTTACTAAAGTACTTTTTATTAGTAAAAAGAGGATAATAATATAAAAATACTTATATAAATATACTTTTTACTATATATCTTAGTATACTAAAAGTACTTATTACTAGTAGCTAATAGTATAATTAAGACTAAAATATAAGTAAAAAAGGGCCCTTAAAGGGCACTAAGGTATTAGACACTTACTAGTAGTCTTAAGGTAGTAAAGAAACTTAGCTTTAATATTAGCTATATTTATATACTAAATAGATATAGCCTAAAAGTAGTAGTAATATAAAATAAAATAAACTATAGTATAGTTATTTTTATTTTTTTATTTAAAAAGCTAATAAACTAAGGGGGTAGTAAGGGGGTAGTAATAAGGCCTTTAGTGCCTTTAGAGGTAGTAAGGGTAGTAGTATTAGTAGTAATAGTAGTGTTAGTAAGGGTAGTAGTAAATATAATAGTAGTAGTAAGGGAGCTAGTAGTACTAGTATTATTACTAGTACTATTACTATTACTATTACTACTAAGTAGTAGTAGTAATAGTAGTAATAAAAAAAATAATAATAATATAAAGGTATTATAAAAAAAATAATAAAGAAATTAATAAAAACCTAAGTTAATTTAAATTACTTATTTTAAGTTAATATTAAGAAAAAGGCTAGTTATAATAATAACTTAAGCTTATAAAGTTAAGACTAAATAAGCCTTAGTAAAAAAAGCTAGCTAAGACTAAAAGATTACTAGTACTAACTATAAAAAGTAAAGTAAGGATTCTCCCTTATTATAAAAGTAATATAACTTAAAGCTTAATAAATAGTTAATAAAGAAGCTAGATATTATAATAATAAGAATAATAAAAAGTATATAGTACCTAAAGAGGTACTATAAGGCTTAGTTAATAAAAGGTATTAAAAGGTATTATAAGTAAGTAAAGTGTCTTTATTATAAAGTAAGTAGTCCCTTACTAAGTAGGGTAATATAAGACTTATACTTTAGGCTAAAAGACTAGACTATACTAAGGGGGTAGTAGTTAGGGCCTAACTAAAACGTAATAGTATAAAGGTAAGGCTAAAGGCAGATAGTTAGCTAGGAAGATAACTACCTATCTAGTAGCCTGCTAGGCCTAGTAGGCGTTCCTAGACGTCTTTTAAGATACTAAAGGATAGGCGTAAGGTATAAGGCTTAGCTATTAGACAGTTTAAGTAGCTAATAGGGGGGCTACTAGCAGATAGCCTGCTTAAGGTCTTAAGGGCAGGACCTTAAAGGGGGGGGATTATATTAGGTGCTTAGAGCGGGGCCCTAGAGGGGCACTAGAGTAGGACTAGGACTAGATAAACTAGTTACTAAAAGAATAATAAAAGGGGAAAACTCTATAGAAGATAGGGGTTAGAGGAGGTATATTAGAATAATTATTATAATTAAACCCTAACTACGCCTATTACTAACTCCTTTACTTAATACTATCTCTGCCTCTAATAGGTATCCCCTACTACTAAAGGAAGGCACTAGTATAATAAGGCAGGCTTTACTACTTCTTAAAGGCCTTATAGGTAGCTAGATATTACTTATAAAGGATCCTAAAGGTATAAAAAGAAATTTTATATATTAATAGTTATAATAACTAAATTTAGCTAGTAGGTATATAGTAAGAACGTTTAGCTTTATATTAAGTATAGTAGTTAGCTATTTTTTAGTTAACTATTTCTTATATTTTTATATAAAGGGTATAGAGGTTAGTAAGGCAGTAGGTAAGGTATAACTTTAACTTATAATATACCCCTTTAGTAGGTAATATAGTCCTAACGCTATAGTTATAAAGGTAATAGATTTTAAAGTTAGTAAATTTATAGACTAGTAGGATATATATTATCTATAGATACTAAATTATTACTAAAGAAGTTAGCTAAAATTTAGGATATATAGATATAATAAACCTAGCTAGTTAGTAAATTACTACTTAAGGGATTTTTACCCTTTCTAAAAGATATTAATAGTACTTATATAAACATAAGCCTACTATATAGTAACTAGCCTATCTAGATTATATAAATACACCTTCTTATTAGAGCTCTAAATATCTACTTATTATTATTATTATTATTATTAATAAGTAAGGTTAGTAGTAAGGGTAGTAGCTATAGCCTTATTAGCCTTAAGGGCTTATAGGCCTTCTTACTTCTTCTTTACGTTTAAAAGTACGTTTTTTATTATATACTATACGTAAAGTTACTGCTTTATATCTATAAAGACCTCCCTAATAGTACGCTTTAATCCTATATTAAAATTAGTAATTATAACGCCTAGGTTAGGGATATTACTATAAAGGAGTAATTTATATAGTTAGAGTAGCACCTAGTAGTAAAAGTTAGTTATTTTAGTAGATATAAAGCAAAAGCCTATATTAAAGGTAGTATTAATAGTAGTAAGGCTAACTACCTAAAAAAGCAGTATTTAAAAGCAGTTAACTTACTAGGTATACGTTAGAAAACAGCAAGAGTAAGTAATATTTTTTTATATACCTTACATATATTATTTATTATTAGTAGCTCTAGATACCTTTTTAGTATATCTAGGTAGAGTTAGTACGTCTAAAAAACACTATTAATTTTACTATCTTTACTATAGTAAATATAGTAAAAAGGAATATTATTACGTTACTTAAGCTCTTAAATAAAAAGTTATATAGAGAATAATAGGCTATATTTACTCTTATATAGCTTATATTAGAGGTTATATATATATATTAACTATTAATAATTACCTTCTTAGTATTAGCTAGCTGCTTAGTAATCTGCTATAAGGTTATATTATTATAGCTAGATAGCTCTTTAACGCGCTTAGTAATTATCTTTTACTAGAGGCCCTCCTAAGCAGTATTAAAAGCAGCCTCCTTATCACTTAACTACTAGAAGCTAGTAACTATAGTAAACACAGTTTTAGCATAAGGCTTATAGTTATAAAGGTCCTTACTATTAAGAATCTCCTAATACTATATATTATTAATACGCTAGATCTTACCTTTAAATTAGTAGTTAGTTTATTTTAATAATATATTATATTATATCTACTAAAGTAAGTAATTACTAGCCTGCTTATAGGTAAAGTTAAATTAAGTGCGCTTATTACTCTAGCCTTTTGCTTAAAGGGCAATACCCTTATTATAATAGTAACCCTATACGCGTCGCTAGCACTCTTTAAAAGTTAGGTATAAGGGCTCTATCTTAGGCATTATAGGTGTCTGTTAGTAATGGTAGATTTATAGCAAAAAGGGCGTTTTTTGCATGGGTTATGGACTATAGCGGTGGCGGTGGTGGCAGTACCTTCCAAAATAGGCTTAAATCACTGGCATACTACCAAAAGTGCACTGGCATTTTACCGGCAACCACAAATGGGGTCGTCTCGCCGGCGTGTGGCTTCTGGGGTCGTACCCGGTCGGCTTCATGGTCATCCTCGGTCTCCTGTCGACCAACGTTGCCGGGGGGCACGAAGCGGTCGGTCGCCTCGGGCTGGGTGTTCGTATGCTGCTGCGTCGGGCAGATCGCGGGCCCCCAGTTCTTCAAAAGCACCGAGGCCCCCGCCTACCACGACGGCATCGTGGCTATGCTATGTGGTTTCATTTTGAACCTCGTCCTCAATCAGGTCCTCAGGCTCATCTACGCGGCGGAGAACAAGCGGCGGGACAGGCTGCTCGAGGGCAAGTCCGAGGGGGAGATTGCGGACATGCAAAGGGAGGGCGAGGTGCTGGGGTTCGAGGACGTGACGGACAAAGCCAACGTAAGTGACACTTCCGGTACGTCCTTTGACACCAGATATCGGGCATTTCAGGTTCATTGAGCGTGCTTGAATGACTCGAACCTCGGAATAGACTGCAATGTCCCCTCTGTAGCGCAGCCGAAGCAGAAAATCACATGCAAAACGCAGCATATTCGTGGCTCAATATAAAGAGGAGATCAGAGTAGGGTTGCTTCCGCTCCGCCCCTTGCATGTGTTTTGGAGAAATCTTTAAGTTGGCCCAGCACTACTCGGTAGGGCGTCTGGCGAGATTCGGGGATGGAAATGATGGGTCACATTGCCCACTGGCCCGTAATTGCTGTGCAGGTTTATCGGGCCGAAAACAATAGGAGTACTCTGTACCTGGTTTCTTCAAGAGCATAAACCGAGCACTCACCCGGATTTACACCTATGCACAGCATGAGCTTGGCTGACGAGCCGCACTTAGGCGTGAAGGTTGGGCTTGGATCCCCGGAGCCAAGTCCGTAAAGGCCCCATGTCGCCGCCGCAACGGGACCAAATACGGGGATTTTTGTTACCCAAGTCGTCGTCAGCCTCCCCTCGGGGTTTTCTTCTTCCCTTGTATCGATCGTCCTTTTTGCCAGTCGACGAACGAGGGGGAAGAGGGGGATGCTGCGTGACGGAACACAGGACCGTTGTTTCCGTACTACTACCGCCGTGTTCACAAGCTACGACGAAGGTGCAAGAACAACAGGGTTGATGCCTGTTTCTCGCTATCTAACAGAGGAGGGGGGGGGGGCTTCTGAATCCATAGTATTTGTAGTGTTTTGGCGACGATATGGCAACCGGCCCTGGTATTATTTGTCAATCATGTGGGGGGGGGAGAGAGAGGGCAAAACCGCAAGGCCGCTCAAATGTTACACTAGAAAACGACGCGCTAGGAGCCAATAGTCCGAGCAGATGCCGGTCTACAATTTGCCCAAGGCATCTTTGCCCATGTAGAGTGGCCTTCGGATGTGGTGCCATGGAGAGAACCCGGACCTGGGCAGGCTGTGCAGCTTCGGTGGGTGCACCCGCGCGCGAATCGTCATTCTGTCCTTCCCAAACACCAATAATAACCGACTATCCCCGGCGATTGTAATCTTTTACTATGTCTCGGCGTTTGAACGCAACGGTGGCCTTCTGGATTTGGGAACCTCCTTGCCCTTCACGAGCCGGGTCGACTGGCTGGCTCCCAGATAAACCAGGAACTTCGAAGCAAGAAACCCAAGGCTTTAAGAGAGGGTTGAACCATACTTTTTGCTATAAAAAATTGATACACTACGGCCGTAAGGCACACGGGAACCCTAAGAGAGGGAGAAGGCGGCCTTGTATATGTACCTCAGGATCTCAGTACAGCGCACGGGAGGGGTGTCTACTAGTCCAGATCTCCTACCCGTTGAAGGTACATTCAAGTGTCTAAGACACGTCCTATCAGCCTTGCCCTGGGGGAATCCCTCCGGCGCATTAAGGCGTATGTTGCACATCTCCCTCGAGATTGTACCATTTCTTCTAGAAGAAAAAGATTTGCGAATTCAGCAGGTCTACCGATAAGAACATTAAACTCGACCGTTTGTTTACATTTGGTCCTGCGTCTCTCCAGGAGGCAACTGTGTTGCTGTCTATATTTGTAGTCGCTACAACGCCATCGGCTTTTTTTTCCCTTTTTTGGGAGGGCGAAGGAAAATGAATGTGTTTCCTATCACAAGTTGTCATCAGACTCTGGCATGTTCTCGCCATTTGCGGCCAATTTCATCCAAGACTATTGTGTAAAACATGCCCTTTGCGGATGGGTTTATTGCGGCTAGGCTTACTATCTATCACACATGGTCTTACTGGTACTACAAGTCCACTTTTCCAGTCAACATTAGTCCTCCCCCCCCTCCCTCAACGCCCTTCTCTCTCTCTCTTTCAGTCCTGGAATGCCTGGGCATAGCCAGAATTCATTTTACATAGTGCAGTATTCCTTCCTCTCGGGCGTTCCTTCAACCAATAACATCATTTCTATCAAGACATCCGGAGACGGTGACGCAAGAAAGAACTCACTCTCCGCCATCGCCTAAGCGGAAACAGTGCCCGAAGGCTATTCCGCATGACCGGTGACCAAGATTCCGGGCTTCTGCTGCCGCCCAAACATGTCCTGAAGACGCAACTGAGTCTCAAGCATCGCATCCTTGGAGCCCGAGCAGCCAGTGAGACTGACGCGCTCCAGCCTACCAAAGCGTCCTTGCCTCACCGCCCCCGCCAGGTTCGGCAAGCATGTGCTGGACAGCTCTTGGAGGCAGCCTCCCATTCTCGTTATCTCCAGGTGCTCGAGGGTTTCCGGGATCAGGGTCTCCAGAGTGGTGTTGATCGTCCGGATCTGCTGCTTTCCACGGGCTTCGCACGCGATGCTGTTGACGTTGATGCTCAGACGGCGCAGCTTCACGAAGTGCCGCAAGCTGCGGATGGTCTCCCCATCCCCCCAGGGCTCCATGCCCTCGTAGACGGGGAAGTCCACAATCAGAGTCCGCAGCTGACGGTGGAGGTCTGGCAGCGCGGCCTTGACGAGATGCCCTTTGCCGTTCAGTGGAGGGGGCAGCGTCAGCTCATACTCGTTGCTCAGAAGGTGGCACAGCATTTGCGGCGTCAGGGGTGGCTGCCTATCGGCGATCATACCCTTGGCCGAGTGTTGGTACTCGAAGTGAGTAATGTTGGGCACGGCCTGGAGGGTGAATTTCATCGTGCCCCTATCCATAGAGCTCTTGACGAATTTGAGATCTCGCAGGGCCTCCAGACGGCAGTGCTGCGGAGGTCTGTACGAGGCCGTGTCGTAAATCTCCAACGTCGACAGACGGGGAGCGTTGTCCATTATCAGCTTGAGGCAGTTGAAGCTACGAGCCTGGAGGGACCGCAGATGTACCTTTAGGTGTCGGAGGTTTCGAAAGGGGCTCGCGTGATGGTCTTTCTGTTCAGCCATCCACTTCTCAAGCACATCGAATGTCCAGTTGAAGACGAGCGTCATCTTGAGGCTGGTCAGGTCGGAAAGGTAACGCAACAGAAGCTGGTTGATGTGTTCCGCGGCGTGATCCCGCGGCTCCTTCTCGCCTTGCAGGCGAGACTTGTCCCAGCCTTCTGGCAAGGGCATTCCGATGGCGGTAGCCATTTCTTCGATCCGTGTGTGGTGGGCACTCGCTGCCTGCTCTTCTGTCCACGGGGCCCCGGAAAGGGTCCGCCTATCTACGTTGCCATGAACGTCGAGGTGGCGCACGAGGTGGCGCCGAGTGTCATCCAGAGACAAGTGCCTGGCGTAGGGGCTCTCGTAATAGGGTTCGTTCGCGTGGGGGTCGAGGGATTTGAGGAAGCGATAGGCGTCGGAAGGGTGCCAGAGCTGGTAGTAGCCGGAGTAGAGCACGCAGCCCGCCACGTCGTGCAAGTTGCGACAGGTCCTCATCAGCCGTGCCAGAGCGGCCCGACACGCAAGGGCGTCTTCGGTCGACGGCTTCATGCTGGGACCATGGCCGTGGGGTTTGCTTTGCATCGGGTGGACGAGGCGGCGGCACACCTCGACGAGGATCTCGGCGGGTAAGCCATCGAGCCCCTTTTTGGTCCTCTTCTTCTGCGCTTCCTGATACGATACCATTGGGAGACTCGGTTGGAACCGGCGGCTAAGCAAGGTTTATTTTGGCAGGGCGAAAAAGAAAAAAAAAGTTGACTCGTCCGATGTGAGAAGCTTACGAGGTTCAAACAGTCGATGCTGCGGCATTTGGGCCTGAAGCAGTTTTTTAGCAACACATTTGAAAACTTCCATGAGCACTGGCGTCAGAAAGGAACTAGCAACCCTCATGAGCCGACAGCTGACGAATTGCTCAGATGCGGATGCAGGATAGCAACAATAGCACGACCTGATGGCACCAAGCACAAAGGAAGGCTCTTTGAACCCGAAGACACTTTTGCCCGTAGCAATGCAGCGTAGTACGAGAGGGACACAAACAATATGGTGTGATGGATTTGAATAGAACCTGGTTGAAACGGCAATTCAAAGGCATACGATGTTTGAGGAAGACTGAGCCCTGATGGCTTCATGTTTGTTTGCTTAACTACTAGGTCAAAAGTCTGGTCTCGCCAATAAGGATAAATTAGTAAGTAGCTTGATGTCACTTCACAGTGCATTATCAACTGTGTCTTAACCGCCCTCCTATGTATGTATGTATATGTATGGCTTTTGATTGACTATTCTTATTGGTGTGACCAGACCAGATTTTTACCCTAGTACTCTAGGCATGAAGTTTGTGGTCGAACGATATCCAAAGATAGAAGAGGGGAGAAGGGGGTGAAGAACAAAAGAAGGAAAAAGAAACAAGCAGGAGGAAAGAAGAAAAGAGAAAAAAGTATGGGGCCCGTTGGAATGATGGGATCAATCGCGGTGAGGATTTGAGCCTCACGCGGGGGTCGAACCCGCAACCTTGAGATTAAGAGTCTCACGCTCTACCGATTGAGCTAGCAAGGCGGGTCTTTAAGCTGATCGAACCACGGTATAGTACTACCTCTATAGGACGGCCTAGAGTCTGCAAGGTTTTCCTCAACTGGATGGCAACATAGCATCAAGTTCCTGGTCAAAAACGAGATGACTGAGTACTGGCGAACGTTATCATCTTTGGCGCTGTTTTCTAACCCATCAATGCCGACGCTCGTCGGCGACCTCGAGAGTTTCCCAATGACCCCTAACTACTGCTGTGTGTGCGCCTTATAAGTGAGCCCATCCCCCACTCGGTGTCATTTATTATTTTTATCATTTCTTATTCCCAGCAGCGAACTGTTGGATTGTGCATCTCGCCATTGTCAAATTCTGATTTTCTCTCTCTTTCTCTCTACATACACGATACACCCTTGTTTAGCGTCCTCTCAGCGCAATCTCGCTCCCTCGCTCGCCATTGCTAAAAAAAATCGCGTCTGCTTGAGCAGAATTCACCAGCCGGGACCCTTCTGAGCAAAGCCTTTGTTTGTTTTTTTTAGCGGCAAATCTGACAGAAAACCCCGGGTTGTTGGTCGTTCGGCACAAAAGCACTTGCCGACACCTCGGGTTCTTGACCGAATCGGGCACCTGTTGTTTGGTTTAGGGAGCAGATCATGGTTGTGTACAGTGAGTGAGTGGCTTCTGTCGGCCCCTCGTCTCATGCAAAGCTATGTATGAAGGATCGTGATCAAATGCGTTTTGCGGTAAGACATCGCCCCCCCCCCCCCCCCTCAGTTCGTGCCAGGTTACCTATTGATTGTAGTCACATTTGATAACAGCTCCGGACATGTTGTTCATCTGGGCGAGGATGAACCCGTTTAGTTTGGCTGTGCTTGCGAGGGCCAAGGCTTAGGCATCTGCCGTCGCCCCATTTCTGTCGGCGGACCCATGAGAGGAGAGTGCCGGGAAGCGTGTCTTTGCAAAATAGTTCGCTGGCACGGCGCCGAATGAATGAATCCATGAAAAGAATAATGCATGGCATCGTCCCCGTTCATATCCCTTCGATTGTCTCAGTCTGGGCAATATCATTGGCCGGCTGTTGGCATACTCGACGAGAACCGGCCGAGCTTGACAGGGTCCCCAGAATCTAGGAATCCAGACGCTTAAGTGTCAAATGTCAGTATCCGAGCCCTAGCAGTTTAGCTCGGAACAATCAAATGATGTTGACTTGGCAAGTCTGGTGGTCACAGCGGCGCGGCGCTTGGGACATGGGGAAGAAGGAGGGTTACTTGGGTCCAAGTACAATGTAGTAGCAGTACTCGGTATGTAATGTAGTAATAGTTATGTTATTGTGCCTTGTGCGCATTGCGAGAAATAAGGACGGAACGAGACATGATACACTACAAACCAACCCGGCCCACGATGTATTATTCACGTAGGTATGTAACTGGTTTCTCCATCCAATAATGACCAACAACGAACGAGTTGCGACGGAAACCCTTCCACCACCACCACCCGCTCGCTGCTCATCTCTCTTTCTCTCTCTCTTTCTCTCTCTCTCTCTCTCTCTCTCTCTCTCTCTCTCTCTCCCTGTGTGTGTGTGTGTGTGTGTGTGTTACCTTACCTTGACCAGACTAAACACTAAACCCACACCCCGGTACCCAATCGCCAAGTTTCCCTATGTCACCACAAATTAGTGCCGCCCAGAGAGAGCAAGGCCTTCTCAGGCGACAACTGCAGGGGGCCAGGAATCCATTCGGTACCGAGGCGCGGCCGGTTGGTTAGTTGGACACTGCGGCCCCCAAATTGAGGAGGGGTGCAGACTGCAGGGAGGCGGGAAGTGACAAGCCGTGCAGCGCAACGCAACGCAACGCACCGTACCGCACGCAGCCGGACTAATTCGAGAAAAGAACTCACTCAGCCCATCCATCCCACATCCCGCCACACACATACCCACTCGCACACACATACACATACACACACACACATACACACACACACACACACACTCACACTCATACATACACACAAAGACACGGCGTCTCGGCCCTCGACGGCTTGTCTGTCTGTCTGTCTGTCTGTCTGTCTGTCTGTCTGTCTGTCTGTCTGTCTGTCTGTCTGTCTGTCTGTCTGTCTGTCTGTCTGTCTGTCTGTCTGTCTGTCTGTCTGTCTGTCTGTCTGTCTGTCTGTCTGTCTGTCTGTCTGTCTGCCTGTCTGTCCGTCTGTCTGTCTGTCTGTCTGTCTCTCTGTCTCTCTGTCCGTCTCTCTGTCTTTCTCTCTGTCTGTGTTTGCCTCGCACGGCGCGGCTGATTTTCTTGCCCCTCCGAAAATTGAAACACAACCTACCTTTTTTCCCCCCTCCCTTCCTTTCCGGAATCCAACCAGAAGAAGCCTCCCTAAGCCGATCCCGACCTCTTGGTCCCCCTTATTTGTTTGGCAAACATAGCCCGAAGTCTGGCAAACCGCTGACGTCCCCCTAGTTTTGCGGTACTTTGGGGGGACCTTGGGGTTTTTTTCTCTTTCTTCTTTTTTCCTTCTTTTTTTCTTTTCTTTTTTTGGTATAGTCGGGAAGCCTTTCGTCGGCCCGGAGAACAGGCATAATGACACGGAAGGGCCAGCCCAAGGTTCGGACCGGATGCTTGACATGCAAGTGAGTCACGGAGACTAAGTCTCTTCCCGCCCCCTTCTCATTATCAATATCGTGTTTCTTTTCCCCCCTTCTTCCGGTGTTCTCGGGCTCGATTCGGATGCATTGATGGATCATGCGGCGAGGTCCGATCAACAAATCGTGCCGAGCCGGCTGTTTGGTTGAGAAGAGACCGGACGAACTCGGAGGGCGCCCTCCGTGTGTGACTAAACCGTCGCCGAACCTCGGTCCACCCGCCCCGATTCCTACTACCATGTACAAACAGCAGCACCACCCTCCTCCCCTCCACCAAACTGACATTCCTCTTGTTACGCAGGTCGCGCAAGGTGAAATGCGACGAAGCAAAGCCGGCCTGCGCTCGGTGCACCGGCACGGGGCGCCGGTGCGAGGGCTACGCCGTCGTGGTCCCCAGCAACCGCGCCATCGCCCGGGCCCGGTCACGGACGACGCGACTCAGGGAAGCCCTCGCCCAGGCCCGTGCCAGCTGGGCCGGGGGCGGCTCCGAGAAGGCCACCCTGGAATACTTTGCCCGCGACGTCGCACCCAAGCTGCCGCAGAACCTCGAGAACCAGTTCTGGACCGTGGCCGTGCCGCGCATGAGTAAGTCGGAGCCCGCCATCCGCCATGCCATGGTTGCTATCGCCAGCCTCTTCCCCCAGCTACGATCGTCGAGTAACCCCGTCCAAGGCGAAAACCCCCAGGCCGACGCCCACTACAGCGAGGCCCTCCGGCTGATGGCGAGGAGAGTCGCGCCCGAGAGAGACGGGGGGCATCGCCAGAGCTCCTCCAACGACGGGCCCCGAGCCGCCGCCGACGACGACAGCAGGCCCCGCAACCTCTCCTTGACCTCTCTCAGCAGCCGCTCTTCCCCGAGCCTGGCCAATGCCGCGCCCTACTCCGCCATACACTCTCCCGCCCCGCTCACGCCGAGCCTGTACAGCAGCATGCCGGACCTGCCCGAGACCGACCGCTCGAGCAGCCGGGGACCGACGAACCTCTTCGCGTCCCCTCAGAGCCAAGAAGACGACGGCGACGAAGAGCCGACCCACTACAACGACGTGGACGTGGTGTTGTCGTGCTGCATACTCTTCATAGCGACCGAGTTCCTGCGCGGCAGCCTCGACGAGGCCATGCGGCACCTCGCCAACGGCATCAACATCCTCAACAACGTCGACTACGCCGAGGTCGACCAGACGACGCTGGACGAGATCGTCCCCAAGTTCCACCGCCTCAGCATCATCCAGCTGTGCTTCTACGACAAACCGAACTTCCCCTCTCTCAACCTCCAGCACGGCCACCGGCCCCGGTACAACCTGGGGCCGTTCGACAGGGGCAGCAGCATATACCTGACCAAGCGCGCCGTGGACCCCATCATCCTCGACGCCATACGGTACATCCGGTCGGCGGACCCGGGCTCGCAGACGGACTCGCGGCTGGCCTCGAGGGGGCCCGTAATGTCGGAGGAGCAGAAGAGCATTTGCACGTCCCTCGACAGGTGGCACGCCGCCTTCCTCGCCTTCGTCGACGCCCCCCGGAAGCCGGCCGACCCGCCGCTGCCGAAGCACCAGGGCCTCATCTGCGCCGAGACGGAGATGAAGTACCAGACGGCCAAGATCTGCATCAGCGTCTGCCGCTCCCACGACGAGTCCGTCTACGACTGCTTCAAGGACCCCTTCAGGCGCATCGTGACGCTCGCGCGGCTGATCCTGGACAGCTTCCCAGACGCCGACCCGGCCGAGTTCGCGTTCGACTTCACGACGAGCTACCTGCCGCTGCTCGAGTTCGTCATCACCAAGTGCCGCTGGCTCGACATACGGTACGAGGCCTGGCGCATCGTGCGGGCGCTCGCGACGGAGCGGACGCCGCGCGTGGCGCGCGGCGGCCTCCACCTCGTCGGGCAGCGCATGATCGAGAGGGAGCACAACGCCAAGATGGACGAGGTGACGCGCCACAACGCCGGCCTCTTCTCGCTGCCGGCCGAGGAGATGCGCGTCAAGGACTACACCGCCGACCCGCGCTTCGCCGACCTGGTCCCCGTCCCGGGCGGCGGCGGCGGCGACGCGAGAGGCGGGGGGCCGCCCAAGGTGCAGGTCCCCTACACGCAGCGCCTGCTGCTCCGGTGCGGCAGCTGCGAGCTTGACGATCTCGCCGCTTGGATGGAGAACAAACGCCCTTCTCGCTCTCCTTCTTCATGAATTCTTGGTTTCTTTTTACAGATATATAGATATATATCTACCTATACATATCTATATATATACTCAGCGAGGTTTTAGAGGCACGACTCATGAGAAAGAGCACCCGTTGGCTGCGCGCGGCAAACGGCCAGTTCCTTGTGTATCTTTTACAAAAAAAAAAAAAAGCAGCATCAACTGCACGACTCTCGAGGATGAGGAAAGGTGGAAAACAAATAAAACAAAGAAAAGAAAAAGAAAACAAACAACTAGAGCATGTCATGTAGTGTATAACAGTCAAACAACTACCTGTTCCTCACAACAACTCTTCCTCTGGAGACCTCCCCCCTCCTTTTCTTTGTCCGTGACTTCCCCTTACCATATGTTTCCCCGTTGCAGAACACGTAAATCCATCATAAATGAAAGGGACGAGACTCGAACTCGCGCGGGTTGCCCCACCAGGAAAACAGATGTTAAGCTGACCTTAACCTGGCGCCATAACCAACTCGGCCACCCTTCCAGATGTATGCTGTATGTGTAAGTGTGTGTGTGTGAAATCCTTCCCTCCGGCTCTCCACTGCCTTGTTTCCAGTCCTCGGATCTTGGCCGACGATCCCCGCCCTTAACCCCCCCCCCCCCCGGCCGGCCATCCTGGGAGTTTGGGACAATCTCATGACTCGGGGCTGGTCGAGCACCACCCTCCCCTGCCTTACCCAGCAGAGAAGAAAAAAAAAAAAAAGTCTCGGCCCCTGATTTTCCAAACATTTCGGGCCCTATAGCGAGGTAATCGAGGTGAGCCTTCCACCGCCTCGCAGCGCCTTCCGTGGTCTCCTGCAGCGGATTAGCGGGACCCCGGACGGCCCGGCTCCTTCCCGCGATACGGTATCCGGCGGCCAACCTCCATCCGTCTGGGAAGAATGGGAGTGATATGCTCTCTCTCCGACTGTCACTCGCGTGTAGTTGCCTCGCAAGAAGACAGGACAAGGCGTCCAAATAAGGTTTTTTTTCTTTTTTCTTTTTTTTCGGTGCAGGTCCTCTGCGCCTTGGCACCATCGGTCTCGGCGGGCCGGCCCGAGTTACTCGTCTATCATCCCGCATTCAGCCATCAGATCTTACCTGATTGGGTTACCTACCCGGGCTTCTCCTGTCTGTCTCTCGGTATGATCTGTCCTTGCGGAGCCGGCTGTCTCTGGTTTTTTTCTCAAACAGAAACAAAAGTGATCAACGGGCGAGTGGGGGGTTCCGCGGATTTGCGGACTTGCGGATCCGGAGTGATGTCGTGCTCTGATTCGACGTGCCTCCGGAGGCCCCCTCCCCTGCCTCCGGCGTGGGCTTGCGTGATCGACGTAACGATATCTTATCAGATGTGGCGCTTTCCAACCGTGCCAAGTGACTTGCTGACCAAAACTTGGTTTTTATTCAAGACGGCCTACTTACTGCCTTGCCTACCCAGGCTACCATGAGCTTTTGTGTCAGCACACATCCAGCTACTGCACAAGCGGGTACAGAGCGCCAATAAGTTAGTCCGTCATGACCTCACCGTCGGGCTCATCGTTTATCTGATAGAAGTGTCCGTTCTGCCCTACAGCAAGTTACGAGGCCGACATACACGCAGGTGTAAAACGCCTACAATGGCGACTTCGTTACAGACTACCCGTCAGAGCACGCGGCGCAGGCCCGGATTTCCGGCTTTGGCCAAGATAGACACCATTGAAACCTCCGCTCGAAATGCTTTTCGCAAAGGCCTTGGTCCTTGGGGAGAACACTTGTAGCAGTAAACGTCGTCGCCCGTCCCTTGCCGGAGGCACGTTACCTATAGGAGACGGGGCAGTACTCGAGTACTCGGGGCAACCACCCTCCCTGACGTGCCTTTGCAGCCCGCAGCGCGAGAAGCCGCACGCTCGGCACCAGGACAGTCAACGGCGCCGAGGTTGCTTTTCCAGAGATCATCGCGGTAACAGACGTGGGTGTTTTGTCCCCTCCTGATGTGGGTGATGCGGCCTGCAGCAAACGACGAAGAGCCGAGTTTCGATTGGGAGGAGGGGGCATTATGTCCTCCACTGGTCCAGAAATCACGGTAGGTCTCTGGAAGGCTTTGTGGCTTTGCTTATACACACTGCGGAAATATCACCGCCCCGGCATCGCGATATGCTCTTGAAGCAGAGTAGTGCAGGCACGATGCAGCGAGGCAGCCGCACCGTGGCCCCGTTTCGGCGTGGGCCGCGATCGAAGATTGAACTTGAGCCCTTCCAGCACAGCCAAGGGGAGGGGGGGGGATCGCCGCCGAGGCACACGCGGAGGCCGACGTCTACATCGTGACCTTCCAGGACGTGATTTACAGACTTTTCTTTTGTGCAAGGCAGTTTCGACATGGTGAGGCGCGGTGTCGAGCTTTTTGTGACCGAGCGAGGCGGAGAGGTCATTGGCGAACGTGATCACACCAAAGAGATAAGGCTCCCTTAGCCCCCGTGGACAAATGTGTGTCTTTGATCGGTTTGTCTTGCCTCAACAGACGCGGCGTTCTCTCTCTTGCGAGACACAGATTCGTCGGAAGTGGGCCAGAGGGATTCATGGATGGTGACTGATTTGTGTGACTAAAGGGATGGAAATGAACGTAGACGAATCAGCATGCAATCAGTGATTAAAGATCGATGGATGGCGTGGGGAAGTGACCTTGAACTAATAGCATTTCTTCTATCGTGCCGGTCTGAACGTGTGATAGAAGAGAACGAGTGTACTGTTTTTTCATATGCAGCGACCAAGTCCAACGGTTTTGCTAACTTGGATTCTTTTTTCCTCTTTTTTCTACATGTTCCCAGTAGAACGAAAACGCACACAATGATTCGACGCAAACCTTTTTGTTTTCTATAACTCAAACGCACATCTGCGTTACGTCTCTTCTGGGTGTAAAACGCTCCACATCTTCTTGGCAATCTCGTCCTGACCGTCATCGCCTGTAATCCCTAGAGACTTTGCGTCGTCCTCGGCTGCCTCCGTTCCAGCCTCTTCTTCGTTGACCGTCGGCTTCTCGAGTTCCGACCTGCACGGGTGGCAGGGATGCTGCTCCTCCGTCCCGACGGGCGTCTGCGTCGGCGGGATGTACTCGACGACCTCGGCGAACCTGACGGCTGTATCCCGCTCTTCTTTACTCTCGGACCGACCCCAGGACGCCGTCTGCAGGAGACGCGCAAAGGCGGCCTCGATGGCGCTGCGCTGGTAGTATTCCTTGACCTGTTGCCTCTTACGGAACCGAAGGAAGGCGGCGCGGCTGATGCCGATGAATTGCTCGTGGGAGCCCTGGTCTGCGTCGAGTCAGCTTGGGGTTTTCTTTTGGGCAGAAGAAGCGCGCAAGATCCTTGTGGAGGGAGGAGACGTGCAGTAGGAGCCCCAAGCGGTGGTGGTCTGGGGGCTTGTGTTCGGCTTGGTGCCCATGACGAAGCCGTGGGCCTTTGGCCTAGACATCTTGCGGACGGTCTCCCTGACGAGAATGATGATGATGGCGATGAATGCGACGTCGCAGATGAACAACATTAAGCTGTGTCCCTGAATGTGTGTTGTTGCTGCGCTGGCGTTCGATCGGCCGGCGTACAGACTAGATTCCATGGATCGGGATGGATAGATCTTGGAAAAGGAGGGCTAGAAGGAGTCATGAACGGAATATCGTTAATGGTAGATGTCGGTTGTGATTTGGAGGTATTGTGCACAATGTTCCGGACTTGATTCATACACACATGATGGCAGGCTGGCAACGGAGAAAAGTGGCAGACAGATGGATCCATGAGCCGGCTTGTGGCCGACTTTTGTCAACCACGGTCCACGGGTAGCACTTCGGCGTTGAGTTTGGTAGCCCGTGGATGCGGCCAACTTTACTCGAAAAACAGGCAGCGAGAAAAGCTCGGTACTCGCCAGATGGGCAAAAATGGTTGAAACTTGTACAGGGTATTTTCATTTCTTCGTCAAGCGTATCTACACATTACATGCCAGAGTAGGCGTTCAGCGCCAACTGGCCGCCCAGGTGGGCATATAGCACGTTGCTTCCCGCGGGGATCTCGCCGTTCTTAATCATCTGCATCATGCCCGCCAGGCTCTTGCCCTCGTAGACGGGGTCGGTGATGAAGCCCTCGGTGCTGGCGCCGAACTTGATAGCGTCGATGGTGACCTGGTCGGGCACGCCGTAGATGCCGCCATGGAAGCGGTCGTCGAGGATGATGTCGTCCTCGGTGATGTCGCTCTCGTCGAGGCCGATCTTGACGGCCGTGTTCTTGGCGATACGCAAAATCTGGTCAAATGTCTGCTTGACGGTGGCGGAGGCGTCGATGCCGACGATGCGGCGCTTGGGCGAGCCGTTCTTCTTCTGGGCGAGTTTGAAGCCGGCGACCATACCGGCCATGGTGGAGCCGGTGACGGCGCAGACGATGACGGTGTCGAAAAAGACCCCGAGCTCCTTCTCTTGGGCCTCGACCTCGAAGGCCCAGCGGGCGAAGCCGAGGCCGCCGAGGGGGTGGTCGGAGGCACCTGCGGGGATGTAGTAGGGCTTGCGGCCGGCGGCGAGGAGCTCGGCCTTTAGGTTGGCAAGGGTGTCCTTGTGCTCGATGCCAAAGGTGGAGGGGTCGAGACGGACGTCAGCGCCCATGAGGCGCGACAGCTGAAGGTTGCCGACCTTGTCATAAACGACGTCCTCCCAGTCGACCCACTTCTCCTGGACGAGGGCGGCCTTGAGGCCGAGCTTGGCGGCGACGGCGGTGACCTGGCGGGTGTGGTTGGACTGCACACCACCAATGGAGACAAGAGTGTCGCAGCCTTGAGCGAGAGCGTCGGAGGCGAGGTATCTGATCATGTTAGTAACTGAACATACAAGAGGAAGAGGAGGAGAGGGACGTCTTACTCAAGTTTGCGTGTCTTGTTGCCGCCGTATGCCAGGCCGGAGTTGCAGTCCTCGCGCTTGGCGTAGACGTTGACCTTGCCACCGAGGGCAGCGGATATGCGGGGGAGGGGCTCGACAGGTGAGGGGCCAAAGAGGAAGCTCTCACGAGGGATGCTCGCGAAGGGCTCGGGGAGGAGAGACATGATGGAGGAGATTTTGTTGAGGTGTTTTTTTCTTTTTCCTTTTATTGAAAAGGGTGGGTTTATGAAAGAAGAAATAAGACTTGGCTGAGAGACGATGTGACAAGACAGAACAAGACAGCGAACAGGGCCGTGTTTAATAAGGAGTTGACGATACGCTGACGACAGCGACGTCGGATGGCGAAGGCAGGGCTCGGGTTGCTGACTCGAGCGGTTGAAGGCGGGCAAGTGGGTAAAGGAAACACTCTCTAATCCAACGGTCCACCGTTATCTGCAACATGATCGCGGGGTCGGCTGGTGATAGGGGTTGTGGACTGGTCTGAGGACATATCTGTCTGGGTTGTCGTGTTTGTATTGTCTGGATCCGTAAGTTGAATTTGTCGATAGGTTGAAGCGGAACTCTGAATGTCTTGGTGACGGTCGTTGGGTATGATTCAGAGAAGCACCCAATTTAAACCTCCTCTAGCATGTTAAAGGTTAGAGCAGTACTTGTGTTTTCTAGCAAGTTGCTAAGTCCAAAATGTACTCCATTAATATTCAGAATACCTACTGCATGAGGGTTTACCTCTCTAGGTACTTCCTTCCCTCCGTCCTCTCCCCCTGGCACCTGCCCCGCGTCGAGTGCTTTCCTCTGGCTGGCGGGGGTTCTTTCCAACCACGGTAACTGTCCTAAGCGGGAAACGACGGGGAACCCCGGAAAAGCTGTTTTCCCGCGGGAAACTTCGCCAAACTTCGCCAAACTCACCGCAGTCGCTCTTCTTTCCCAACACCTCCGCGAATCTCTCCTCGTCGCATGCACGTCGACAATCACATCGCCTTTCCCGCGACATGGAGGGGTTACAATTGCGGAGAATAACAGACATGTCAGGGGGGTCTCTCAGATCGTCTCGGAGCATCTCATAGCGTCCGCGGGGACATGCATCACACGTTACGACCAAGGGCCTTGTTATCTGACCTTTTTACTTGTTTGGTTCATGTGTAATCCATCTATCTATCCGGGCTCACTATTCGACAATCTACGCAATGTCGTTGTCTATTTCGACCTTACAATGAAGCGCCACTATCTCAAAGGAGCTAAATCGCTCGTGTGGTTTGCTTCCATCCTCATTTAACCCGCTATCAATATAAACACGACACCCAAAAGCTAACCAAAACAATCATACCGTCCAGTTCTTTTACCACGCTTCTCCTTACAGTTCCTCGCCTACTCGGCGTCCAACGGCGCACGAGGCGGGGTGTTGTTGACCTGGATACCGCCACGCTTCAGCTCCTTGCTGTCGGGGAACGGCAGCGCCCACCCGCCCTCGGTCTCCGGCGTCGACAGCCAGAGGCGGAGGAGGTGGCGGCGAGGCGCCGGGGGAGGGTAATCTGGCTCACAGTCAGCGGTTGTTGCTTCGGTCCGCCTCGGAAGACGTCGACAATTCTTTTGGAATTCAACGAGACGAGAGAAGACTCACCCTTGTACGCGGTTCTGGCATGCAGCAAGTGCGCGTTGCTCAGGAACTGGATGTCGCCGACCTCGAGAATCATGTGCAGCGCCAGCTTCTGGCACGTGTTCTCGAGCGTCTCGAGCGCGTGCAGCTGCGCCTCGCTCAGCGGCGGGATGATGCCCTTGTCTGAGAAGCGCGTCAGGGAGCGCACGTAGTACGGATCCCACTTGCAGTACACGCGCCCCTTGCCGCCGTTCTCAATGTAGAATACGGGCTGGCGTGTCCACTCTTCCTGGCCCTCCGACACCTCGCCCTTGCGGTCAAAGTACCAGACGGGCTTAGTCAGAAGCTCGGCCACGTCGGGGTACGACCGCTGCAGCTCGTTCCACACGGCGTGGATGCTGACGAGGTCGCTCTCGCCGCCCTCGGCCGCGCGGTGTACGCAGAGAAGACCGACGAGATCGCCGTCGTCGGCGTGGAAGAACTGACGCGCCGTCGTGCGGTAGATGCGCACCTTGTCGATCTGCGTCGGGTCGTCGCCCACATCCTTGACGTGGCCCAGCACGTGTCCACGCCCGTTCTGCGACACGAAATAGCCCAGATACGTGCCGAGGCCCATGTACCCGACCGCCGTCTTGTGCGGGCCCCATTCCTGCGCGGGGAACCCCTTGAAGAGAATGAAGCCCTTGCCGTTGATGAGGTCCTCGCGGAGGTCGATGAGGCGCTTGCCCAGCGTGGGGAGCGGGAAGTTGTCCTGCAGTGGCGCCAGTGTCAGTGGTGTGTCGGGTTGGGGGGTTCGCCTGGAACCGGAGACACGTATACCTTGGAGATGCCCGTCAGAGGCGTGTTGCTGGCGATGAAGGCGTCGGAGGTGCGACCAAGCTCCTCAACCTCCTCGGGAGTGAAGCGGTGCGTCCACTTCTCGGGGTGCTGCTCAAACTCTTCCTTGTGCCAGACGGTCGGACCCGAGATCTCCTTGGGGAACTCTTCGTACGGGCGCAACACGTCGTAAAGGGGGTTGTGCTGGCCCGAAGTGCGGATGCCGTCGGGAAAGATATCCCTGGGAGCATCGTGGTTCTTGCCCTTCCAGGGGCCCTGAGCAGGCTGGACGGGCTCGTCAATGAGGGCTCCCGGCGCCATGGTTGTGTATTTATTGGGGGGGGTGGCGGGTATCAATTGGGTGTCTTTTGAGGTGCCACAAGCAGCAGATGACGATGAAGCAGAAAAGTCAGCGACGACGGTATGCAGTAGCTGGCTTCTCTCGAAAGATGAGAATGGGAAAAGGTAAGACAAGACAGCCTGGAAAGGAGTTGTTCTACCCCTCAGTATTTAATCCGTGTGTCTGTGTGTGTGTGTAAGCTCAAAGTCTCTCACAGTCTGCAACGGTATACCGCCGGGGGCCCTGCGGCCTTTATCACGCCAGGCGAACCGTACGATTGGGAATTGAGATTTGGGGGCGTTGGGTTGCGTTACGGCTGCTGGCGAGCTCGATGCTTCGGATGGCGTGCTCAGGGACCCATATCGCGATGGTCGTCCGATGACGCGAGACAGAATGGGTGTGGGGTTCGTCGATCTGATTTCACTTGTGAGGAGGTCGATAATTGCCCCGCACCGCACCGCACCGCACCGCACCGCCGACACCACCGGCTGCTTCTCGTGGCGTGCGCAAAAGCTGGTTTGGCTCCCCCGAGTTGGAGTTACAGTCTTGATGGTCGTTGGAGGCCAGGGGGGGGGGGGGGGGGGGGTTGAGTTTGACTTTTTCTCCCCCCCTACCCTCCCTGTGCAGAGGAAATAAACAATAATAACGCTCAATTGTGCAATTGCGTCCTTTTCTCGTCTCATATTCATGTTCCGGATACGCTTCCCGCACGAGCAAAAGCCGGTACCGGGCTCAACTCCCATCTCTTCTCTGCCACGGACAAATTGGAGACACCCCCCATCACAACCACCTACTTGGTGTACCATAGTGTACACACACACCTACTACCTTTTGCGGTTAGTCAGAGTGGCGTAATCTCATCCCGGTAAGAGATGTCGCTGGTGCGTCTTGGACTCCACCTCTCTCTATTCTGCAACGCTTGGGATTGCTATGCACACCACACACGCATGCAGCTTGCTTCACTTCTTATCCATTGATTGCATCGGCGGATGCACTATTATACACAGAAGAAGCATCTCATGCAGCAGCCGCGTAAACCCATGCCACCTCCCGCATTTCTAAACCCCAAACTCTTCAATGACGCTTCTGGGCTTCTTGAACTTTCCGAGCGGAACATACTCCACGTCATCCATGCCGAACCCCTTCGGCCCGCCGATCTCGATGCCCCGCGCCGTCGAGGTCCACTTCTCCGAGGCCGTGATACCGAGCACCACCACAAGCAGGCCGTACCGGTACTCCTGCGTGCCGATGGCCTCGCCGTTCTGAGCGTCGATGACGCACACGAGGTCCGGCACCATTGTTAGAATCTTTTCAATGAGCTGTTAGTCAAGGAACAATCCCCATCCGAATCGGGGCCGTGGCCTGCTCTCTCTTACCTCCTCCGTCCCGTCGCCGTGAACCTTCTTGGCGAGAACGTTTTGGTTCTTGAACGGGATCTTCACCCTCTCCGCCCCCGTTCTCTCGCGGCCGCCGCCGTTCGCCCCGCCGGACGACGCCCCGTTCTCGATGATGACCTCGCCGTACGCGCGCCCCGCCCTCGTGACCCTCTCGACGCCCACGATCTTGCCTCGGAAGAGCACCCGCGCCGAATTCTCCCCGCCGACCTGGTCCACGATCGCTTCGGCGACGGCGTCCACGGTGTTGGTGCACCGCGCCAGCGCGACCGCGCGGCCGATGCGCCAGGACAGCGACACCGTGTTCTCGACCACCCACGACTTTGTGTCGCGGCCGCTGACGGGGCCCCTTGGCGCAGCCGACGTGCGAGCCCATCTGCGAGAGGGCGGCGCGGAACGCCCGCTCGGCGTCGAGCTCCGTGCGGGCTTTCGTCATGAGCTGTTTCGGTCAACCGTCAGCCAATTGCCTTGTCTTCTATTCCAATTGGGCTCTCCTCCCTCGCCTCGAAGGAAGTTGTGCGAGCTGGGGTGATGGGGACCGCACCATTATCCTGCCGTTGCCGTCCGAGATGCACGACGGAATCATCGTCGCCTTCCTCTCAAACACCACCGGCGTCGTCTGGTGGGATATGGGGTACGCCCTGCCCATCCAGTCTCCGTCGACGGTCGGCACGTCGAGGTTCGTGCTCGCGCCGAGAATCAGGCCCTGGAGGCCGTTGCCGCCGCCGACCTCGAGCGAGATGACGGAGGCCGTCGGGTCGAGGATGACGCCGTCCGTGTTCGTGCTTTGGGCGTCGTGAGTACGGTTGTCTTCTAACGAAAGGCTCTCTTCAGTTTGGGGTAGTCAAAACGTACCCGCCCACGTCAACCCCGATCTTCAGAATTGGTGAGACCATTTTGTTTTGGACTCTGAAGGGGAGTCGTGGTGGCCTCTTTCTGAATCATTTTTTGTTTTATTTTTTATGTCGACCTTTCGTGAGCTGAGAAGAAATATCACGACTTCGAACCCGCGGACTATGGGAACATAGGATTCGCGATGATGGCATCTCACCAGTGAATGAGACGAGTCATGCATCATGTATGATCGGACGCTCTTCGACACGGCGCCGGCATCGAGTCCCGGCCGACATCCGAGCCAAAACCCGGGGTCAAACCCGCCTCCGGTCTTGCTCCTATCTTCCAACCAGCGAGGTCGAAACGGAGGCAATAGCTGCCGTTGATTCTCCACGGACAGAGAGCTAGTCACAAGTAGCAGGGTAGACTGCAAGTGGTCCATCTACCCTCTTATCACGGGCATGTCAACGGCGGAGACAGACCCCACTCGACCGCATCAACATCGTTATCGTCGGCATCGGGAAGATATCGACGGGGTATTAGATTGCATCAGGTTCTATCGAGGGTGTAAAATATCCGATCTTCTGGGGGGCAGGCGAGGGGTCTGCCAGTTCTCAGGCTCGTTTACCCAGCCAAACTCCGAATAGAGGCTGCTTCCCCGGAAATAGCCACCGAAAAAGCATTCTGACCTTGCACGATAAGAACCCTGCCAAGACTGCATTGCCTAGTTGTCGAGAGAGTAAACGTTTCGGGAGACTGGCGGATGCAGCAGCAGGGAGCTTTGGCAGATGGCGAGTGCCGAGATAAGATTGAACAGTTCTATATCAGATGCACGGTAACCTCTGGCGGAGCCAATGCAACTGGCTCTCGCCATTCTCCCTCTCCATCAGCGAGCCGACCCGTTGAGCCCGTATTCCCGTGAACAATGGCGCAGAAAACCGTTCGCAGGATCAGAGAGGCGGCGACGCTCGACTTTGACGAGTCCCGCCACGAGGAGGCCAGCGCCTGGTCGAAATCGACCTCATCCCGCTGCCGCCGTCCCGACGCACCTGGGGCTGGTTCAACTTTTTCGGTTCCTGGTCGCTGTGAGTGGTTTTTCTCTTCTCCCTTTCCCAATGACACGGATGATAAACAAACCAGGAACCTAGTTGGCTTACTCTACCATACTAGGTCTTCCCTGAATGTGGCAACATGGCAAACGCCCGACACCTTCTTGACCCAGGGGCTCTCGGTCGGTCAGGCCATGGCCGTGATCGTCGTCTCTCGGGCGCTGTGCTGCCTCTTCGCCATCTTCGTCGCTTGGTGCGGTCTGACGTGGCACATCGGCTTCACCGTGCAGAACAGATACACCTGGGGGTTCCGCGCGAGCTACATCCCGTCGCTGCAGCGCATCCTGCTCAACTTTATCTGGACAGCTCTCCAGTGTAAGTCTCTATCGTTTCGTCATTCTCGGGTTTTGTACGGTTATCCCGTGTTGACTAGTTGAACAGGTTGGAACGGAGGCAAGCTGGTGACGTGAGTACATATATCGTCCCGCCTGGCCAGGCCCGGCAAATCACTGACGATACCACCAGGGTGTGCATCACGGCCATCTGGCCGTCCTTCGCCAAGATACCCAACACTCTCGGCGCCGGCACCACAACGACCACCTACGAGATGGTCGGCTTCATCGTCTTTTGGGTCGTTTCTGTCCCGTTCCTCTTCATACGGCCTGAAAAGTTCAAGAAGCCCTTCTTCGTGTCCTCCGTCGCGTGCGGTGTGGGCATGGTCGCCCTGCTCATCTGGTCACTGGCGGTCGCGGGAGGCGTTGGTCCGGTATTCTACCAGGGCCAGAGCGTGTCGTCCAGCTCGCGGTGGAGCGCCTCATCATCGGCACTGTGTCGGTCTACTGGATCACCGAGGTTCTCGTCTGTCTGGGGGGCCTGGTCACCACCGCGGCTTGCCAGAAGATCTACGGGCACATCTATTGGAACCCGCCGGACTTGCTGATGGTCATGATGGATCGTACGTTTTTGCTCCCTCCCCCCCTTTCAAAGTATGTATAAAAATCCGAAAACTGATTTCGCGACCCCGTCAGACGGACAAGGTTCCCCGGCGTCTCGCGCCGCCGTCTTCTTCCTCGCCCTCGCCTTCGCCTTCACCTCCATGTTCGAAAACGTCTGTTCCAACGCCGTCGCCGGCGGCATCGATCTCGCCGGACTCTTCCCCCGCTACATCGACATACGCCGCGGCGCGCTCATCACCTTCTTCGCCGCGTGGATCATCCAGCCCTGGCAGCTGATCAACCAGGCCGCCACCTTCGTCGCCGTGCTCAACTCGTTCGCTGTCTTCCTCGCGCCCATCATGGGCGTCATGGTCTGCGACTACTTCGTCCTCCGCCGCCAGAGGATCAAGCTGTCGCACCTCTTCCACCCGGAGGGCTCCGACTACTGGTACTGGCACGGCGTCAACTGGAGGGTGATACCGTGCTGGATCGCGGGCTGGCGCCCACCATCGGCGGCCTGATCGTGAGCGCGGAGAAGGACGACAGCGCCCCCGACGCGCTCTACGAGCTGTACTAAATCGCCTTCTTCATCGGGTTCCTCATCTCCTTCGTGCTCTTCTATCTCGCCAACCTCGCGTTCCCGGTCGCGCATCTCGGCGAGATCGACGAAGACGACAAGTACGGAACCTCCACGGCGAGTGAGGCGGCCAAGCTGGGAGTGACGCCGAACGATGCGGCCATCACTTCCGGTTTCTCCAAGGAGGAGGGCATCACCCAGGTGAACGAGGTCTCAGAGTCTGCGTCCGGCAAAAGCTCGAAGTGGCGGAGCTTTAGGAGGCGATGAACAAGCCTGAGCCTGCGGGTGTGTCTAAGAGGGATTGCGCCGAAGAAAAGGTTCGGCTATGTTTATGCTAGGAAATAAAACCGTGTTCCCAACCAGCCCACTCTTTCCACCTTACCTGTGCTTCTTGAGGTATCATCTCATGCCTGAATGGTCCTGCCGCCTTTTCGATGCTACCAAGCTCAGCCAGTAGGAATTGCCTCGATGATTCTAAGCTGATGTCTTGAATGCTCCAATATTCCTAGGTCCGCTCGGTCCCTCTTCAAGACCATTGCCTCTCCGAGCACTCTCCCGCCAACGCCAATGAGGTCGCATGAAAGAAGTGCTCTGCTCGCCATACTGCAAGACGTCGGCCGCATGCTGTGGGGAGTGTCAGTCAGAAGCCGAGACCACAGAAGATTCTCAACCCACCTCGCCAAGGACGGGGAGGAACTTGGCACCATGGCCACTGCCCCCCGTTGCCACGAAAACGCTTTGATCGGCGTAGGTGGGCACGTAGTCGATCTAAAAAGGATCAGCTGTCGATTCTCGGGAGCGAGAACTGGGTAAGATTATTCTGGGATCATCGTACAACAAACGAGTTGTCCAGCGAGTCGGTATACCAGCATAGCTTGGTCGAGTTGAAGTCCACGCCAGCGAACTCTGGGAGGAAAATGGAAACAAACTTTCTGATGGCCTCCCTAGCTGGCTCCGGGACCATGCGGCAGTCTGCCGGTGGCAGGGGAACCGACCATTTCCCATCTTGGTTGAATGATGCCCCGGAAGGGGTCGGTTGAAAGTTGGTAAACTGGGGGGTTTGATCAGTTGCAGCCCTCGCTCGTCGTGAAACAAAAGAAGAAGAAAAAAGACAACTGGACAAGATACCTTGATGCCACGGAACCCGATTTTGATTAAACCGTCGGCGGTCCTCGGCAGGACGTACACGCTGCCCGAGTCTTTTCCGATCGCGTTACGCGGGGCGCTTGTCCAGGTAACGACCGGGAAGCGCTCAGGAGAATACTTGTCCCATAGAGCCGCATCGGCCTTGTCGACCTTAAAGGTGACCACGCTGCCTGCCGAGGACTCAAGATGGTAAGACAGATCAGGCAAAAGCTGTGTAGTGAAAGATCCAGCTGGTTCCGCTCAGCATTACGATTTCCAGGGAATTCTGGGCCCGGGTTCGCTCTTACCAGCGATAACAACGAGATCAGCCTTGCGAGAAGCCCCGTCCTTCGTCTTCACTCCAACCGCCTTCTTTTGGCCTGCCGTTGACGGGTTCTCCTCGATGATGCTGTCAACTGCACCCTTTTCAGGACCAAAATTAAACGTGACACCCTGACGAAGGGCCAGCTTGTAGAAATAGGCGCACGCCTCGCTGCATTTCGTGAACCCGGCAAGGGAGTCGAGGACGGCCTCATACGTCCGCGCGTGCGAAGATTCCGGGATTTCAAAGTCCAGAAGCTTCGCGTCCACGCCACGCTCGGCAGCTCGCTTGCGATCAGCCGCGTCGCTCTTGACAAACTGCGTGTACCTCAAGCACTCGCGCTCCAAGTTGCTCAAGGTCTCGCACTCGAGGGGGTCAAGGCTGGCCGTGGGCTGTACGCGGAGCATGCAGCACCCAACGAAGAGGTTCGACCGCTGGCTCTCGTCTTCTTCGCGGTGGCGCTGCTCATTGATCTTCTCCCAAGCGGCCCGGCTTTCCATCGCGAGGCGTTGGTAATGGAGCTTGGTCCCATACGAAGCTCTAAACTGTGCGTCTCGTGAGCTGGCCACCAAGTTCCGGCTTCGAACCCGAGGAGACTCACAATCTTGTTATGGTCAACGGAGGCGGCCTGAGTGCGGCCGTCCAGGTCAGGAGCGTAGTTTGTCTCATCGTAGTGGTATCTGTCAAACACTGTCACGCGATATTCTATAGCGTCTTGTTAGTTTTACCATACGTCGACGATGGCGGGTTTATACTTACGCCGCTTGCTGAGAGCAACGGCTAGAGACAGGCCGAAGATGCCCGCTGAGAAGACGATCAGTTACGTAACAAGGATTGAAAGTCGGGAATGTCCACGCACCACCGACGATAGCGACCGACTTCGGTTCAGACATGGTACTTTTCGTCTCAAGTGCTTCTGTGGTTGGGTCAACTAGATCAGATGGGAGTAAAGGTTGCGAGTCGCTGAAAGCGGGGAGAAGCTTGTCCCCCCACGACTGCTTATCTGTATTACACATCGAGATGTGGGGGTGGGATAATGGTTTGACTAGGCATACGCTGCTGGACTTTCTCCGCCGAGTCCTACCAGCCAAGTATGGCGGGGCCGGCTACCTTTTGATACACAACCAGAAGAGCATGTAAGTTACGGGTATCATTGCTAGAAAACTGGGCAAACTTGAAGCAAGACAAGGCCACCAACATGCAAGCTTAACTGAGTGTGCATCTCTTAGAATATTGCTATAACTTAACCCATGTTAGAACTGTACAAAAACCGGCCTCATTGGGATATCGACCAGGCCCAAGCCATATAAGCGGTGAAAAGACACGCCTCTGAGATTAGGCCACTGGTTGGACTCGGCGATGAAGATGGCAGATTTGCATCAGTTGTTGTCGCCACTGGCGGCAGAGAGAGCTCCGAAAGTCTAGGCGAAAAGGCGACAGGGATATCACAAGTAAAGACCGTCACAACAGAACGCGACTAGAGGGGATATAGTTTCCTAACTTCTTAACTGTAACCAAATACACTTCTTCATGAAACGCTAGCCGTGTTGTAGCTCACAGGCTGGCTCTGTTTAATATTACTCACATAAGTCATCCGGTATACTAATGGTTACACGCAAAACCACGTGTATAATAATACTTCAATCACTAGTCCGATATGGGCAGTACGGCGCACCTGAGATCGATGTGGGACTCTCCTCTTCACACGCCACTAAAAGACACAAGCTATGAGGGTTTAATGGCGGGGCGCAGAAATTCTCTAGGAAAGGGAATGCTTCTGCGCAATATGCTTAGTTTTGGGTATGAAGGGGGCTTACATGCAACGAGTATCATCGCGCGAAGTTGCAAGGGGGTAGTCAGTTATGGCCTCCCCCCCCTTCCGGACCATGGTGGAAGCTTTCAACCTTTGGAAACCCTGTGTCTTTTTCCTAGGCGCAATTGCGAAAAGGTGGAAGGGTAATGCGCGATGCCTTTTGAGGTTCCGTGCCTACGTCGATAAGCTCCTCATCGAGAAGCTAGCAACTACGGAAAATGTCTGTATGAACACTGCTCCATGTCCTGACCAGGTTGCACGACATGGTCAACTTATGGGAAGGTCAAGCGACGAAATGGTCAGGAGGTATAAAGTTGGCGGGACAGGGAGAAGAAGACGAGAAAAGGAAAAAAAACCCGTTCAAGACGAGCTGAGCTATGAGAGTCGCATCGGCTGTTGGCAAACATTCCTCCTTTGCAAGGCCCGCCAGGCTAGAATACATGGGCCGACCACCGATGCCGAAAATCCAACCAACAACGCCGTGCTGTGATGCAAACCATGGATACAGATACGAGCCCGCCAGCGTGCAATGAATGTTACAAGAGAAAAAAGGTAAGGAACATGTTCCACAGAAATCCGACACACATACCAACCAGAGCCCTGTACCCTACAGGCACCAGCGCAAAGTTGAACAGGGCCACCAGCGGCCAGAACTTCCAGGCGGCCTTGATCAGATCGAAGATCCTCTCCCTCCAGATCTGGTAGACCAAGGGCGAAAGGCCGAGACGCAGGGCGGAAGTGATGATGAGAAACGCCGAGTTCATCATGAAGAGGCCGATGGTCTGGTCGACGAGGATCTTGCGGGCGACATTGAAGTAATAGTTCTTGGCCGGCGGCGGCGGCCCGTCGGGCTTCTCGACCTTGGGCTCGACGATGGAAGGCTTCCTGGCGCGGCCCCTGGCGGCGTTGGGGAAGCTGTCCTCGAGGAAGTGCTGCCACCAGTAGTTGATGTGGCCCTGGATGAAGCCAAAGGTGGCGAACTCGAGCACGCGGCGCACGTCGAGCGGGGGGGAGCCGCCGCCGGCCTGCCTGTGCTGGTTGACCAGCTGCGCCGTGAGGTTTGCGGTGCCCTTGAGTAGTGATGACTGGATCGCCGTGGCGAGGATGGAGGGCATTATGGCGTCGTCGAGGCTTGCTGGGGGTGCATTGAGGCTGAGCGAGTGAGTGAGATGCCGGGCGTGTGTTTGAAGACTCAAGTTGCCGTGTGTTTTGCAATTGGGACCACGTTGTTGTTACATGCCGGAGAAGCTCGAGCGCACTCGAGATATTGTGCCCAATCTCGGCACGTCTTACCGCTCCACAGGTTAAGTGAAACAGGAAAGATTAGCCTACAACCCCCTTGTAAAATCGTATTCAAAATTCCAATCGTCAAAACCCTTGGTTGGGATCGTCAGGACCCTGTAACTAACACTTATATCTCGTGACATAATCCATAGTGGCGAATGCTCTCGTCGCTGCAACGGATACGCATTAGTTACTAGCGTGATTTAGAAAAAAAGGCGAATAGGCAATGAAAAACAGTTCCATCGGTGAGCCAGCGCAAGAGATATAAGCATACTGGTCAATACTGTGCTGCGAGAACTAATTACATTGGGCTACATACATGATTCCCTACTTTGCCCTTTACAAGGAAGGTTACTTTCCCGCACTTTAACAGAAAGCGCTGAGCAGACTTTTTGGTCATGTTCGATGAAGCCAAGCAACGCCGAGGGTGTTTGGGGGTGAAAATATGGACATTGACTTGCTGGAGCCGGTAGGGCAAATATTGTACTGATGAAAATATACATGTACTTAAAAATCTCAACCCACCACCACACGGGTTGAGCTCGACGCCTAGCAGATGTTACGAGCCCCGTTGCCAGAGAGGTTCCACCTGATGTTGGTACCGCAAGGGGACTCGCGGACACTGGTGCCGTCGACCCTGGCGGTGATGGAGATGTCGCGAGTGTTGGGGAACTCGCTGCGGGCAGAGATGCGGACCTCGCCGCCGCCGTTGACGGTGCCGCCCCTGATGGTGACGCCGTAGCAGTTCTCCATCAGGATGGCGTTGTTGCCGTTGCTGGCGAGGTCGATGGTGCCGATCTCGGCGCCGCCCGACTGGGAGACGCAGAAGATGCCGCGGCCGCCGCCGCGGGAGACGACCCTCGTGACGAAGACGTTGGTGGTGTAGGCGCCGTTGGCGAGCTGGCCGTTGTTGTTGGCGAAGCGCAGGGTGCCGTAGCCCGTGCCGGCGCCGACGTTGTTGCCGTCGACGAGGCCGACGCGCGCGTTGGTCGTCTTCTGCATCAGCAGCCCGGACTCGCCGCAGTTCCTGGCAATGACCTGATCGATGGTGAGGCCGTCGACGTTCCACGTCTCGACCGCGTGGCTGCCCGCGCCGTTGACCGTGATGGTGCCCATCCTGACGTTGGAGTTGGCCGCCTGGTCGCGGTCGAAGCGGATGCCGAGGCCGCCGCTGAGGTTCATGGTGATGGCGCCGAGCGTGAGGTCCCTGGTGCCGTAGAAGCGCAGGCCGAAGTACGGGTTGCCCGTCATCGTGAGGTAGGGGATCCTGACGCCCGAGGCGTTGAGCACCTCGATGGCGCCGCGGCCGTTGCGGAAAACGGCATTGATGGTCCCGCAGCCCTCAAACGTCTTCCCGCCGCCGATGCTGATGGTGCTGGCGCCGATGGAGCCCGAGGCCATGACGGAGACGCGCTGGCCGCTGCCGATGGAGTCGACCGCGGCCTGGATGGCGGCGCGGTAGTCGGAGCCGGCGTAGACCTGGCTCGAGCCCCTCGTAGCAACAAAGGAGCTCCCGGAGCCCGTGACTCTGGCATCGGGCGCGCCGGCACCGCACTGGGCTGCAACAGAGGAGGCGAGCGCCAACACCGCCGTGAGAAGGGAGAACTTGGCCATGGCTGCGGGCTATCTGGACGAATGCTAGAGTTGGCAAGCAAGGTGACAAGTCCAATAACTCCTTGACAACTACCGACTCCCCAGGCCACTTTATATCCAAAAGAATACTGTCTCACTTTGAGGTAAAGAAAACGGCCATGCGCCAGATGCGCACCATTCCGGTAGATGCTCGCTCCCCTTGCACGGGTATTGCGTTCGTTGGAGGACGGCATTGGGCCGTTTCCCCAGATGCGCCACTGGCCGGGTATGTAACCTCCGTTTCCATTACCGAGCCCAGATGCAGCTCTACAAGGCCACAGAATGGCCCCGGGCGGGCCAAGTGGCATCATGGCATGTTGGGAAGAGATTGGCCAAGGGGCTGCCGGGTCGGTCGAATGTTGTACGAATGGAACCTTGGCAAGAAGAAGCAAAGAGGCGCTCTGGGACGTCGACCTTCCCGATCCATATCCTTGAAACCCCCGTACTTTGGCTCGTGGCTCACATGTTTGGGTCTCGGCACCGCGCTGGCTCGGCTTGGCAGCGCTGCGGGGGAGAGGCGATCAGGCCGGAAGCGATACAAACATTTGGGAGGAAACATTCCAAGAATCACGGCAAAGAAAAGAGAAACCTGGCTGTTACTCGGTAAACAATGATCAACCCCAAGTCTAGACGCGCAGCACTATATCCCACGAGACCTCGGGGCTTGGCAGCAATACAGCGGGCATGTCAGTTCCAGGGGCTGCGTCTCACATAGACAACACTTTTTCCTCTTCGAGGCTCGACCACTTTGCCGGTGAGAGCTCAAGGATGCGTCATCCTACGAACTCCAGGTCCCGCATGCTGTACTCCATGTGGAAGTGAGCCTCACCTGAATTTGTTTCTCAGGCTGGCTCAGGTCATAGCAGATTTGTTGTCCGGATTTGTTGTCCAGATTTGTTGTCCAGATTTGTTGTCTAGATTTGTTTTCCAGGCTTGCTTTCCCACGTCATAGCAGCCATATCTTATTTGTTCATTATGCGTCTGGTATCTTGGTTTGGACTGTTCGGCTGGCGCCCAGATGCCTCCGGTGGGCGCAAATAAAGTCGACCAGTCGCGGGGGAGCGGCTGCTGGGTAGAGTCCACCGACTCTATTTAGTGGGCACCTGCACGACCCTATTCCCCCGCCTTTTGGAGCTTGTTATTCTGCGTCTCCTCTAGCAACTGTAAGCTTCCCGGTATTCAGCTTGCTTTGGAAGCAGTGCCGGGTTCGACCTTCACCGTCATTCTCTGACATGACTTCTGATAGCTCCGGAGTTTGAGTGACTATCTCTATGCTCATTGGCGGGACCAATTGTGGAGGGATCTGGTCTACTCTACTACCGGCCCTGACGAGAAGACGGTTTGAATTACTCCGCCTTGGCACACTATAGACAGCCCCTCAACCGGGAAATCCAAGTCCGGTCTCCCTCTGCCGCGGACGCTTTCAAGTGAGTAGCTTTCACATAATGTCTTGTGCACCTACAATACAGGAGACTAGAAGTAGTAAATGGGCGTAGGGCAGGCGACAGACTTATACTTGATGATCAGTCATAATGCCGAACCCCAGGTTCATGTTCCTTGGAATAGACAGCAGACCATAGCAAGCCGGCATGTCGGTGAAAACGGGGCCGAGTCAAAAACGCCGAGGGGTATTACTGCAACACTCGCAATGGACATTAGGCCGTCTACACATTCCGCCTCGCTGAACGCCATGGCAGGCCCTTTTTTGGTATCCAATGGTGACAGACCGAATCTCCTCTTTTAGTCACCAATCCTGACTGGCCATGGGACCATCTGTTTGCGGAGAACTTCATGTACCTATATGCCACGCGAATCAATATCTGGCCAGGTCCGTTGGCATTGTCTACCGCCCATTGTTAATACTGTAAGGTCGTAGTATGGGAAGATATTGGCAATGGCCATGCTGCAACCCTATTCATTCAGAGTGCCTCAAAGCAAAAGTCGCAGGTCGACCAAGTTCTGGGGCGAGAATGCCCCTCGACTCATGCAAGCAATCCGGAAGTCCTGCTCCGACAACAACACCGTTGTGGCTTATACCCTAAGCTCAGCCTAGACGACAAACGATTCGGGCCAATGATAGTAGAAACCCCCTTCTTGGTTAGTAGTGAGCGAGTCAGATGCAAGCAGCCATAGTCATAGAACCGACATTGTACGCCAATCGCACGAGGAGCCGTCGACTGTATAGGTAAACCATAAGTAGACTTGAGTACATGATGCAGTGGTCGTTAGTAATAAAAGGGGGATGGCGGTAATCCCTAGTTGAAACTGTAATGAGGACATGGAGAGGGATTGGTTGCATAGTTGATTGACTTTACCTCCGTTCGTCACCATCTCACCAGAGATTGAGTTGCAACATAAAAACTTCTGACGAGTTTCAAGCCTATGGATCTGATTGAAGGATATACCTTTACTTTATTATCTTATTGGCCCTTACAGTAACCTTTTCCCTATCTGGTCAAGGCCTAGTATTATCCGTAAGAGGTTGACTTCTAACACAAGGTCATCTGGTTGCCATACGACCTCTTTGAACGGCAGAATCTGACTAGCAAACACTCGCTGAACTAGAGATGAAGTCTGCGCCTGGTCAACGGTCATTTTTGGCGCCGTGCTTTTGTGCGGCTGGATAAACAAGTGGCGGAAACGCGCTTTCTAAAGGCATTTTTTGTGTTATTATCCTTTGCTCTTTTCGTCTTTCTCACAAAGCCCTTGTTTCCATTGAGTAAAGCTCTCCCCTTCAGCCAAACCGGTCCATACCGCAGCAAACGTATGACAACATCCACCGCGACAGGCAGTTTTTCGTCACGTTTCCCTTTCCTCCCAGCCCTCAATCTACTTCGCCCTCACGAGATGGCCTCCAGCGCAAGGGTTTCCTATCCCCATGCCGCGATTCGAAAAGCCTGGGAAGGCATGAACGCCTCATGGTACCATCGAGACGCAACTTTCGAGCTTACACGATCGATCAACGCGACGCTCAAGGTCTGGGAATGCCTGGCCATTGGGCTACTGGCCCTGGACCTCGTCATCACCCTCTACGGCATCGGCGCTAAGATCCCCGACACCGTCCTTCACATCCCCAACGAGGTTGCTCTCGTTTCCTTCACTGAGCTGATTATCCTTCTCCAGCTCCTGCAGATACTGCTTCCCGTGTACCCCGCCGAGGAGTTTGCCATGTTCGCCGTCCCCCAGAACATGACCGACCAGACCGTGTGCAAGTGGGCCGCGGGCGTTTTCGGACTGCAGGAAGCAGAATTCCGCGGCCGCCGGCGGGATACCAACGCCAACGATCTGTGTGCCTTTGGCGTCTTTCTCTTGCCGGCTGGTGCGACGGTCGCGTGGAAATGGCGAAGACTTCGGCGTCGTCAGAGGCAGATCAGGATGGAAGAGCAAGCGGCGCTACTTTTGCGTGCTTTTCGGATTTGGGACGTTGGGAGACTCGATGAGCCGGGGTTCTAGATAGAGCTGATTCTCTTTCTTTTGAGTTCCCTCGACCCGAGGATACAGTTGCCACGGGCAGATGTAGAGCACGGTGGCTTTGGTTCGGAGCATACCAAAACGATGGACAGCCATTTAGGCTTCCCGAAAAGCTTGGGATAACCAGTGGGCTGTGTGTGTATAGGGCATCAGAGCTTCTGATATTTATTGTCTTCTCTTCAGAAGACAATTCACAGGGTCCTCAAATACAAACCTGGGGATCATGATAAGCACTACAAATTGTTTCAAACTACTTCGTGTAGCCCGAAGAAATAGTCCCTTTGATCATCCGGAAATAGCCTCTCTGACTTTGGACTTCTTCTTTCCGTAGAGGGGATTCTTTATGTAGGCTTTTTACAGTGAATTGTAGTCTTTGGCTCCTCCAGAGATTGTGAGGAATCTTTATTCTTTCCATTCACATCTTGGCCTTAGTTTTTCAGGCTCTTCACTCTTTCAGCCAGGCTAAACAAGAGCATAATTCACCTTCACCTTGACACCCAGCCTGTGGATATTTAGTCGCACCTTCCCAATCCGCATTCACTCACTCGTACCTTCTCTCATCATCAGCTCCTTTCTTAACAAAGTTGTCTTCTTTTGCCAGCCAGAAGAGAGAAAAAAAAAACACTTTTCCTCCCACACGCATCACAACCTGGTTCTCTATTCAAAACGCCTGCACACAAGAACACAGGATCAAGCAACCAACCCACTCATAATGGCTGATATTGTTATTGGGGCCTTCTTGTAAGTCAATCTAATACCTGCGGTTGTGAGATATGAGGCCAAGACTAACGTACGCCTGACACACCCAGGGCCTGGTACACCTATGATGAGGCTCTCACCAAGTACTTCGCGAACAAGACAAAGCCCATCCCTCTCCCCGAGAATCCTTCCCATCAGAGCACTGACGTTAGCATCATCGTCGCGACCATCGACACCCCTGATTCCTTCACCGACTGTCTTCGTCTGTGGCTCGCCAACCGCCCAAAGGAGATCATCATCGTCACCATCGATCGCGATCTCCAGCGCGTTTACGATCTTGTCAAGCCCGTCGTCACTGATGGCGACGACCGCATCAGCATCATGACCGCCGACTACGCCAGCAAGCGCCACCAGATGGTTGTTGGAATCAAGCAGGCCAAGGGCAAGATCCTTGCTCTTGTCGACGACGACGCCTTCTGGAACACTTTGCAAGTGCTCCCCCACCTCCTCGCGCCTTTTGAGGACCCCAAGGTTGGCGGCAGCTTTGGAAAGCAGAGGTGAGTGAACAACGATCCCTCCCCTCCCCCAAAGTCACCCTTGATCAATGGTTCGACTGACTTTTCTGCAGCGCCCACATCCCTATGAAGCGCCGCAACCCTGCCGTCATCACTCCTTGGGAGGTGGCGTCTCTCCGCTCTTTGGACAACCAGAACAGCATTCAAGCCATCCGCTGGACCGCCGACGGCGGCTGCTTCTGCATGGTTGGCCGCACCATGGTCTTCCGCGCCGAGGTCGCCGCGGATCCCCGCTTTCTCCAGGCCATCACCGCCGACACCTGGTGCGGCAAGCTCATGAACACGGGCGATGATTCCTTCATCACCCGCTGGCTCCAGACCGAGGGCTGGGACATTGCGGTCCAGAACGCGCCCGAGGCCGAGATCACCACCATCGTCTTCGACGACGCCAACTTCTTGCGTCAGCTGGTCCGCTGGCAGCGCAGCGCCATCCAGTCGTTCCTCACGACCGCCTTCTACCAGCCTGGTCTGGGAAAGATCGCCAAGTAGGTTTCTCCTTTCCTGGCTCGGGTCGTCACAAAGATGATATAGATGACTGACTCTTTTGATAGAAAGCATCCCTACATGGCTCGCAAGCTCGTCGAGCGCCTCCTTCGCCCTCTTTTGGCCTGGATCCACATCGTTGCCCTCGTCGAGGGCTTCCGCAACAATTCTTCCATGGCGTCAGCAATCCCCCTCCCCCCCAGTTCTGTTTATGAAATCATTGACCATTGTTGTGCTGACTTTCATCTCTGCAGGTACTTGGCCTTCTTCTGGTACGTCTGGGGCTGGATCAGCGCCTATGGCGGCTTCATTCGCCGCTTCCCATTTGCGGCGCGTCACATCTGGGCTTGCTTCCTGCTTGACAACGCCCACCCCGTCCTTGATCTCTACGCTTGGGCCACGCTGTCTACCGAGGCTTGGGGCACCCGCAACGAGAACGCTTGAACAGAAGTCAGAGAGCCTACTTTGCTTGGCGCAACACGAGCCTGATGATGTTTAGCTGAGTGGTGGGCTTCCGCGATTCGCCGCAAGGCATTTAGGGAGAGATGGGCTCTCTCGAGGGAAAAGAAATGAGTTCTGCACTTGAGATGGTGATAGAGGAGCCAACTAATCAATGAGTCCTTTTGCAAAAGCAACTCTTCTCCACGTTCTGGTGTTTGCTTTAGAAGTAGGCAGACAGACAGACGACCATGATCTTTTACGACTGACTTGCCATAGATAAGACTGGCTTGTGAAATGTAAAGGGGAGCAGTGAGTGTCTGACGTGGCTCGCTTGTACAATATTCCGACGGGGCGCAACTCTTGGACGACGGATGCCGCATTTGCGGCAATAGGCATCTATATCTATCTCTTAAGAACGCTCGCCTCGATGGCGGCCTGGTTTCGAAGGGGGGGGGTATCGTGTTCTATCGGAATGAAGAGCTGGTGGTGTTCTGCCTTGTAGTCCTTTTTCCTTCCTTTCTTTTCTTCCGTCCTCTAGTCTCCAACGCAACCCTTGTAATATGCTAGCATCGTCTTTACCCAGGCGCCATGTCTTCCCAGACGCCATGTCTTCCCGCAAGTTCTGTAGTCTATCCGTTGTGCGAGGCCTCTCACGTTGGCCGAACCAATTTCGGCTCTAAACGAACACCCCCACATCAGCCCGTATAACCCGGGCTCCCCCCCCCCTCTCCCACGCTCACTGTGCCTTCTTCGCAACACCGGCTCCGTCAGACGTCAGGTCCCTGATCAGCCTCATGTACCAGCTCGCGCCGTAGGCGGTGAAGATGTGCCACCAGCCGTGCAGCTCCAGCAGCCAGGCGAGCGGCAGGCCCAGTTCCCTCCGGGCGGCGCGCAGCTCGGCGCAGTACTCGAGGTCGATGTGCCACAGAGTGAAGCCGAGGATGAGGATGGCGCAGGCCTCGGCGAAGCGGCGCATGAGGGCGCGGCGCTCGGCGGCGGACCAGCGGCTGCCGGGGCCGTAGACGAGGAAGAGGGTGCGGGGCCAGACGAGGGTCAGCAGGGCGGAGAAGGTGGCGACGTGGATGAAGATGTCGCCGGAGCGGACGTAGACGACGGCCATGGCGGCGATGGCGAGCCACAGGGCGACGGCGAGGGCGGCGGCGACGGGGCGCGACCGGCGGAAGACGTAGAGCGGCTGGACGAGCGAGCCGGCGAGCACGAGCATGGAGAGGTCGTCGAGGAGCTGCGTCTCCTGGTGCATGGTGCCGTGGAAGACGGCGGAGAAGACGCCGACCAGGAGGAGGCCGACGGACTGCACGTCGAGCGTCTTGTACCACGGCGCCGCGGCCTGCGGCCTGGCGCGGGGGTACCTCAGCGCGAGGTAGACTAGGGGGACGTGGATGAGCGAGGTGGTGCTGACGAGCGGGGGACGACGGATGGACGACACAACTTACCGTAGGTGGCATTGGAGAGACAGTTGATGAACTCGGCGATGTAGCGCGTGAAGAGGTAATCTTCCTCGCAGAAGCTAAAAACGGGGAGAGAGAGGGGGTTCACGTCAGCAAATGAATGTTCCTGCTCTCACATGGCGAGCGAGTTGAGAGAGCCGGCCGCTTACTTGGCCTTGCTGGTCGGGTAGCCCCAGATGCCGTCGCCGGCAGTCGGGTCGTTCGGAAAGCGCAGAGTCTGGTGCTTATGGCTCATGGTGACGCCGGGGGGGCAATGGCCTTTTTTTTTCCTTCCGGCTCTTGGCGTTGTTCGGTGAGTGAGGGCTTTTTTTTTTTCTTTTCCTTTTTATGAACGTTGACTGCGGGCGATGAAGGCGTTTGCGTGATCTGAACGCGACTGAGGTTCAATCGTCGGAAGGGTTTGAAATGGCCAAGTCCGGAGGGGTGGGGAATCTGATTTCGTTTTGCAAAAAAAAGGCCCTCGATAAGTCGTGTTGTGAAACTTTACGTCTCGGGAACGACTCTTATCCGCATTGGGGTTTGTTGTGTGTTGTGGCTTTGTTGTTCGTCTGATGTCCCCTTTGAAGGATCAATCAAACATGACAGCAACGTCGGTCCACGAAGCGAGAAAAAAAAGAAAAGGGAAAAGAGTGGGGGCATCCTCGGCATGCATTCAGTGGGAAAGGGGAGAGGAGAGATGGATAACGTAAACAAACGTGCAGGGGGGGGGGGGGGGGCCCGCGGTCCGCTACCCCGCGGAGGCCGGGGGAGAGAGCGTGTGTGGTCCGGGACGGCCGGATGCGGGTTTCTTGGATCCACCGGTCGTGGGCTGGCTGGGCTGGGCCGGGGTTTTTCTCTGGACCGGCCTCACTTGTCACTTGTTCCATCAGGACATGGGCTCCGTGTAGCTCGATCGTAATGCGCCAACAAGGCAGCCCAGCCCAGCCCGCGGACAACCAGTTCTGGGACTCTGGTTCCGAGACAAGGTGATTAATTCCAGGTGGCGTGTGTATGGTATGTATGTTATCTATCGACATGATGCGATATGATACCACTCCGTTTGCAGCCGTCAACAATGCCTTCGTTTCCTTGACCTGTGCGTGTGTTTCTCTCTTCCCACTTCACCTCGAGCAGACAGACACCACGACGCCATGTCATACAGTATTGCCACCATCCAACACCTCCGCCACGCCTCTGTCTGAGCGGCACGGTGTTCGCGACTCAACGGCATCATGTTCTATTCTACGGATAAATTTTATTTGTGGTGCTACGCGTCAGCAACCAAGAAACAACAAGTACCCGCCTTTTGTATCGCGTTGCGTTGATTGCACTTCAGCCACCTGTTTTTAGAGTGTAAATACTGTGGGTATTGAATTATTTATGTCGTGGTCTTGAACCAACCCGTCTTCTAAACACGACGATGCATACATGTACAACCAGGTCAAGCGACGAACCTCAACCCCCTCGTTTAATGAGAGAGAAAAGAACGCTACAGCCATTATATTCCCTGTCGCGCAGACCACCATCACCCAATGCCACCCGTCCCGTTCACGAAACCTTCTAGTTCTTGTTGTTGACGGGGGGCACCTCGACGGAGGCCGGGTCGCCCTTGGCGATGTCGTCGGCGACCTTCTTGGCGGCGCCCTTGTTGCCGACGCTGTTGAGCCACTTGTCGAGCTTGAACTGGTCGATGATGCGGAAGCCCCTCACCGCGGGGGGGAGCACTTTGGTGCACTCGACCAGCTGGTTGATGTTGTTGACGCCCAGGAGCGAGAGGCGGATGTATTCACGGGCGTAGTCCTGCAGGGTTTTTCCATGTTAGTACTTGCTGAGGCAATCGTCGCCAGTTGGGACATCCGGGGGAGAAGGGGGGAAGCTTGCCTCGTTCCAGTGCTGCTGGCCGCCGATCCCGGCAAAGTCCCTGAACTCCTTGGAGGTCTCGGGGTGCTGCGAGAGGAAGATGTCGCTGGGGAACTTGAACACGCGGGGAGGCGAGTTGGGGCTGAGCGTCTCCTTGTAGTACAGGACGTCCCACACGCCCGGGGTGCTGTCCTGGGGGTCGCCGGCGCGGGACGTGTTGACGAACTGCTGCTGGCTGGTGGTGTGCGCGCCGAGCAGCGCCACGAGGCCGTGGGGGGAGATGGTCTTGTCGCGGAAGAGCTGGATCAGCTGGTCGGCCGGCTGGAACGGGCTGGGGAGGAGGCCGGTCGGCGCCGGCGTGGAGCTGTCCTTGCGCCCGACGTAGGTCTTGATGCGCGGGCCGAGGGGGCAGACGACGGTGGCGACGTTGGCGCCCATCTAATTTCTCGTCAGCATGCCCGACGCCTGTTTCCTGTCATGTTGTCGTCGTCGTCATTGTCCCCCGCAACGTACCTGGATGAAGTCGCCCATGCCTATGTCCCAGCCCATGCCCTTGTACTTGCCGTACAGCTCATTGAACTTGGCGGCGACCTCCTGGAGGCCGCGGTTCTCGAAGCGGTCGATCTCGCCCGCGGCCAGCAGGATGCTGCCGTCGGCGCCGCCGCCCTGGCCGGCCGTGGCCTTGGACCAGGTCCCGGCGTCGTGGAAGCCGAGACGGACGGCGCCGCGCGCCAGGCTCGTGCAGCGGCCCGACGAGCCCGCCATGAACTTGTACATGTCGTCGGCGACGTACCGCCAGACGCAGCACGTGTCCTTCTTGCACTTGTCCGACGTCAGGTTGGGCACGCTGCTGTACCGGTCGTCCGACTGCGGGTTGCCCTTGCCCTGGAGGAGCCGCTTGACGTCCTTGCCGACGTTGGTGAGGTCGCGGTCCTTGAGGGTGACGAGGTCGCCGAGGAGCTCGGTGGACTCGCCCGAGTTGCTCGTACGGGCTTTGATATCGGCCATCTGCTCGCCCATGCCGGGGTAGGCCATGGCGCCCGGGACGGAGGCCATGGCCAGGGAGGCGGCGAGGAGGGATGTGATATGCATCGTGACGAGGCGAGTTGGATTACAAGTAGTAGGAATATAGCTAAGAGAAGTCAAGTAAGAGAAGGAACCCAGAGAAGCGAGTGTATATGACGCCGATGGTCGTGTAGGAGAAGGGGAAGCAAGGAAAGCGGCCTGGTGGAAGAAGAGACCAGGACCGGAACAAGGAGACAGGAAACGGCGCCTTATATCAAGTCTCGGAGCATCTTGGCAGCCTAGTCGCTGTCTACCAAGACCTGATCTTCGGGACCAGAGGCCGGCCTGCTCAGGTTTCCCCAGAGACTCCCGGACGGCTGACAGGCTTAAAAAGGGCTCCTCATCGTAGCGTGCATGGCTCCTTCGGAACGGAGCTTCTTCTGCCTCAGCCCAATCCCGAACATCAAAAAGCCCCAATCAAGATCTCACGGAACCGTGAAGCGTGCAGCTGTTGGACTTGCAGCGATCTGGGCGCGCGCGCGCGCACGCTTCGTAAACTTTTTTGCTCCTAAACTATGCCTCAGCCCTTGTGGGAGGTAGCCCAAAAAGGAGGACGACGGTGAGAAGGGCAAGACACGCCACCCCGGACTCCCGGGACACCCCAGGAAAGGGACAGGAAGAATGGAACCAAACTAGTATCACGTCAGACCCAGCCCGTGGACCCTCTCGGGGGGCACCTCACCATCAGCTTAGACCGAGGAGGATGATCTTCTTCGAATGCCATTCGCCGAAGCCAGGTTGGTCTGATAAAAGGCACAACAGACGGAGCCCGGGAGTCTGGACAGAAACAGCATCCATCCATGCGGCCGGAGCTACGATGCAGGCTAGGTCGGGGCTATCGATGGCCTTCATATGCATAGGGCAGTCATGCGTCGGAGGCGTTTGTTGCGTGGAATGCAGGGCCCTGCTCCCGCGCTCGGCCGTGTCACGGTAAGCATATCTCGCTTTCGACAAGCAGGGGGGAGGGCTAGCGGCCTCTCGTATCGCGCACCGCTAGCCACATTAGCAGGCGCCACGCCCAGGTTCCCGGCCGGGAGTATTGGGCGGCGAGCGTTTAAGCGTTTAAGCTTGTTGCAATGGTGTCCGGCGCCCCTCCCCGTCAGCGTCTAGCTGCAAAAAGAAAAAGGGGGCAACACACCGCCGTCGTCCTGGTGGCGAGCTATGGTGGGACGATGCAGGTAGGTCAACGTCGGCTGAGGCTAAGGAAGGGGGTCAAGCTGGCAAAGCCTCCGAGTACCGGTAAGTCGAGCCAGCCGGCCAAGCCAGCCGGCCAAGCCAGCCCACTTGGACGGATCGCGGTGCGTGTGTGTGGCTGGCGTCCCGTTGGCCCACGATGGCCCGGGGTTTCTCCTCGACTTTCTCTCGGCGAAGTGCTCTTTTGCCTGACGCTATTGAAGGCCGTCATGCGGTGACAGGTGGGTTTCGTTTCCTTTGTCGTTTCCCTGCCAAGCCGAATGGGAAATGAGAAAAGTCAATCGAGGGGTGGGATATTGGCATCCGATATTGGCATCCGATATTGCTGCTGCTGCTGCTGCTGCTGCTGCTGCTGCTCAAGGGACCGGCGCTCTTCACTTCCGCAGTATATGCCGGCCGGTGCTCGGATGAAAATGTCAGTCACGCACATATACGAGCGCGCGCATATGTCCGTCATTGGACATCTCTATTCCCCCTTTTCTCGGATGGCGTCGATGGCCTCGTGGAAGAGCACAGAGCAGGAAAAAAAAAGGGCAGCCCACCACGAGAGTCTGTGTCTCTGCCCCGTGCTGTACTGCGTTCGCTGTTCCGGTGCCACTCATGCCACGAGGGACCGCAGCTATGCAGCCAGGCAGGCTGCTGTGCTTCTCAATACCTGTGCGGATGTTGTCTCGCGCCCTCCTCCTCCCCTCCTCTGCGGAGAAACTTGGCGGGTGCTGGTATCAGACGAAAGCTACTCCTGTGATTCTTAGGACGGACGCGAGGCACCACTGCAGGCGAGCCGCTACGCGCGCACTGACTAACCCATCGGACTGTGTCTGTATGAACCGAGGGTTAGTTAGTCCCTCTGCCAACCTGATGTCGAGTTTCTTGTTTTTTGCGCAACCATGTCCATCGTCGAGCTTTGTTCGTCTGTGAGGATTCCCTTGCATGAAGCTGGAAGGGGGAGGTTTTCCAGCCGCAGCCCCGACAAAAATAAAACAAAATGCGCGCGTGAGAGGATGAAGCATAAATCTTTTTTAGCCGTGGCGCAGGTTAGCTAGCCGGGCTAGCTAGCCACAAGTAAGCGACACATGTCGTCGTCCTTCAGAGCCAGCTCCGCGAGCCGACCATTAGCTTCTTGCGAATGTAGGATTCCTCGTATTATCAAATTCAAACTTTGATATTGACACATAATAAAATATAGGCTTCGCTCGGCCTAGCCCGAGGACAAGAGGTGGGGAAGAGATGGAATGATGAGCTTTTGTCTGCTCCCCCATGCAAAATTTCCATTACCCTCCCAGAAACTTTTCCTTTACTTTTTTCTTTCTTTGTTGTTGTCCGCCAACATCTCCGAAAATCTTACTCCTCGTCGTCATCCGCTTCGGCCGCTGCGCCCTTCTTGGCCTTGGCCGCCGCAACCCACTCTTGAGCCTTGGCCATCACCTTGTCCCGGCCCTTCGGGCTCAGCTTCTGCTCCCACTCGGCCCACCGCTTGAACCACTTCATCGCCTTCTTGGGCTTGAGGCCCTTGGCCTTGGTGCCTCTCTCAAAGACATCCCTGATTGCCGTGGTGTCCGGTTCGGCCGCCGAGATCTCGAGGTCAGCAAGCTGGTTCCACAGGTCGAATCGCTTCGGCCACGTGGCGAGGATCGTCTCGAACGTTGTGCGGCCACGCTCTGCATCGCCGTTGGGCGACTTGAACTCGAGGGCGCCGAAACTGGCCATCAGCTGTGCCGTGTGGCGCTCCTCCAACGCCTGAGTTGCGCGAGGCAGAAGAGCGCGCGCCCGGTCCGGCTCGTTCATCGTCACGTGCAAGAAGTGGGCGTAGTTCTCCCACACCTTGGGTGACTTTGACTTGAACTTGGCCACCAGTGACTGGAACACATCATCCGCTTGCTGTTGAGAGAGAGAGAGAGAGTGTGTGTGTCAGTCGGCATTCTGATTGACAAATGGTCATGGGACTGCTGCTTACCTTGAGCTTTCCGCACTGGATGTAAATGCTAGCCAGGCGCTCGTGAACCTCTTGTTCATCGTTGTACTGGCAAGCACGCTTGAAAACCTCCTCAGTCGACGCCTTGGTGCCGTAAGCGACCTCCAAGTTGAGGTACGCAATCCAGACGTTGAGCTTCTCCGTCTGCTCGCGGATGTTGATGGTCTTGATGGCGCGCTCGGCGACTTCACGTGCCTTGGCCAGCTCGCTGATCTTCATCTGCAGGGCCATGTACTCAATCCACAACTGAGACGAGTCAGGCTCTCCCAATAGAAGACGCTCGTAGTCGGTAGCCGTCTGGGGCCCGTGAGCGTCGAGGTCGGCCGTGCGATCGACCTGGATTCCGCTCTTCTTCTTTTCCTTCTTCCCCGTCGCCTTCGACTTCTTTGACTTGCCTGTTGACTCGTTGTCTGATTCGTCGTCGAATGCGTCGCCTGTCCAGTCGTACTTGCCACCACTGAGGCCCTTGCCAGTAGCTGTGTCGACCTCGTCCATCTCAGCGTCGCTGTCATCTTCGTCCTCCTCTGCCGACTCGTCCTCCTCGTCCGAGTCGTCAATGTTGTCTGTTCCGCTGATCGTAAGCTGGACGCCGCCATCTCCCATCTCAATATCAGAGTCTTCGTCGCTGTCGAGTTCAGCACCTCCATTAACGTCCTCCATATCGCTGTCCTCGTCAAAGTGACTGGGCCTGAGGCTGAATGTAATACGTCTCTTCTCGTCGTCCACAGAAAGGACCTTGGCCTTCACCACGTCGCCCTCACTGTAAAGCCTGCGAGCGTCCTCCACGGGCTTCTCGGCCATCTCACTGCGATGGCACAGGCCACTAACGTTGAGCGAGTTATCGACGACAATAAAGGCGCCAAACTCCTCAACCTTGCGGACCTTGCCGGTGACGATCTGACCCTCTTTCATGTCCTTATAAGTTACGGGGGGCGTGTAATCGTTCTCGACAACGGAAGCCTTGAGACTAAGCTCCACCTGGTTGATCGCGGCGTCGACGTTGATGACACGGCCCTTGACCAGTTGATCGACCTGGAAGTTGCCCTTCCAGTCCTTGATGTAGCGGTCCGAGAGGTTGCTGATCTTTACCAGAGCGGAGACGGTACCTCCGAGCTGCACAAAGACGCCCTTGTCAGTGACGTTCTTGACGAAGCCCCTGATTATGTCACCAGAGGAGATCTGAGAGAGCTTGGTGATCTCGCGGTCGACAACAGGCGAGGTGGAGCTAAGAATCCGAGACGGGCGGGTAGAGAGTCTGAGCCTCTTGTTGCTCTTGTCTACCTCGACAACCGATACTCGGATGATCTCGCCCTTGTTGTACTTGAGAGTGTTTGCTTCATCGTAGTTGTCGCTGAGATCGACCAGGTGGACAGGACCAGAAACAGAGTCGCCGAGTTTGACCATGACAGAACGATCGGTCACCTTGGTGACCCTGCCAGGAAGCGCTACGTTCTTCTTCAGAGAATCCCAGGTAACCTCGGTAGAGCCTGTGGAAGAACGAGAAGAGAGGTCCAGGTGTCCCTTTTCGGCATCAACGGACAAGACGCGGACCTTGAGAGCAGACCCAACGGGGAAGTGCTTCTCAAGGTTTCCAGCGAGGGACAAGTCGTCCGAAACGTCCATGATGCTGATTCTGCCACGGACAGAAGGGGACAGGTTGACCCACAAGCAGTTCTTACCGTGGTTGTTGACGAATGCGACGTGAGATGAGCCGACCTCAATCTTGTCATACGAGAGCAACTCGACTTCCTTGGCCTCGAGGTCGCTCTTCTTGGCGGTGAACTCAATGAGAGAATGCGAAGAGCGATGAGAAAACGGCAGGAAGCGGTAGTTTTTGGAATCGTGAATACCGATGGCGCGGACGCGGATGATCTCGTTTGCCTTCACCTTTTGCAGAGGGTTCTTGCGGTTCGTGATGTCGTCCCACTTGTCATAGAATTGCGAAACATCGATACGGCCCTGGATGTTGTCGGCGACCTTGACATTCAGCTGAGTATCCTTAACGGAGGTGACCTTGGCGTTTAGTATCGTGCCGAGAGCAACATCGTTGATGGTTTTGATGCTATCGTCCACCGAGTTCACCGCAGACTCGGCCGCAACTGGCTCGGGCTCATCGGCAGACGCAGGGGCAACAATGATGCGGTTTTGCTCCGGTTTAGAAGACACGATCTTGACTTCGATGCTCTGGTGCTTGCGCATGCCGAACGCCTCCTTCTCCTGCGCATCCTTGGGCAACTTGGTCTTGGGCAAAATAGCAGTGAGGCTGCCACCGAACTGGACGTAGACGGCGTAGGGACCGATCTCACGGACGTAAGCCGGGGCAACAGTGCCGACGGTAGCATCCTCGGCATTGGAGAGAAGCTTGCCGTTCTTGCCGGCCTCGACGAAGCTAGGCTTCTGGGAGAGGATGACGGCACGACGGCGTTCGTTCTTGTCAAGTACCACGAGCTCGGACAGAGTGTTTCCGACGTTGATGCGCTTCCAGGCAGCCTGAGTCTTGCTAGCAGACTTGTCTGACAGATGGCCTGTGCGGATGATGGCCTTGAGGCCGCTCTCCTCGAGGTCAACAAAGACTTCGTCTTCCGTCTTCTGGCTGACTTTGGCAGAGACAATATCGCCAACCTTCAGCGCCTTGAGCGCAGCTTGCTTATCCAGACCAAAGGCCGAAGGGTCCTTGCAAGAAACGACCATCCTGCGCTCCTCGGGATTCACATCAAGCACATGGACACTGACTGCCTGGCCAATACGGAAGTGCTCTCTGGGATCCTTGATGTAGGCCTCGCTCATCTGAGACACGGGGAGGAAGCCCCGTATACCTCCGAAGAATTCGAGCTGAGCACCGCCTGCAGTGAAACTCGTGATGGTTCCAGGCGTTTGCATGCCAACCTCGACCTCGTCGTAGTTCTTGACGATTGGAGCATCGGAGTTGACGAGGGTCTTCTTTAGCGTCAGACGGAGCTGGCGCTTACGAGGGCGTACTGAGAGGACTCTCGCCTTGACGGTGATTCCCTCTCTGAACTTCTTTTCCGGGTGCTGAAGCTTGACGTCGGCAAGATGGGAATCGTGGACGTAGCCGCTGATGCCCTCGGCCAACTTGACAATGAGTCCGCTAACGCCGTTCTCGCCGATAATAACCTTCTCGACCTTGCCCGAAACAACTTCTCCGACGGGGACATCCTCGAGGCGGATGAAGGGCTGGTCAAGCACTTGCTGCTGGAAGGACAGCAGGAACATGCCATCCAACGAGTTATAACCAACAACTCTGCCGCGATGCTCAGAGCCGACCTTGTAGGGGCCGCTGGTCTCGTAGAGCGCATCAACCTTGCCATCCTTGACACGAGAAATGTGCACGAAACCAGAAATACCGGGAACGCCAGCGTCGACGTAGAGACCAATTTCGGGCTCAACTTTACGGACCGTGCACTTCTCGACAAAGGAGGCAATGGGGAGCAGGTCAAGAGGGGCCTTGGCTCTGCTGCCCTTGCCCGATGACTTTGGCTGCAGGTTGACGATATGGGGCAGCAGGGAGATACCCAGCTTAGGCTCTCTTGCGGCCGGGAAGTTGCAGATGATTCTCGCCTTGACTCTGCTGCCCACGGTATACTTGGCCTCGAGGTCAACCCCGTCAGGACCGACGCCGGAGTGGATCAGGTCGGCGGTGACAGGCAGATGACCAAGGAGCTTGCCCTGCAGGCCTCTCGAGGTGACTTCGGTAAGCAGAACATCGGCCAGAGATCCAGGCAAGAAAGAGTTGATCGTGGGGGCGGTCGAAGCCACAAGCGACGTGTTGCCCAGCTTGAGGGGGTCCGTCGACAACTGGACGACAATGCCAGTCACGCTCTTCACAACACAGAGGCAGACGGCACCCGGCCGCAGGCTAGCCTCGTCCATATCCGGACCGACTTCCTTCTTGGCAAGGAAACCCTTCAGATCTCCGTCGATGCCCAGATCCATCTCGTAACCGTGGTCCTGGACACTGGCGATGGAGGCCATGAGCGTAGTGTATGCAACGATATCATCGCCGGTGATTCCACTGTTGGCGTCGGCAGGTCGGAGCGAAAGTTCGATCCGGCGTTTCGCCTTGCCGGAGCCCGATTCTTCTGCGGTCGACAATACGTGTGCGCGGACGTACTGGCCGACTTTGAACATGGTCTGCAAGTCGATTTCCTCATCGTCGTCGCCGTCGTCGTCGTCGCTCTCCTCGTCGGCGGCATCCACATCCTTCTCGAGTTTCGAATTGATTGTGTCCGAGATCGAGGCGATTGACACGTGCCCTGTGAGGTTGTTGGGCAGGGCAACTGTAAGCTGGACGGAGTCGATGTGGGTGATTTGGCCGAGCACCAGAGAGCCCTTTACCAGTCGCTTTTTATTTTGTTAGCGGCAGTTCTCTAAGAAAGTGGGCGAGATTTCGACTGACCTTGAAGTTAAGACCCTCAATCTTGACGGCGTCCTCGTCTCTTGCGGGCTTCAGGTCCTTGGTTTCCTTTGCTTTCCGTCTCTTCTCCTTCTTTGCCTTGCCCTTGACGTTGGTGTCGAACGCCTCGGCCTCCTCCTTGGCTGCATCGGCCTTGGCCTCGATGGTGATCTTCTTCTGTTCGAGAGGTGTAAGGACGCTTCCGCCGCCACGGGGGAACAGAGGCTCTTCATCCTTGAGCAAGGCCGAGACGGCGGGAGGCCTCGGCGCGGGAGCGTCCTCGGTCGCCGTCTTCTTTTCCTTTATGGGAGCGTCGCGCTTCGAGGGCCGGGACACCTTGGAGGCCTTTGCTGCTTTGGATGGAGGAGTGCCCCCGGGGGCATCCTTTCGCTTAAGTGAACTCATGTTTGTTGTTGCGCCCAAAAACCAGGTCGCAATTGCTTGCAACAGTCCCGGACTCGATGTTATGGAGGAGCAGGTTCAAGAAAAAAAGGCCCAGGGACCTTTTTGCGACTGCTCCACCGAAACATTTTTTTTTTCCCAAGCGTCGGGCGGGATGTAGAGCGATAAGATAGCGAGTATCGATAAGATATGGCTTATCTACAGTAGGGGGCAGCTGGTCTTGATCCAAGTTGGCGAGGTGGGGCATCGCGGATTATCGTCTGTGCTTCGCTGAGAGGAGTAAAGCCTCAGGCATTAATGCACCCATCTCGCCCGGGTGGGCCTAGCCAGCAGGAACGGTTGTGCTCATGCACAAAATAAACAGCCTCAAATTCCGCGCCCCTCAGTCGTAAGTCGTAGGCGGTACACAGTATCGAGAGCAGGGAGGAGTTGACAAACAGGCGCTGATCAATTTCACCAACTTCACCAACTTCACCAGCAGCGCCGTTCCGACCGTGCTGATCAACGTCTGGGCCGGCGACTTTGGTTGGGACCAAGCCTACGAGGTGCCTGGCGAGCGACCCATCTCGCCCAGGCGTGCGGTGATGGCTGCCATACCATGTCCCTACATATGCCGACCCTCAATTGTTGTACAGGAAGACCATAACTCTTGCAAATATTACAGTTACCATTAAACATGCCTTTACCATACGTCCAAAACTAGGAATCGTGTTCGGAACAAGAGCGCGTAATCGCAGTGTTTGAATCTTTCAGTTTGGGATCAGAACATGCTTCCATGTTCCCACGCTCCAATTTAGGGTTATCAGTGAGTGGCTAAGCCACGCTATGTCATGCAGCGAGATGAACAGGGACGTGATAGCAGACAACTGCAGGATGCATGCAGCAACATCCCTGGCAATATGGTCTACTGGGGCGCATAGTTTATTTCTGCAACACCGTAGGACATGCGGGACAGTTAGTAAAAGGCTGTGACAAAGAAGGGCTGTTGAAGACTTGACTTTTGCATCGGTTTTTTTTTGGTTTTTTTCTTCCCTACCCTGTGGCCATGGCCAAGCGGCTTTTCTCTCCTATTAGGGATGTGATGGCTGCAAAGTCGTGACAATATCACACGAGGCTGCGTCTCGTAACCAACTGCAACTGGAAATAGAAAAGTTGCACAATTCATCACGAGAGTTCGCTGACACGTCGCCTAACGGCCTTGAGATGATGGGTACATCAAGGCCTACCTTTGTCCCCTGCTCCAACCGTTGGCTTTGTGTCCCACTCGATTGTCATCTGCCTCAAAATCCAGCGGCAATCACCAAGCTGGAAAGCAAGCCCCATAGGCAGGGTAAGCCTGTGTTCGCTGTGTTGGCTCACTGGCAACTTCATATCCTACACTTGCACTTGTAGCCGGCTACTATGCGTCGTTTCTCTACGAATTGGTTGGTGACATGTTTACGGTCTGAATGGGAATATGTTTCATCCTATTTTTCCTTGCAGTTGTACATACAATTGAGACAGAAGTACGGTACAGCACCATCCTCTTCCAACATACCATTCATATGTCTGCTGATCCAGCTTAACAGTCACACTGTATGCGCTTGTCGTTTTTTTATCAGGTCTATGTTTGCAAATAACAGGTGGAAGGACCCTGTCATTCGCAAGATCCTGGCAAGCGCTAAGCATCTAGCGCCTATTGGATTCGTTCAGCACGGATCTGCATGCTGAAGGACTTGTCTAGGTTAGCACCATGACAACCTTCTATTACAGCACACGGCCTTCTGGATGTGACAGCCTGATTTCTGTGTAGAACTATTCTTGCCTTCGGAATGTCAGATACGGGCGCCATACGTTTTGATTTTCAAGTATAAAACCTCATCAATCCAGCTCGCAGGTTTTTGACGCCAAGAATCAAACACCACCAGACGCAACCAGACACAACCAAACCACAATGTGTACCAAGGACCGGTCAACCAAGATCTACACATGTGGTGACAGAATAACAGAGGATTCGAACTTCAAGGCTTGTGGTAGGCAGTCCGAGCCAGGCCACACAGTCACCGTAAACACTCTGGGCTCAAGCAGACAGAAGGGGAAATACGGCCGGTATAATTGCAGCAACCCATGATTCTAAACAAGAAGGTAAGCTTCGCACCATTAAACTAGTGGCTATTACTAATAGAGAACCCAGCTAGTATAGGTCTATAAGGGAGAATCACGATAGCTAGTCTTTACTGTAACACTCATTGCTCATTTGCACAACAAACTACAGTCACTACTTATAGAAGCCCACACACAATCCACACTCGTTACTATTACATGACTAAACCCACATCCTGTTTTACATCAGCAGCGCTTTTGTACTTGCCAGTCCAACAGCCCATAATAATATGTCTTCCCCATGAAGAAGAAACATCCGGAAAATCCCCTGCCTTGAACCTTTTCGTAACCTGTTCATCATAGTGTTCGACGTTTTTCCTGTCCAGCCTGTCCGTAACACCAGGCTTACAAAAAGGCCACCATCCGGTCACTATGGCGTAGAAGACAGAGCCAAGAGCAAATATGTCCGTAGCTGGCGTCGTCTCGAACTTCAAATTCCAGAAGCCAGCATCGGGTGGTTGCCCGCCATCCAGCCCACGCTGTTCGCACACCGAACCATTGAAGTCGCTGAGCCACATATCCCGCCCGTGAATCAGAAAATTCTCAGGCCGTAGGTCAGAGTGCATGACGCCACGATCGTGAATGTATGCTATGACATCTGCTGCTTGGCAAAACCATCGTTTATGTTCAGCCATAGTGACTGCCACTAGCCCTTCTTCAAGGTATTCCTGTAAGTTGCTGTCGGCTTGGGCTAGCAACAATCCTTGGCGGCCCTCGAATTCGCGACATCCGTAAAATCTATGACCGGTTAGTAGTAGTAAGACACTTTATAAAGGAAAAAACAGACGGAAGTATCAGCTTGCTCTCTCCGAGTGCTTCATAGATTCCTCGTTCCACTTCGAATCCTTTTGCCCTATCTCGATTGAGAGCATCGTGACCTTCGTTTGTGGAGGGAACCTCTCTTGGTACTTTCAGAACTTTTCCCGGCTCGATTTCATATATGTTTGAAGATGAGCCTCTCCATCGAGGCTCGTTCGTAGCTGCCATGACCATGTCGACTCTATTGTGATAGAGACCAAGGGAGAAATCATGCAGAGGGAACATGAGCCCCACTTAGTGAGTTGCCCATCCAAGTCATTTATTCTCCTGGGTGAAACTAGTCAGCACATGCAGAGTTGTGAGCTATGGTCTCGGACCAGTGTTCTGGCGATTCCTGTTGGCCAGATGTCGTTGGTGGAATATGATGACCAAGTTTGATTCGATTGTATGAGCCCATGTTTCCAAAGACAGATCAAATTCAGTGTCTAAAATCCCCAGAGAAATTTGCCTAGTTGAATGACAAGATATCGACACTATTTAGAAATTGAGTATCTCAGGTCTTGGCAAAAAGGTACTAGCCCACTCGCAACTGTCCCTTTGGGGCAGTAATTTAGGGAGTAACTTTCCATGTGCTAGGATGCCCCTGCTACCGGGGGAGACATCCGCGCGGAGTGTTTGTCGTTCTAGTTAATCGTTCGTCCCACTCCACGACACCCATAGCCTGTACTCAAGGGGCGCTGCAGGCTTACTCCAAAGTGACAATGGCATGATATAAGTATACGTTAGTGGGTGAGGAAATAATTTGCCAATCAATTATCTCTAGACCAGTCACATATGGACAGCCCCGTTCATAGTACCAGTGCAGTACGAGTTGCAATTTGTTAGTTGTGAAGGTGTTAAAATAGCAGTGAACGGGAAATGCTATTCCATCATGAAGGCGCTGACTGGTTCTGGGGACTTCTTTCACCCAATGTATTGAAGCTTCCCCATCCGCACCCTCAGCAATTCATACGCAGTGATTATCAAAACTGTGACCATGCAAGGGGGGCACTGGGGCCTGTCACTTCTTGAAACTCTTCCCCCACAAGTATCGCTGGACTCAAGATACGCTCCACCAAGCCAGGTCCCATGTCCCACCATATATGACGTCTAGCAACCTGCGCGACTGGCCTGGAACGTATAAGTCGCAAGTTTGAGCGGGCACCGGGTCTGCGACATGCAAGTTCGCAACAACCAACGCGAAAATACAACCATAGGCTCATAGCAGCGGCGCATCTGCGTGCGCTGAGAACTGCCATACCATGTTCCCGCACATGCTGTCCCCAAATCCTAATTTACATCAAGACCACAGCTCTTGCGTATATCGAACTTGTTTTTACGCAAAGGCTTTAGAACTTGAAATCATGTTCAGAACGAGAGCGCGTATTTGTAGTGTTTGAACACCTCAGTCCGAGATCGGAACATGATTCCATGTTCTCAATCTGGCGTTATCAGTGACTGACCGCAGCCATGTCATGCACCAGGACTATTCCGTCCGTCGCGCAACACTTTCAAAACCCTCCAGTTCCTTCCAACCTCTTGATCGCTCCAACCAAACCTTTTGCCCAGCTGAACCGCCCAGGGTCAACTCCTGTCGCGCCATCCGCCTCTTTCCCGTCTTCACCTCTCCAGACGCCATCTTCCCTATTCAATGCTCCATACCGGTGCGTGTTCTGGTTCCGCCTCAATCCGTCGATCCAAGCCTTGCACACATCACGGCTCTCGAGCATCATGTTGACTTCTTGACTGTGGAACCAGCTTTGGGTGTCCTGGTTGCCGGATCCGACAATGGCGATCGACTCGTCGACGATCATGAGTTTTACGTGGCACGAACGCTTCTTCTTCTCTGCAATTATGGGCTGCGTCTGGTCCTTGCCGACGTACCAGAAGTAGTGGAGACGTTGCCGCGCTTGAGGTGAGAGTTTCTCATACATATGGGCGGCGATCATCTCGTTGTGACCTCCTTGCATCGGCAACAACTCGCCCTGAAGTCTTGTGTCAGCAGCCATCATGGAGGACAACACACTCCTTTTTCGACTCACAGCATCATTATATCCGAGACAGACATAGGCAAACACATCAAGACCTCGTTCACAAGCCTCGAGCATGGCCGGGACCAGCGGCTCGGCATTTAGCGTAGGCGTCTGGATGAAGACATTCTTCTCCGCATTACGCAGCGCTGACAACCACGCCGCGTTCTGCGGGTTCCCCATCGACTTGTGGTTCGGCGGCCCGTATGGCGGCCTGTTGACAAGCGCGATAGGAAACGGCTCGTGTGTGGGGTGGGGGATGTACGGCGTCATCTCGTCGGCCGGGTCGCTCTCCGGGGCGGTGCCCTTGAAGTCTTTGTTGATGGTGTGGTTGAGGTGCCGGCTGACGGCCTGCATTTGCGACTCATTGGGCTTCGCCGAGACTGCGGCTTGCACGCGGGCAACCTCGCCAGCGATATCATCGTCGTAATGCGGGTCCTCGTGGGTGTGCTCTGGCAGAGAATCATTCGCTATGACTTCTGCGAACGGCATGGTCTGCGAGACTGATTGCCGGTTCCGGATATCCCGAGGCGGTGGGCTTGAAGCGGTCGATCCACTGAAACCGTTGGCCTCGCCCGGCGTTAGAATGCGGTCGGCGCCGGGGCCATAGGCAGCGGCGCGCTGCGGCATCCGAGCCGGATCAAGCACAGCCCTGTGGCCTTTTAAAGTTCCTTCGGGGGTGAAAATGGAGTCGTGACTGACCCCAAAGCTGCCCAGCTCGCCCAGCGCAGCTGGCGTCTCTCTAGTCGGCAGAGGCGGGTCAAGCTTCTTGTGCCAAGTAAGCAGCGCCATATCATACAGGCTGTCGACGATGGGGCCCTCGACATGAACCATCATTTCCAGGTTATCGTTGTCCTGAATGTTGTTGCTCTGAACCACGCCAATCCTGCGGTCGACGACCATAAACTTGGAGTGGAAAGTACCGAGCATCGGGTCGTGGTAGTTCATCACTTCCAGGTCGATATTCGGGATCTCCTGTTTCGACGGCAGACCGACAGCCTTGCCGGTGTATTCCTTCTCAGGAACGATATAGTGAGGCTCGAACAGCTGTTTCGGGCTGCCGCGGTCGTAGAGCACTTTCATCGTGATCCTGGTCCCCCGCTCCCCTGCGCGGCGGGAGGCTTCCTTCATGGCGTTCGTGATGTACTTTGACGCGGCACCGTTTTGCCAAAAATTTGTCGCGAGGATTACCTCTTTCTCTGCCCTCACGATGAGATTCGACATGTGTCTCACAATGTCGGGGATGCTGGTCGCTGATGAGTTCGTGCTCCGAGTTCACTGAGTTGGGGGGGGGGGGGGGGGGGGGGGTTTATTATGTGGACTTACACAGAGAGAATGGTGAGCGGGACCACGCCGCTGCTGCCAAGCAATGATGGACTCGCCATCCCACAAGCGGGATCGTTGTTGAGTGTGCCTAGAGCATCATGGTACAGCTTTATCAGGTTAGCGACGAAAATCTGTGAATGTGACTGTGAGGACGTATGCATGCTCTTAGAAACAGCCTGCTTGGCCTCGTCGTCCCCCATTTCCCACACTTGAACGCCACCTCGAGCTCATCGTCGGTCACCTCCCCTTGTCCGATATCTCTAATGTGTTTTGGCTCGTGGAGACTGCTCTTGTAGTTGTCGGCAAGCTCCTTCCACGCGTGGCCAGGCGTCAATGTGGGATTCTCAGCAAGAAACCCCGATACGGTGTTGCTCGACGCGCAGAAGCTGGCCAGAGGCTCGCTCAGCGTGTGCGCATTCTGGTGCTCCGACTTCGTCCGTTCGTGGGGCATCGCTGACGGATCAGGAAAAGAGGGCGTTGTGTTCTGGTCGGGGACTCTTGGGACTGAATAGGCACTGTAAGGAAATTGAAAAACGGTCTGGTAGAGGACATTGCCAAGCTTTGGCAGGCCAGTCTGGCCCTGGGAAGACATGTTTGGAATTGGTTATTATAACACCGCACAAAAGCCAAGCGTATGCCAGCAAGAAACAGGATGAATTAAATAGGTGTGGAGAAAAAGCAGCCTTCGCCCAGAGATGCGTCGTCAGTGAGGGAGAAAACTGGCCGTTCTAGGCGTTCGTCACGTAGATAGAGATGTGTGTAGGTGCCGTGAGAGCCGTGCGGCCCACGGATTATGATGTAATAACACAAGACCAACTGCCAGCTAAAAAGCTGGCCATCTGCGTCAAAGAAACGTGCCGCGCATCCGATACACTAGCCGGCCAGGCCAAGCCGTGCCAGCAGCGCGCGGCAAGGCGTATTCCGACGAAGCTTGTATGTATCGGTGCACCCAGAATTAGCAATTGCCGGCTAGGAACGTTACCTATCAGCTGGTAAGCCGGAGGGGTGCCGGGGTGCCGCCAATCCGGCCCCCGTACAAACCCTTTTTCTCAATGGACAATCGAGTGCATATAAATACGGGACAGTAAGACAGCCAAATATTTTTCCAAAGTGCACTATGATTGCCTCGTCGGCCATGATGGGCGTGCACCGTACTCCCTCCGTTGGTCGTAATGTTGCTTCCTAGCTTAATACCAGCTGCTGTTTCCAGTCGCACAAACTGTGGAGGGAGCTTTTGACTGTCGTTGTAATCGACTCCTTGAGTCCAATAGACTGCTTCTCCCTTCGACTAGAAAGAACATAAACCAGTCTTGCTATGTGAATTTAGTTACAGGAAGCGGCTGCGTTATGGCCTCGCTTTAGAGATGAAAAATACGAAAATATGTCTGATGAAGGGTTAGACGATCCTATTATCAATATCAACAGCAACAGCTGGCTAACACCATTGGTGGCATAGCCTCCACTCAACCTACATGCAACTCTCTACAGTGTTCTCTGATCAAGTGCACAAGCAGAAACAGAGAATTAATTGCCGACAGGAGACCCGATGATCATTGACGTGCCACTTTGTCGGGTCAAGAAAAAACCCCGAGCGTAAAGGGTAATATATAATATTATAACCACAGGTGCTGTAGTATCTAGCCCTGTAGTATAACATGGCGTGGTTTCAAGAGTGCTATAACAGCATATATGCACCCTCCAACGTGTACTATAATCCCTGGGTTAGCTCTGTAATGATGTTTAAGGGCGCCTCGGATGCAGCTGCCCTCTACACAAATCAAGGACATGTAGAAAGAAGACGCACTGATAATAAAGACAGCGACACCTTCAAACCATGGCGTTGTCGCAATACAAACGGAGTATGGCTCTCCTATTACACCACTACGTATAGCGTAGCAGCCAGTGTGTTCCGAAAGCATGGTCCGTGCTCGACCGCCGACCCACAACGTCTTATCTAATCAGCAGGGAGAGTGCAAGTCAAGTCAAATGGTGTAAGGAGTGCTGTAGTGTAGGCATGTGCGTGGCACTTTCCTTGAGAGGGGTTTATCGCGAGTGTATCCGTACCGGTACATTGTACAAGTACACTACTCCAGGCAAACCATCCAGTCTTCCCCGTCTCAACAACACCTGTGTTATTGCTTCTCGTCAGCCTCCAAACGTTGGTTTCTTAAAACGAACATGCAGCAAGTCGACTTCCCACACGCTGGCCCGACTTTCGTCCACCACTGAGCACTATTCTCTCCTTACCTCCATCTCCACCATGTCCCCTCGAAAGCGCCAGCGCACCGCTCCATCCAACCCGAGTTCATCCAGCCCACTCACGGCAATTGCCCCTGCGATAGCCACATCGGCTACGTCACAGGTCACTGCCGTTGCCGTTTCCGAACCCACCAACCGCCCAACGCGACAGATGCCTCTGATCAGGGATAGGAGCGGCAGCGAAACCAAGAACACTCCTCAAAATTCACAGAAACAGGTACTGCGCCTTCTCCGGGGTTGCTTGGCTTTCCCATACGCAGGATGCTAATCCGTACATGCAGGTCCGAAAGGCACGAAGTTGGTACGGCTCCTGGCCACGCGTCCCAAAGTCGTCCGCGTCTACCCAGCTTGCACGAGAAACGATATTCGGGGGCACACCCAAGCCCCTGAGTACACCCGACTTTCGCCGATTTGATACGAAGAAGAGTACAGACTCGACGAGTTTCGACGGTCCCGCCGACTCCTCAACGTCCTTACCGCAAATACCCGAAAACGGCGCTGTAATGACAAGAGATAACATCACAAACACAAAGACGGACAGCGATACCATAGCAGTGGAAGACACCGACTCAAATCCATCACATATAACGAAAGGAACACCTACAAGTACCGACGACACCGCAAAGCCGAACGAAGAGCATCAGACAGCCCAGCAAACTGCCGCCACGGCAGGCTGGTTCGGCTGGCTGGCACGGGCACCAGTGACAGAGACGCAGGCATTCACGCCGGTCGAAGAGCAACCGAAAGAAGTGGCGCCTTCGAAAGAACCTGAAGTTCAAGCCGAGGTCCAGGCTGTATCAGTTGATGAACCCCCGGCACCGGAAACACACGAAGAGCAACCCGGTCCAAACCTGCAGGCATCAACGAATTCGTGGTTCGGTTTCTGGTACTCGAACCCTCCTAAAACAGAAGCCCCTCCAAAAGACGCCACAGTGAAGGCGGCGAGCGTCATCGAGGGCGCCGGTGCTACAGAGCCACCTGCGAAGGAACCTGAGGACGTAGTCATGGACGACGCACCTCCGCCGCCAAAGCCAGAGCCTGCCAAACAACCGACGGCCGGATCGACTTGGGCCTTTTGGTCGAGGGAGACTCGCCCCAAGGCCGAGGGAACGAAGACTGCATCGGCACAGCCTGAATCCGGGGAGTTGGCAGTGATTGGACAGGGGTCGGAGGCTCACCCTGAGCACACTGGCCTGAAAGTCAACCAGAACCAGTCCGACGGCAGTGTAAAGGATGGGAAAACTGCCAAATCATCAAATGACGCAAAGTCGTCCAAAACTACCATTTCGGGCATGGTATCTGCGCCCTCGACACTCGGGAGAAAGAGTAAGAGAACCCGGCCCCAGTCGGTGGACCTAGACGCACCTTCAAGGCCGGGGACTCCCAATCGACCAGAATCGGTAGCCTCATCCAAGGCCTCCATCATGGAGGCAACGCTGAGAGAGCCACCCCTCAAACCAGGGACACCAAAGACCAGTAGTAGTCAGGAAACCCCCAGCAAGTCAACGCCAGCGAATCTGGTGTTACCATCATTTGGGGGCACATATCGGATGAAAGAGAACCCATCAATTGTCAAACAAATCACATCTTTACTGCTCAGGACTCGACAGCCACCCGCGAATCATGTGTACAGAGCAAAAGAGACACCCAAGATCAAGAAGGCCATTGCCATCGGTGTCCACGGTTTGTTTCCCGCTACGTATCTACGACCCATGGTTGGGCAGCCCACTGGGACTTCGTTGCGATTTGCAAACTTGGGTGCCGAAGCCATCAGGAGGTGGACCGACGCCCACGGATGCCCTGATTGTGAGATCGAAAAGGTGGCACTAGAGGGCGACGGAAAGATTGCTGACAGGGTAGACAATCTGTGGAAGCTGCTTCTGAATTGGATTGACCAGATCCGTAACGCGGATCTGATACTGGTTGCATCCCATTCCCAGGGTGTTCCGGTGGGAGTCATGTTGTTGGCCAAGCTGATAGACCTCGGCATCATAACTAATGCCAAGCTCGGTGTTTGCGCCATGGGTAAGTTGGTCTTCGCTGTTGACCAAACTTGAACGTCAAAGCTGACTCGTACCATAGCCGGCGTCTCGTTGGGCCCGTTTCCTGACTACAAGTCGAGCATGGGCATTCTCATGGGAGCCGCCAACGAGCTGTGGGAATTCTCGAACCCGGATAGCGATATCTCGAAGAGATATGAGCACTCCCTAAAAGAAGTGCTCCAGTACGGCGCCAGGATCACTTATATCGGCAGCATTGACGACCAGCTTGTGCCGATGGAGTCAGCCGTCTACTCGCCCGCATCCCACCCTTACATCTACCGCGCCGTTTTCATCGACGGCCGCATCCACGCACCAGACTTGTAAGCTCCCACCCCTCTGCGTATCTTTTTAGCTTGGGTTCGGTCTAACACAACACCAGTATCGCCCACCTCGTTGGCTTCGCCCTGAAACTCCGCAACCTGGGCGTCTCTGACCATGGGCTGCTGAGGGAACTCTCAACGCCGCTCGCGGGCAGCCTTTACTCGGGCGAGGGCCACTCGCGCCTCTATTACGACGATCAAGTCTACGACCTCGCGCTCGCACATGCCCTGGAGACCTCGGACGTGCGCCCCAACCCGCCCGCCACCGTCACCCACCGCCGGGACGCCAACTCCTCCCTCGCGAATCCAAACCCGTACCATTTGCCGTGGATTATGCGCGGCCTGCTTGAGGAAGACTTTGTCCGCACGGAACTTTCCTCCGAGACAGAAGAGCTACTGCGGCAGTTTGACGACTGGAAGCCGGTCACGAAGGCACTCAAGGACGTCAAGTACCGATTAGAGGCTATTCGATCCAAGCTTTAGATGAGAAGTGTAGATCAAACATAGACGCCGGGGTAAGAAGTGCCTCGGAAGACAGGAATTATGGCCGATGACGGCCGGGCTGGTCTTTGGCGTGGCAGTCAAGCCTGCGTCTGATGGTCTGATAAACGACGTACACCTCACCCATTGAAGTGGTGATCTTTTCTATGTTATGTACACCTAATCAACGGGACCTGTTATTTTTAGCGAGCAATACCATCATGAATTACAATACATCTCAAGACGCTACCCGCACAAATCTAGTCGTACTTAACGCAGACCAGTAGGAGTTGGTTATCCTGGGAGCACTGATAACCCAGACGGACGCGAAATGCAAGATAATAGTGGGAATGGATATGTAATTCTTTGTATTACCCGAGATGCAAGTTTTCTATCTATACATCCGATGCAGAGCGTGACCTGGTACGCCCCCCGCATACACGACGTAAACCTTTTTTTTTCTTTCTTTCGACGTTGCCGGCCGTTTACTTTTACACACACACATATCACCCCCCCCTGCTTTCTCTTTCTTTGGTTTCTATGGTACAAAACATGGCCTGCTGTCCCTTGCCATAGCTCTATCTTGACTTCACGCTCGTCCCGCCTGAGCACGCTAACCTCTCATGTATCAAAACAAGAAAACAAAAACACATTTACAACGGTAAAGCGGAGGAGGGGAGAGCCCTACCCCCTACCCACCCCCGGGCGTGCGCGTTCCCTTTCATCTCCGGCCCAGCTGCCAGTCGTAAATGGTGTTCTGGATCCCCTCCCACTCGAGCGTGTGGGTGCTGACGCCGTGGGCCTGGGCCTCCTGCAGCACGACGGTGGGCGAGCCGCTGCCGCGGCCGGGGTTCTCGACCATGCCGCCGACGACGAGGCGGGCGACGCGGCGCAGGTCGTCGACGGTGAGGTCCTGGATGCGGCGGCACATGTCGGTGACGGGGATCTTGCGGCCGTGGACCTGGACCTGGCGGCCGAGGTCCTCGAGCTCGACCATGCGGCTCTCGAGGTTCATGAGCAGCGAGGACCGCAGCTGGTTCTTGGCGCGGTCGACCTCGCCCCGCTTGAGGGCGGAGAAGCCCGTGTCGAGGGTGAGGGCGCGCAGCTCGCGGCACATGACGTCGAGCATGCTCGCCGTGCGGCCGGGGATGCAGCTCGCCGAGATGCCGAACAGGCCCGAGTCCGTGTACGAGTGGTTGAAGGCGACGCACGACTCGACCCAGCCGTGCTGGTTGAGCACGTTGGTGTACAGGCGCGAGTACATGCCCTTGCCGGGCCCGCCGGCCGAGAAGGAGCCGCCGCCGCCGAGGAGGGTCTGCAGCGTCGCGAGGGCGTAGATGTCGTCCGAGGAGATGGGGAGGCCCTCGAAGGCGAGGTGGATGTGCGTGAAGGTCGGCATGTTGGGGTTCAGCGACGGCGGCTGCGGCGGGAGGGAGAGGAAGCCGCCGGTGTAGCGGGCCGGGGCGTCGATGTCGTGCGGCGGGAGCCCGGAGAGGACGGAGGCGCCGTTGGGCGCCGAGGTGGAGAGGTTCTTGAAGAAGGGCACCTTGGACAGGAGCTTGGAGGGTTGCTGGACGGGGGAGGTGGCGGATGCGGCGGATGAGGCGGATGAGTCAGTGGACGCCGACGCCTGCGAGGATGAGCCGTCGTCGAGGGACGTTTCCGACCCCGTCCTCGAGAGGGTCGGCTCCTGGTAGGAGCCCTTCATGTCGCCAAAGTACTGCTCCGCCAGCTTGACGGCCTGGCCGTGGTCGACGCCGGCGAAGGCGACGACGATGCGCTCCGGGCGGTAGAACAGGTCGCGGTACCGCTGGATCGTCTCCCGCGAGATGCTGCCGAGGCGCTCCTCCGGGCACAGCAGGGGGTTGCCGAGGGTGTTGTCCTTGAAGGCGGCGGTGTGGACGAGCTCGGGCAGGATGAGCTCGGGCTTGCTCCAGATCTCCTTGATCTCGTACTCGGCGGTGCCGAGCTGCTCGAGGACCTCGTCCTCGGTGAGGCGCGGGTCGCGGATCGTCTCGGCGAGGAGGCCGACGGTGGTGGGCACGGCGCCGTTGAACGTGGCCGCCTGGTACATCATGCTCTCGCGCGAGCTGGCGCACTGGATGTTGCCGCCGAGCGCCTCGACCTGCTCCATCATGGCGTCGGCGCTGCGGCTGCCCGTCGACTTGAAGGCCAGCCGGTCCATGATGTGGCTGACGCCCCGCAGGCCCGCGTCCTCGTACCGGGAGCCGGCGTCGACGTAGACGCCGACGCCGGAGAAGGAGCCCGGCAGCGCCTCGGAGGCCACGCGCAGGCCGTTGGGGAGGGTCGTGATGGCGTCGAGCTCCGTCGGCTCCTTGGGGATGGCTTCGATGGTTGTCGCGAGCGTGCGACGGGACGGCGGGGCGCGGAGCGTCGTGGTTGCTGCGAGGCGGGACGGCGTGCCGGCGGCGGCGGTGGCGGCTGCGCGCCGCGGGAGCCGCGTCGCTAATGATCGAAGCATCGTCGGTTGTGTGTGGTGTTCGTCTATATGATTTTTCTTCTTCTTCTTTTCTTTTCTTCTTCTTTTTTGGAAAGAATCACCGACCAGGTTTCCTGGGGTTCGTTCCTGTGGTCCTGGTGGTGGGTGAGTGGGTGGGTTGGTTGATGGTCGAATGTGGTTCGTGATGGCGAGGCTCTGGGAAAAGTTCGCTGTTCTCGGATGTTAGTGTAGACGCACCCAGCACACCTCCACCACCACCATCCCCCCGATTTTTTTGGCCGTCTTATCGCCTTATCGCCTTGGAATCGGCGCGGAGCAGATCCGCTGCGCCGTCATCCAATCAGACGACGGGCGGTACATGGACGAGACAGAAACGTCATCCTCGAGCAGCAGAGCACCGCTATGTCGGAAAAAGGTTCCCTGTGGTCACGACGCATCCTAGAACATTATCCCGCAACGAGGCCATGTCGCAAGATGATGATGGAGTCCGATGCATGCATGCATTCCAACAATGGCACAAGACCATGCGTTTCTCCCAGTGTGTATGTATGTATTAATGTATGCTATGGTTTCGACTCCTTTGAATGCAAAAAAGTCCATTCCTCCCCCTCTAGGTTGCCGTCGTGGCAGAAATCGACAATGCCGAACCTCACCAGCAAGTCCGCTTCCGTTAAACCATTCGTTCCAGTACCAGCATGAGCTCTGTTCCGCCGTCGTAAACATAGAGCGCTCTACAATGCATTCAAACGCCTGACACCATCCCACGCATCGCTCATGCAGCCCAAAAGCTCTTCCCCCACCACCCCATACTCCCTCGGTGAAAATCCAATACGGCGCATCGGGCCGCGGCAAACTGGCGAAAAGCTAGGAAGCCGCATAAGTCTCTGCAGTCTTCGGTTTCATTTCCTTTCCCTTCTCGAGCCATTCCTGGTGAGGCGAAGAAGAGACAAGCAAGATGGAAGACGCAGGTCGACACGCACACAACAAATCAACTCAGTCTGAGACCACGCAAGGCCCTAATGCTGTGCGCGTCGTTCCTGTGACCCACTAGTCCATGTCGCTCTTTCCCAGTGTCGTGACCTCGATCTCCGCCTAGGACCTGTGAGCTTTTCTCGATGCTCCCGATGATGCTTCATCTGGCTCGACCGGCTCTACCGATCGACTTCCATTTCAGTAGCTGCGTCGAGACTTCTCATGCCAGTGGATGCCTCCGCAGCACGGCGGCCAGCGCTTCCGTCAAATACCCACGGTCCGGCATCGTTGCGCGGAGTGATTGGGCCTTCGTGGGTAGTCAGTAGGTGGTTTGCGATAGGCGAGGGGGTACGAGTGTCCCGACCGTTGCGCGATGCTGCAGCTTGAGCAGCCGCAACAGCCGCAACAGCCGGGATCGGGACAGGCGGCATCGACGTGTTGGGAGCGACCGTCTGCGGCGCTGTCTCGGGCGCCTCTGCCATGGTATGGGACCGCTCGAGAGCAGCCGTAAAGTCGATAACATCTCCGTCATGGTCGATTTCCGGCAGTTGAGGCCCCGAGCCTCCGATAACTACAGGGGCCGGGATAGGTTCAGACACAACTGCTGGCATGTCCTTGACCTCCTGCTTCTGCTGCTTCTGTTCCGGCCCTTCGTCCTCGTCCTCGTCCATTCCCTCCCAGTCCTCTTCAGGGTCCTCGATGTCAGCCTCGAGGTCAGCAGCCATGCGGCAGTTTGGGCAGACGAAGATCGGGTACTGTGGGGAGTTGAGCAGCGAGCGAATGCATTTGAAATGCCAAGTGTGCGAGCATGGTGCAACGAACAAACACTGGCACGGCTACGAGGCTGTTAGTTTTCCCAATCGGCACGCGGTGCAAGGGGCCGGGTGCATGCTGGCTACATACAGCGATAGAATTGAGACAGATGGAGCAGTCCTGCGTCGAAGAGTTTGCCGAGTTCGCGGCCGTCATGTTGCGCAGCCGCTTGTGCGTCGCCATGCTGCATATTGTAAGCAATCGCGCATCACGCAAAAGAACAATAGTACTCACTTGAAGGTATTGAGCTTGTTCTGCCAGCCTCGGTTGAGCTCCAGCCGCATCTTGACGCAACGGAAGATCATTTCCTCGCCCCCCTTAAAGTCGATTCCTAGCTGCACAATGTCTCCATCATTGACAGGAAACGGTTTCGACTCGGTGCCGGGCGGGCTCAGGCGAATATGATTGAGGAACGTGCCGGAAGAACTCTTAACGTCCTTGATATACCACTTGCCGTCATCGTACCAGAACTCGCAATGACGACGACTAACCACCTTGCTCTTGAAACCCACGGGAGCAGCTGATGGGGTGTTGTTGGGTACGTTGGGCTGGTTATCCCGTTCCGAGTAACGGCCGACCCTGATGACGTCGCCGCCCGAAGGCAGTGTTCGCGACACAGGGGGGAAAGTCAGGCTGGGACGCGTCGCGCGAGGGTCGTAGTAGGCCGAGAAGCGAATCGAGGGCATATTTTCGGCGGGTGCAGGGGCGGCGGCGGCGGCCTGAGCATCGCCCGTCGTGGAGGAGCGGGCTCTCGTCATGATTGCTGCTGCTGCTGCTGCGGCGGCGGCGGCTTCGGTGTCGGGCGTCTGCGTCTGGTGCTGCTGCGATGCTTGACTGCTGCTGCTCGCGATAGCGTCGTCTAGGATTGAAGGGAGCGCATCCACGAGGGGACGCTCGACAGCGGGTGAGGAGGGCGTGGTGGAAGCCTTGTTCGCCGACGAGGATGACGAATGGGGCTCCTGCAAAGATGCAACAACAAGGGATAAAGGGTTCAGACTAGGGTCGGTATCGGAGCGACGAAGAGTAGAAGAAGTAGGCGTGTAACTGAGGGAGCGCTGCAGGCTATGGGTCGGACGAGCAGAGGCAGCGATGGAGCGGTTGGCGTGGTTTTGGGTTTGAGTTTGAGTTGGGGTCTGAGAGTGCGGGTGTGGGCTGGCGCCGGTGTTATGATGAAAATGGGAGTGGGAGTGCGAGTTGGAGGTCGGTGAGCTGGAGCCCTGGCTGCTGCTATGTTCGCGGGACAAAATGTGATTTTGGGTGTAGCTGCGAAGATAACTGAGGCCTCGCAAACGGCTGGATCGGGGTGAAGGCGATGCGGGATTGGTGACAGACGTCGGCACGGGGCCCACGGTGGGTGGTGATGAGACTGGTTGTGTAAACATTTGCGCTTCGAGAGGGGGGAACAGAGGAGTCAGCTTGGTTGGCTCGGATGTCTTGGCCTATCGCTGGTCTGGTGGTGGCCGTGGTGGTCGTGTTGGTGCAATAAACAGTGGCGGGACGCCGTAGGGAGTAGCCGTACCGGGCAAAAGTAAAGCAAAACAGGCCGGTAGTGTTGTAACTACGGAGTAGAGGTGCCAACTTTCGGTTCGTGGGGTTCGGCTGGCTTGCTTGCTTGCTGCTGGGTGACTGACTGACTGACTGTCTGGGCTGAATCACTTGGCCGGCAGACCAGGCTGTAGCGTGTAGTGTGACCTCTCTTTTTTTCCCTCTGGTGGTCCACCTTCCTTGCTTGGAGATCAAATTGTGGACTGATTTAATGGTTCCTTTTCTTCTTGCTCGTCCCCCTTGGGATTCGGGTGAGGGTACAGGGTATCAGAAAAGCAAGGACAAGAATGCGACAAAAGGGGAGGGAGAGGAATGTGCGCGCGAGAAGGGGGGAGTGGGAGAATGAATGTTCCTTGGAATGCTGCGCAGGTTTGCTCCAAAACAGCCAAGGTTGGTCGAGGAGGAGGAGGAGGAGGAGGAGGAGGAGGAGGAGGAGGAGCAGTGTATAGCAAGCACACACTCTCACTACAGAGTATAGTATGTAATCGTAGTTCGGAGGCGGCGGCAACCGGGCGGGGTGAGGTGAGGTGAGGCGGGGCGAGGCGAGGCAAGGCGAGGTTGGACGGATGGACGAAGGAGGAATCGTCAAAGATGAGAGGAGGGATAGAGGGAGGTCCGAGAGAGAGACAGCGGGATGGATGGACGATAATATGGACCAAGAAAAGAGCAGACTGCGTCCAGGAAAAGGTCCTAGTCCTGGGAGGGGGTGTGTGGTGTGTGTGTGTGTGTGTGTGTGTGTGAGTGTGAGTGTGGTAGTGGGAAAGGACGGATTTGTTAGTTCACCGACCGCCACACGCAGTCCATACGCTACAAAGTTGAACCTGGGAAGAGGGTCGCAAGTGTGTGTTGTGTTGGACGTTGATGGTGGCTACTTTGTGCATACAGTTCGTGCATTCTTCCAGCAGTATTCAGTGTATCAGTCCCGGTTGGGCCAAGTGCGTAGCGAAGAGCCCGGACAGTGAAGCCAGGCGCACTGAGCATGCAGAGAGGGATGCACCACGGCCGTGGACGGCGAGGTTACCTAACCTAGGTCGGACGATGTTGGAGTGCACTGCGCCCTCGTAGTGTGCCGGTACGGAGGTGTGATGTGGTGTAGTGTACGAAAGCACCCGCAAGGGAACCTCAGCAATAGGTAGCAAAGGTACTTTGGGGTGCCCCGGGTGCATGTAGTGTACCTCGACAGGAAGAAGACAGCCGCACCCAGGACGGTACCGTGTATCTGGTGTATCTGTACACCCAAGTAGGTATTTTTTTCCCAAGGCACAAACATACACACACGTGGATAGCTACATGAGGCATGGGTTCCTCTACCCTCTACAGTAGAGCGGGAGCATCAAAGTCGGGCGTCGGGCCAGCCGAGTCGGTCATGTTCTCTGTCCCGGTGGCGGGAGGAGGAACTGCGCATCTGTACTGTACTCAAGACACCATGTATGGGCACAGTGACGACGTCTCAGAAGCAAAGCAGGAAAGAGACAGACAGACACGCAACAACAAAGGAGAGGGCCCCCCCGTATTGGTGACCCCAGTGCCGTTGTTGCCTTGTGTAGGGATCGAGTCTTGTGCCGAGTACGGCAAGGAAGGACGACGAGGTTAGGCCGTTTTAGGTTTAGGTTCCGTCGCTGGGACTGGCTGGACCAGGACCAGGATCAGGACCAGGACCAGGACCAGGACCAGGGGGTGGGACAGGATGCGCCTGGGTCATGGATTGTCTGCTGCGTGTGAGCGCAGAGATGGAGTGACAGACGCGGATTGCGGACTACCTACCTCGTGTACTCCGTACTCCGTACTGCGTAGGATACTCGGTGGATTGGGCGGCGGTGGCGGCGGATGATGCATTCTGGCCGTGTTGCAACCCCGTGGCAATTAGCATCTTTTGCGTGGCTGACGGCGGCCATGATGTCGTCCCGTCGTCTTGTGCACATTAATTACGTTACAGAGGGTTAATGTGGATGACGCCGACGAGAAAAAAGACACTCCCCAAGTGACTCTGTGGCTCATGCGCCGGCGGCGATCGCTGACGAACATCTCCCACCCATTCCCGGCCTGTCATCAGGGAATTGGGTCATTGTGGGTGGTGTTCAAGATGATTGTTATGCATGCGCCCTACTATGTAGACGTTGACGGAAGGGTAAAAGGGGTTCGCGGCGCTCATGTGCAGACACATATTTGAAAGAAGCAATGAGACCGGCAGAGCGAGCGTAGGACAGACACAGGGCATACCGTCGGATCATATGCGTCACGGGTTTCGGTTCATGGATCGGAGAGGAACGAAACAAGCTGGCAGAAAAGGTGCACCGGATGCGTCCACGGGAGGTCCAAGGCTTAGATGGGTGAGGTGAGTTGGCGCTGTGGTCGCTCGCGTTGGGTAAGTGCATACCCGAGGAAGGGGAGGCGAGGCATGAGGAGGCAATGAATGCATCTCCCCCACCGGAGATACAAAGCGCATTGGGTCATGGGCGAAGAAGGCGACGACAGCGGTCAGATCCGACACGCCGGAGAACGGTGCGCAACGCAAGGCGTACCGGTAGTAGGTATCATCGCCATACATAACCATGCAACAACACCAGCAGCAGCGACGGGGCACGCTCTTCGTCCGAAGTACCCGAGAGAAGCATTTAGCAATTAGTACCTACACACAACACTCATCTGCCATATGCGAGGCGGCCAATGCATCGTCATCTTCCCAAAGCTGCATCTGCGCAAGGCACGATTCGATGGATATGGTGGGAAGAGGGAAAGGACCGAGCAAAGCTGTGGAAGGGGAACCGAGTGCACGAGTTGCTAAAAGACATGCATCACAATCTGCAAGACTGCACCGTCCATTCGATATGGGTCGGTCCTGATGGATGGAAAGGGATGCATAGAAACAGAAATAACAATGCCGTTACTAAGATCCAGCACGGATACGGGCGGGAGAGCCAAGTCCGCACACCCACAATATACGATTATCTATTTGCATATCCGTACGGGTATCCCTATTTACCTAGTACGGAGTAAAGTACCTACATATCAGGTACCTTGGTACCTATAGTATCAGTCACTGTTCGGGGTGAGTAAGGCTCTTTCCGCAAATACATCGTAATGTGTAATCACGTACGGCAGGCACGACCGGGCATGTTCTTGCCTCTTTGAATCCACATGCAGGTATTGCATGAGGAACAGAAAATGAATCCGGCCGTCATTTCCTGCTTCTCCCATCACTCGTCACTACTCCAACGTTTCTTGTCCATGGAACGAACCTTCACATCAACACCAACCTCCCATCCCGAAGAACTGGATAATGCCACTGTCGATCGACCATTCAATCACCCGCCCACTCACCCACCGCGCGACCACTCACCGAGCAACACTCCTCGTTCCGCCCTCCATGTTTAGGGAAGTTGCCGCATCCGTGTTCACACCACTCTGGTCCAGTGGGAAACAATACACACCATGTGAGGGGGACTGGGGACTCTGCCCCACCCAACATTAAGCACTCACGCACTCAGGCGCTCACGCGAGACTCAAAAGACAAGCCAAGCCGCAAACCACCTACTACGGTATCGGGCCAAAGTTTAACCCCCTCGTCAGGTAAATGTGGCCGTGCTTTTTTGATTATCCCAGCGACGGTACGGAACTTTGAGCTTCTTGTGCACATCTATCATAATTCTGGCCAGTGAGAGTCTCTCGTACGTGGGTCACAACTCCACACTACCTGCTAGGGAGTTTATACTTACCCATCATACGTAGTAGACTTCCGGGCGGATTTCGCGCTAATGCGGTTACCAGATTAGCGCTCCTTGGCCTCCCTAGCTCCCTGGACGAAAAAAAATCGAAAACAACGCCCAAAACCCTTGACCATGGGATTACCTCCCTCTCTCTTATTCATTGGACGACTATCGCCATTGGTCTACAAAGCCTCCTCCCCCACCGCAAGTCTTGCAGAAGGCTGGGAATCCAACCTAAGCCACCTCGGCCCCTCATTGACAATGCGTCGATGCATCATCCTTCAGAGCAGCATCACGCCGTCCTCGAAGCTTCCCACTCAACCCCCAACGGCCGCCGTCCCCTTGTTGTGCTTGACCCCTTTCGAGAAATAGAGCCCGAGTACAAGGTAGAATTGCTGCCAGTACGCGGAACCTCGTCTCAGTCCCGCCCTCCCCAGGAATCCCCGTCTCCTCTATCACTCCCGCCAATGACTCGCCAGGCCCGTCCTCCGCTTTTCCGAGCCTTATCCGGCGATTGACACGCAAACAATACCAAACACTGGAATATGCCCGTTCCGTCCCATCCGTCGCCTGCTTGTATACTACGTCGCCCAAGACAATAAACCGCAATAAAGGAAACAGAGACAATATCTAGGACGCGTGTGCCACGCGGCTCCCAACCCGGCTCTTCCTGCTAACGTACATCGTACACCGATGGGGAATGTTGCCCCCCACCGGCCTTGCCTTGCCTCGCCATCTCGAGTCTTTGGCTTTCGTCGCCACTAATTGGCGTTTGCCAAGACCCATCAAATGGCGTCCCATTTCATTCATGCTCCCTCTTCCCCCGATACTTCTCCGGGGCCGAGGCCGTGATGGACCTTTACATGTCCGCCCATCTGGTGTCGGTACCCGCATCCAGTTCTCTTTGTGAGCACGCTGTTACGCATCGCTATCAAAGTCGCCGTTCTTGCTCGTACCCTACTTTATTCTCCCCCATTGTTTTCATATCCCCTTACGCAATGCATATTTCTGTGTGCTCGGAACTGGGGATCCAGATACCTGGACCAAAGCCTCGATTAAAGCTCTCGGCGCCCGTGTTCCCAACAAGACGCCGGCGGGAGAACATTCCTTGCTTCCAGAACATCCAATACACCCGGAACCACCGGTAGAGCAGACTGTATCTGCAAGCACTTTGACTGCAACAAGGGTTGGCCCGTCTTGCTTGTCCTCCATTTCTTCTACCAAAGGCGTCACATTGTCAAACTCAATTTCCGACAGTCATCTGCAAGCCTCCACATAAATTGTAGCTGCGAAAAGACGAAGCCGCTCCAGTAGATTCGACCCTACGCGTCCCCACTCGAAGAAAAATAAACGTTCGGGAAACTACCACGCATATCCAGGTACGCAGTAGTGCAGGCCATCTTCATGCGTCAGTCGGGGAGAGGGGGCCATCCCCCAGCGCAGAACCTGCCTGATTCATAGAGACGAGATGCCGCCAAATACGCCCCAGGTTTAACCCAGTATACGCCTCTACATAAGCCAGGTTTGAGACCGTAACACTCTGCCGCTCGTTCGTCGCTCATCTATTCTGCCAAGCGCGCGGGAAAAAAAATTAAAGGGAGTGGAGGGTTGATCGAATGATCATTCTTTATACAGCAAAAAATTACCGAATGATCCTCGCGGGAAGTTGCCATGTTTGCTAACACTATGAGCCTGACCCTAGCCTGTTGGCGGCGCGGCGGCTTGCCTTTGACTACCTTCTCTCGTGGCTCGCCCACGTGTCGCATCTCTCACGCGAGACCTTACAGGCTTCACGGGGAAATTGTCTCATTCGAAGAGCCCAACCTGTGCACGAACATTGGCCAGATTGAGCCGCATCCGGAGGGTATTATCCAAGAATCCACCCACCCACCCACACACACACACAACCGAGCAGATACCCCGACCGTCTGAGGCAGCACATCACTGGCTGCACTTGGTAAGGTCCGAGTTGCTTCTGGCATAATCGGTCGGAAATCGAGGAAGCTAGCTTAGAACCCCCGAGTTCCACGCAAAGAGAGCGCCGGGTGGCCCCGGTCGGTCGCTGCGCGGCGAACAAGCTCAACCCCCGATATACCTACGCCGTCATGCATCGCCTCTCCCTACACAGTAAATGCCCAATCCATCCTTCACTGTGTTGCCTTTCACCGGAGCGTCGCATATAGACCATCGTCTTTATTCTGCCATATTACTAGTGTATGATGAGACTCACTCCACACACACACCCTTTCAACCCGTCAGATCCATCTCTCGTCCGATGTCTTCGTCGCGTTCCGAGAAGTACGACGACTTTTTCTCTACGTCCCGCGCGTCGCAGCCTCACTTCTTGAAGACGGCGGCCCCGAGCCTTTCGATATCCCGCCCCTCCTGCGTGCTCCGCCCGGCCGCCTCGAGCAGTCTGCCCCACGCCTCGGCGTCTTTGAGCCTCACCGCCTCCTCCGCCGCCTTGACCCGCATCCCGCACTTCTCGTACATTATGATAGTCGTCCCCGGCTCCAGACCCGTGCACTTGGGCACAAAGACTGCCGCCAGCCGCGGGTTGCCGGCCTGCAGTGTGAGGTTGAAGAACGGCTGTGGCGCTTGGTAGTTAGCCTTGTTACTTCTGCATCGTCCAGATCGGCGCGCGAAGGCCCGCCGGGAACTGTGACACTAGACCACCCGTCCATGGTGTGATGCGTGTATGTGCGTGTGATGGAATGTTCTTACCTCCCACCCGATTGGACTTTTTCTTGTCTTTGAGAGTTCTTCAATCTCGTTCCAGTCTCGCTTCGCAACAAGCGCCCGGAGTCTAGGTAATGTACAACATGGTTAGCCAATGCATGTACTCGAAAAGGGGCCGGTTCACAAGTGAATAAGAAACCGGTTCAATGGTCAAAAAAAAGGAAGGGGGATGGGGAGGGTTTCTTACCTGATCCACCAAGCAACCTTGTCCGGTACCTTGAACTCGCTCTGGATCTTGTTGGCGCGCTTGTGGTAACCGAGCCGGATGAGCTTGAACATGGTCTCGTTGACACTGAGCCCGGTGAAGGTGTCGGTGAGGTCGCGGTCGAAGGCCTCCTGCATCTTGAGCAGCGTCTGCGCCTCCTTGAGGGCGTGCACCTCGAACGCGGCCTCCCTCGAGTCAGAGAGCAGCTTCGCGGCGAGGGCGAGCTTGTCCGACGACGTGCGAGCGTCGGGCTGACGGAGCGACTCGCGGATGAAGACGCTGGCGCCGTCGACGCGGCGGTCATCCTGGTAGTAGAGGTCCTTGAGGAGGGCGTTTTCGCCCTCACGCGCGGCCGAGGACTCGACGAGCGCCGTCGCCGTGGGGCGGGCGTTGATAGTCCGGAAGAAGGCGGCAAGCGGCAGCTTCTTCTTGAGCTGGAGGAGCACGGTGTACATGAGGTCCGTGTCGCCGCTCTCGATGGCTTTATCGAGGGCGAGCTCGTCCTCCTCCATGCTGAGGAGCAACGGCACCTGGCGCCCGCCGCGGGGCTCATGGTTGAGCAGCTCGGTCGCGAGGCGGCCACGACCCTCGTCGTAGGCCGCGCGGGCGATTTCCTCAAAGGAGATGCCAGGCTTTCCGGAGAGGCGCTCGACGACCAGCCTACAAATGGTGTCATCGTCTTCGGCTCCGGAGCGGACCTTGGCGCAGGCCCAGTGCACATAGATGCGGTCGGTCGGGAGGCGTAGGTACCCGGCAATTTTGAGGGCGAGGAGGTACTCGTGGCGGTTGATGAGCCTCTTGATGAGCCCTTCAGGGGTGAGGCGCTGGTACTGCTCAAAGGAGAGCGGCAGGCCGACCTCAAAGAAGCGCACGGCGTTGAGCACGCGGAGGGTCTCGCACATGTCGACGAATTCGTCGCTGTTATAGATATCGAGTACAGACTTGCCAAATGACGCGGCTTTGAGGAGCTGCTTCTGCCAGTGGACGCTGAACTCGCGGCCGGCGGCCGTGACGCACGTGTCAACGGCCTCAGTTAGGTTGCCCCGGATCAGCTGGATGTAGTCGTCGGCCTTGGGCGACTGAAGCTCCAGCTGACCGACGGCGTCGAGGAGAATTGATGCCGCCGAGGACTCGGCGCGGGTGCCAAAGACCTCCTCCGTGGCGTACGGGACGCGTTCCAGAAAGTCACAGGCATCGTTTGTAATGAGTCTCGCGCCGTCGTGCTCTGCACATGGTCAGCTACCCCGTGATTCTTTGAGACGCGACGCCAGTAGACCTACCCGACACAACGTGCACGCGTCCGTCGTAAAAGAACTCGGCCGTGGCGGCGTCCGGGCCGATGATGTGCACCTCGTCCTCCCACGCAATGAGGGCATCGGATCCGCACCACTCAACGTACTTTGGCGGGATCTTGGACTGCGAGTCGTGCTCGACAAGCCTCTCTGAAAAGTCGCTAGAAATTACATGCGCCTTGCCCGTCTTGGTGTACAGCACAATCAGCCTCCCGTCGGGGGACACGCTGATGTGGCTAAAGGGCCCGAGGTCCAGAAAGCGATCCTCGCACTCGGCCGCGTCGACGACGTATACCGTCTCCCCGATGCTCAGCAGCACCTCGACGGAGCGCGAGAGGGTGTGATCGGGCGCGACTACGGCCCAGGCGTGGATCTCGCCCTGGTCGGTGGGCGGGGTCGCGAGCAGGCGAGGCCTCGGTTCCGCGTACGACGAGACCGAGACGAAGGTGTCGTTGCCCAGGAGGGCGACCATGCCGGTCTCGTAGAAGCGGCATCCGACGACGCCCGATTCGTCGGCGCCGTTGCCCAGGGAGAACTGGGTGAAGTCGCCCTGTAGGTCGTAGGCGCGCACGGTGCCGTCCGTCGTGACGACGAGGAGCCTCTCCTCGCCACCGGCGACGCTGGCCCAGCCGAGGCCCTTGATGGAGCCGGAGCCCTGGTCCCAGGGGATGCGGCGAAGGAGCTTGCCGGCGTACGAGTAGATGTCGATGCCGGGCTTGGAAGACGGGGCGCCGCCGCCGCCTGGGTTGACGCGGTACGCCTGGATCTTTGTGTCGTCTCGCAAGAGGGCGAGGGCCCCGCCGTAGGGGGCGCCGGCGACGATGTGGTTGTCAAGGTCGAGGTCCTGGTCAAAAACCTCGGTGTAGAGCTGGACCTTGCGGTACCACTTGTCGCCGACGCTCTCCCATCCTGCCGAGGGATGAGACGCTTCCATCATGTCATCTTCTCATTGCCGGAGGACGATTGTTTCTTCTCTGTGCGCGCGCTCGTGTGCTTATTTGCTTTGCTTCTCGAACTTTTGACCTTGTCGGAAAATTTGAGAATCTTGGGAGCAGTCGTCGATGTGTGGGTTGTTTGACGTACCTACGTACTTTGAGGCCGAGGTGTGAGATGAGAGACGATGAGGTTGGGGGCATGAGCTCCAGTTCTCTCGCACTCTCTCTCTCTCTCTCTCACCTCCACTCACCCCAAGCTGTCGTTACCTTGGAGCTACACGGTAACCAGAAGTGGGTAGGAGCTTGCGCCACAAATCAAAATGGGCCAGCCTCAAGAGACCTGGGGCGCGGCTAATCCCCGGCCCAGAGGAACCTGCGTCATTGCACCACAGCCCCCACAATCAACCCCAGATAAGACAAGAGCAGCACCCACCCACCGAACCCTTCTTAGGACAACCATACATGACCAGGTGATGCGACCAAACCACCTGGGCGAGTCGGGCGTAGTGTTTCTTGTTTCCTGGAACGTAAAGCGCATGCGACATCCGTCCCGTTGCTGATTCAGCTTCTTGTTTCATACTCACGGATTCGCTCGACGGGAATTTTATTGTACTTCATTTTTGCCAAATGCCGGTATAGACAAACGAAGGTTAAGCCCTCAGAACGGCTCTCTCTCTCTCTCTCTCTCTCTCTCTCTCTTGTCGATAAATGTGACCCGATACCGCGACTTCCAGACACCCTCACCTGTCGCCCGTCGTCGCCCATCATGCCCGTGCCCGACTGGCGCTCTGAATACCTGGCCTCCATCAGGGAGCAGGAGAAGAACAACCCCGTTAACCTCGAGATCGTCCAACTCTGTAAGCCCCCCCCCCCCGACCACCTTGACCTCACCCCAACGGCGCTGCCACACGCCCAAGTCTCTCAACACGCTTCCTAACTCGTCACACGCACTCACATAGGCTCCCACCTCTCCGACCGCGTCGCCGCCCTCGAGGCCGAAAAGGAAGTCCTCCGATCCAAGACTGCCGCCGCCCGCCCCGATAAACCCACATCCGCCACCTCTGAGAAACCGAGCGTCCGCGACACGGCCCCGGCGGACCCCAGTACCGACGCGGCCGTCGCTCAGCTCCAGCTCCAGCTCGCCGAGGCCCTGCGGTCCAACGGCACCCTCAGGGACCGGGCGAAGGCGGCCGAGGACGAGGTGCAGGTGCTGCGCGCCAAGGGCAAAGAGGACGCCCGAAAGCTCAGGGGCCTGACGGCCGAGAACGCGGCTTTGACCACCAAGCTGCGGGACCGCGAACACGAGCTGCGCGAGAAGCGCAAGCTGGTAGAGGTATGCACCACCCACCCCACATACACACATACACGCAAAGAATCCCGACGGCGGGGGAGGGCGACGATACTCCCTCTCCCCTTTTCGGATTACGAGAAAAAGGGAAAAAGAAGATCCTGACATGCCGCCGCCGCAGAACGTACAGGACGAGATGATTACGATGAACCTCCAAATGACCATGGCCGAGCAGGAGCGGGACAAGGTCAGGAAGGAGAACAAGGAGCTCGTCGACCGCTGGATGAAGAGGATGGCCCAGGAGGCTGAGGCCATGAACCTCGCGAATGAGCGTTGATGATGCCGGTCTAAATTCCGTGTATGCAACCCCCCCACCTCGCCTTACCCACCCTTCCATGCTTCACGATGCTTTCTTGCCGCCTGTCCGGCCGGGGCACGCCTCTATGGGGAGTATCAAATTCTACAGGTAATGAAACCCACAACGCTATTCCCTCGCCTATGCCAAATGTCCCCCCACCCGCCCTTTTCTTTTTCTCTCTTCTTTCTTTTCAGGGTTTCCTTTCCTTTCACAATGGTATACAACGTACGATGCAGTCTCAAGCCTTTCGCTTCGCGGCCTTATGCCGCACAACCTTCCACCCAAGTCCCGTAGGACATCATACGGCGCAATGACAAGATGCTGACGAGGCGTCCCAGTGTTTTCTTACTTCTTGGTCGAGAGGCAGTAGTTGCCGCCGGCGTTCGTCCAGCTAACGTAGCCGCCCTCCGGGTACGTCAGGTGTTCGACCTCGAGGATGTTGCTCGCGATATCGTTGGCGTTTCGTGTGCCCTGGTCGTTGACGAAGGACTTGAGCGAGACGATTTTGCAGCCCTGCTTCAGGTCGAGGAACATGTTGACGAGCTCGGCGTTGAGCTGGGGGGTGAAGGCCTGGTTATTGACGAGGATGACGTCGGCGCGCTTCATGGCCTCGTGGATGCGGGTGCTCTTGGTGAAGTCACCTCGCTCGAGGTTGACCCGACCGGGCAAGAGGCCCCACATCTTGCAGCGCGCGCCAAACTCCTTCTCCTGCGCCTCGGCAAAGTCGCAGGGGTTCTCCATCATCTCGCAGCCCCAGCTCTCGCAGCCGATCTCGAGCGCGGCCTGGAACACGACGTTGCCCACGCCCGAGCCGAGGTCGACAAAGACCTGGTCCGACGTCATGCGCGTCCTCTCCTGGAGGATCTCGGAGATGAATTTGTAGGTTAGCTCGCCATAGACGTTGTCGGTGCCGTTCTTGTACTGCTTGAGCTTCTCCACTTCCGGTGACACTGTGCGGTCGTAGACCTGGGTGAGGATAAACTCGACCAGGTCACGCGGGATGCCGTGGAGGTTGTCGAGGTTCTTGCGTATCGTGCCGTCGGCGGCAAGGGCCCGGATCCTCTTGTTGGCATCCGCCAAGGCCGAGACGAAGCCGTGAAAGTCGTTGATATTCGATGCCCTCTCGAGCCGCCTTATCAGTCCGTTGTTCGGCTCCGTGAAGTCCGTGGCTTGTTCTTCTGTGAGGTAGACGTCGGCGACGAATCTGACCACCGTCTTGATGTCCTCCACCGCATTGATGATGCCCTTTTCGGATATGAGCTCGTATCTGGGGGTGAGAATACGTCGTTAGCCATGCCGCAGCGTGATAATGGTACAGGGGAGGTGGTGGTGGCCTACTCTTCGGCGCCATAATTGCTCGGGTACTGCAGCCTGACCCTCACATCGTCATCCACGGTCGCGCCGAGCAAGCGCTTGGCCTTGGGGCACTTTTTGAGGTTGCTGATGTGGACGGCGTGGATCAGCCGGCTGAGGGGCCGCGCGTTGTCCTTGAAGGCGCTCGAGCGGGTCAGCACGCGTTGGGTGTCGACGAACTGGCCATCCTTGGTGCGTTGGCGCTTGCGGGGCTCGAGGTTGATGAAGGCGTCGTAGTTGTCGTCGCCGTCCGAGTCGTTGTCGAACTTGGGCTGGGAGGGGCCGGCGCTGCCGACCTTGCGTTTCCGCTCGCTGCGCTTCTCGTCCGAGGACGACGGATATGGCGAGGCGCTCTGCTTGCGGGAGAGGAGCGATTTGCCGTTGGGCTTAGGGGAGGGGCGAGGGGAGGGCTTGGCGGAAGAGGTGGACGAGGCGGCGTGAGCGAGCTTGGGGCGCGGCTTCGGGGCGGCGACCTGGACTTTCTCGACGCGGATGGCGGCGGGCTTGGAGTTGAACTTGTTCTTCCCGCCGAGGATTGGCATGGCGGCGGAGGAGCGACCGCTGAACGGGTCGATCGGACTGTGTCACGGAGCGAGAGGAGAGAGGGAGGGCGTTGCGCGCGTGACCCCGCGAGGTAGTGGCGAGCGACAGGTTAGTTGGTCGGGTAGCCTGATTTGAGCAGCCGCGGGTCGGGCGGGGTGTGTTGAAAGTGAATGAATGATGGATATCGGCAGGAATGCCCCGAAAAGGCGAGTCGTCAGCAGGACCTGCGGCTTCGTGTCATGGATGTCGGTGCACGACGGTTGTGTGATGTTTGATCGGGGTGGAGGAGGATCGGAACGGAGGGAGAATGTGAGGGTTGAGAGGGGAGTGAGACGAGACGGTAGACACGAGGCGATTTTTCGGGAGAGGACGTGGAAATGGGGCCGAGATGAGTGGGAAAAGTGGGGTGTCAACGATCCAGGACCCCGAAAGGTGGGAAGATTGGATTATTATGTAAGACAGGGACGAGGGGACGAGTATGGATACAGTACTCCGTACCTAGCCAAGTATTCGTACACGTTCAGTCAGTATACATGTTTGTACAGGCAGAGTGGCGATACCTACTATGGAGGCAAGGGTACTTTGGGGTACGTGGGGACTGGGAGGGAAACGCGCAGGAAATACCCAGATTACCCATCCATCCATCCATCCATGTCCGGGGAATTGCGCAGTCGTCCCAACCTGTGTTCCCACCCATCCCCGTCATCCCCCGTCGTTCCCTAATTCCCATCCTTACATTGCAGAAATAGGCACAGCGCATCCAACCCGCCTCGATGCAGCCTTGAAGCCTCGCATCGGGGGGAGGGAGGGGAGGCGAGGGTAAGGGGAGGAGAGCCCAGCGTCCTGCTTCTGTTCCTCGGTGCCGACGCACGGGATTGACAGACCCCACTCTCAGGGCCTTCCTTCTCCTCCCCCCCACTGCAGATACCACGTCAGATGACCTGGACCCGCATAAGCCGCCGGATGTGATTGGCTTGCCCGACGGGTAAACAACTCCATTCCTTTGGGCTTAGCGTTGAGTGTTGGCTGTCATCCAGTCTCCCTTTCCCACTGACAACTGTCGTCTGGGGCCAGTGCGGGAAGGGAGACCGTTGGGCGCATCGTCAAAGTCTCAATTTAAGCTTGTCTCAAAAGCAACCTACCTAGGTATTCGACTCAAAGGGAGCAAACCCTCCTTCTGCCTTCTTCGACCACTTGCAAGGTCGCCGAAACAGCATGCGGGATACCAGGCCGATCGATCTGTCTCAGGCGAAGACGGAAGACCCTTACTGAGCTCACAATCCCGGTGATCCGACGTCAATGTCTTAAAAGCCCAGACTTCCCTTTCGACAGGCCTCGGTGGATTCGAAGATTACCCCAATATGCTAATGCTCAAGCTGTTGCAACTTTACTAAACGTGTATGGTTTTCTACTAGATCGTGCATCATCTTGTAGCACTTACTACCGCACACTCAATCCCTGCATCCATTGCTGTCAGAATTATATCATAATACCGAAGCATGAAAGTGTCTCCCAGACTTTTATTACTACGCCCACCGCGAGACATCGAAACGGACAAATGCAACCAATTGCCCCAGACAGCTGTAGAAACATTAAGTACAACACATGGGCTACAGAATCGTCGTTAAGGCAAGCTCTTGGCAACCCTCACCCTCCATACGGCCACATTTCCGGGGCCAAATTCACGACGCTCTCTCCTTATCAGTCAACGCCAATGCCAAATCATATTCTCAGGGTGGTAATCGGGATAGCAGTCCTCCTCGGCCCCGGTCTCCTCTGTTTCGAAACCCACCTCGCTGTACTCCTCGCACCGGAAAGCAGCGTCAAACACCCTAACGTCCGCCGGGTTCCGTGGGTTGCTCGGCAGGGCCCAGTCGCCGGCCTGCATGAACTCCACCACGACGCCCGTCTGCGACGTCAGCTTCTCAAACACCCCCTTGGCGTGAGGGAGCGCGAACCCGCTGGTCGGCCGGCCCCAGAGAACCCTGAACCAGAGCGACTGCCGCCCGTGGTATCCGGACCCGTGCAGGACGACGTCGTAGAGCTCTCCCATCCGGAACCCCGCGATTGCGGTCTCGCCGCCGGGGCGGATCCATGAGCTGGAGACGACTTGGTCGCTTGCCGTTATGCTGCGGACGTCGAAGCGCATGTATCCCAGGGACGGAGGCGGAGGCTGGGAGACGAGCATCCACCGCCAGCTCGCGCCGCGGCGGGTGAACCGTCGTCGGGACTCCGCCAGGGCCCGTGCCGACTCTTCGTCGAGCTCAGCTGGCCTGACTTGGGTCCAACCTCCCCAGTTCTCTCGAATCGTCTGGACCGGTTCCGGGCGAATTGACCACGGAAGCTCGTAAAACGAGTTTAGACGACGGTGGAACGAGCAGGTGGGCCCGAAGTCGAAGAAGCACTTGTCAAATTTCTCTGCGAGCAGAGGGTTGATGAGTCGAGCATCGTTATCTGACAGAAGCCTGTATTCAATCGGAACTCTCGGGAAGGGGATCCCCTCGAGGCCGTGGATGGTTCCTCTGGAAGCATCGGACACCGGCTTAAAGAAGAGAGCTTGTTGGAGGGCCGGAGATCCATCCACGAAGGCTTTCCAGGTACGGCTCACGCGACTCACCGAAACCAGTAGGGTCCTCATGTCGACCTGAACCAGTATAGCCTCCAAGAGCTCCGGGATGGCGAGGACCGCCTCCATGGCGTCGCCCGTTCGGGATTCGGGCATGGTATGGAGGCAGTAGTGCGTATATTGCCGTAACCCACGTGAAGCTGCTGCTGCTGATAACGATGATGACGAAGACGAAAAAGGGCCGCTGGGCTGGGTTACCATCATGGAGGGCCACCCCTCGTGGCGCGGGTGAGCTGCTTCATTTGGAGACGACGACTAAGCTTTTATCACAGGAGGCTCATGCCGGTGTGGCGAATGGTATCAGCCACGTCATGGACGGTATCACCTGACCGACCTTGGGACTCATATTCCTATGGGCCCTCACCCTTGGGAACACATTTCTTACAACCAAGCTTCTCTTCACCTTTTGGACATGGCCCCAATTCGCTGTGTGCCCTAACTCGTGAGAGCGTTACACGTCAATATGCTAGTACACGTTGCGGTTCCGACCAATGTTCCGGAAAGCTGCTTGTCGTACGACAACCTTTGTTTACTTCTGAGTTGTCATGCTGTTAGTCGGGAAATCGTGGCGTTGATGTGCTGCTTACCGGCGTCATAGCTGAGCATCAGCGTAAGCAGCTATGCCTAGTGTAATTTCCTGATTCGGCCCAATCCTTTGTGAGTCTCAAGCGCAAGCGCTTGCAGGTTCCTTTTCTCTGACAACAAAATCGGCGTCTCTGTCCACGTTGTTGCACAGGCAAGGATACTGCATTAGATTCGGTGTTCATTGACTTACCATAATAGCATGACGTCTGCACGCAACTACCGAAGAAGTGACCGAGTGATCTGGGCTGACCTGTTAATATCTATTTTTGCATTGCGTTATTTTGTATTTCTTTTTTTCAGTCAGCCATAAGTCCCACGATGTGGCGTTGGAAATGAAAGCCGGCTTCCAAGCTCATGCGGACGGCTACCGGCCTTACAAAAAGCCCGAGCCCAACACCTTAAATCAAAAGGATCCCACTTAGCGTTACGCTACATTCTCTCAGAGTGCGGGTTAGTGCAGTGAGAACTCCTTGGCTGGTCAACTCGCGTGGTGTAACCTTCGTATCTGTGGCTGGTATGCAACACCACCCATGCTTGTGGGATGGCCTGCAGTGTTCCGCATAGCTTTTTTTTATCCACTAGGAATAAGAAAAAACACGCTGCATCTCTCATCATGTTCCAATATACGTCACCTGATCTTGCAAAATCACCATAGCGTTAATACTCCTATCTAGATCTGTTTTGGCGTGTCCACGGCATTCGCCGTTGAGTTTTGGCCATAGGCTCGGATACTTGCCAGCAACGATTGATTAGGACACGGCCTGGATTGAGGTGTGGCCTAGTGATAAACCATCTAATGCTCCAAAATATTGTATGTTTATGTTTGAGAGGCCTCTTTGACACACTGTCAAAGTGCCGGTTGAGTGCTGACCATAGGCTCAGACACTTGCCTGCAACAGTTGATTAGATCAAGGTGTCACCTAGTCATAAACTATCATACAAAGGATCATACGCTTATGCTTTAGATGTCTCTTTCAAAAACTCTGTTGAAGTGGGGAAATTAGTAGACTGTCGTTTCCTGAGGCTGGCAAGCCACTAGCCATGGTCTGCCTTCCGTGAGTTCATATTAATAGCTACATTCAGCCTACTTATACGCCTATTGTGGCAGTATGGTAATCTTATGATAATAACAGCGAGATGGGAGGTATTCATGTATTGTTTTGACTACTTGCCATAACGAGGGGACGTAAGCATATCACTTGTAGAAGCAGCCAAGGAATGCCGATTGCTCCGGACGCATGGCGCCAACATGGCAGCTAAGACCGGGTTTTGAAAGCAGGCGTCTGGTGATAGCAGCAACCGAAAGCCTTTTACCTGCAAGCCTCTTTGCTACACAGCACGAGAGATGCCACGGCTGTTCCTTTCTAACGTCAGCACGCATGCGTTTAGAATCTCCACGTTCTCGACGCAGGTAAACGTGGGGCCATCCAGCTAATTGACTTTCATGGCCAATGCACATACTGTCTGGATATCAGGAAGCCTCGGGGTAATTTGATTTATGGGCTAGCTAAACTAATTCAAAAGCTTACACTTTTCCCTCGGGCCACTGCGTTGTACGTCGAGGGCGTTTCACGATGAAACTAGTCAATGTATTATTGAAATGAAAAGCAACCGTCCTTTACCTGTTGTAGTCGACGTACTTCGGCAGCAACAGCCAACATTCTACTCACCGGATCCCTTGGTAAGAAGCAAGAACTAGGCAGGCTCTTATTACACAACAGGGCTGACCGTCACTCTTCCATCCGGGCAGGGCTGGTTAGCTGACGTGAGAATCCAGGCCTCCTTGCATACGATTCTCGCACCGGCAAGCCATTATAGGCCCTAATGCAGCCTCAACTAAGACTCGTAAGACGACGGTATTTGGGCCGGCCTGAGAGCGCGCCATTGACTTTTCGTGTGCTGCATGTTTCCCCGGTGGCGTCGCTCCACATTTCGGACTTGAGGCTTCCGGCCCCGACTTAACCCACTTCGGATGCGACCGAAGTGCTGATCCTGCTCCCGTGCCGATGGTAGGCACCTGAATAAACTTTTTTTTCACATTAAAGGATGGGGTTTCCTAGCGCGGCAGTGCTGGCTAGAATACTGCTTCCTGCTAGAGCCCCGTCGTGCCGGTTTCCGGCTCTCGGGCGTCAAGCTGAATTTCCCGGGAGATCCTATAAACGCCACTCATAAAAGGCAATTCAGGCAGTGGGGCCATGTGGGAGACCCTGACCGGGCTTGTGAGAGTAGCATGAGATATCCTATCCTATTGTTTCGCTGATCCGTTTCTCCAGAGCACGCTAGTCGCAGGCCCGGCAGCTAGCGCCATCCCAACTCTTTGTGCAGAAGTGTTTCCCAAGCTAAGGTTAGACCCAAGGATCCTTCAACCCCTTTCTGAGGCCGAACACAACATATAGGCTAGAGCCATACCTCAATTGGCCTTGTGGCAAGGAAAGCCCTATATAAGACGATACCTCACTTCCCCTCGAGTCGGGATTTGACCATCGCCCTTTGTGAAGCATCTCTCATCACTTAAACCTACCCAGGCAACCACGGTTCTTTGTTCATACTCTTCCATCTCATCCACAATCCTCCAAACAGTCCATTAACAACATGAAGGCCTCTACCGTTGCCGGCGCTCTCGCCTTTGCCGTTTCTGCCGCCGCCGCTCCCAGCAAGTGCGCTTGCCCGACCAACTCCGCCCAGCCTGACGGCACCCTTGGCAGCTCCTACGTGTCCACCAGCCTTCTGGTGCCTATTGCCAAGAGCAAGCCCAACTATGCCTTTCCGGCGACCAAGTTGGCCAAGGTAACGCCCAACGACGTCTGCACCATCTTCAACCTCGACCTGCCCGTCGCCCAGACCCAGGGCAAGGTCTGCAACCTCGTCTTTGACTTCCCCTCCAAGGAGTCCGCTCTCGGCAAGTTCGAGTTCAAGGGCAAGGGCACTTTCAACTTCACCGGCTACGCCATCGGCGCCGGCGCCGTCGCCGGCCAGACGACCTACAACAAACAGCCCGCTCCCGGCCCGAGCCCCCCGAACCCGCCTCCCATCATGACCCCGGGCCACAGCTACGTGAGTTTTCCTTGCACATGCGCGGCCCTCTGCCTCAGGTGGCTGACTTGATTGCTATTCAGATCATTAACAGCGCCCCATGCGGCATCCCGGCCGACGTTCCCGGCAGCGTAACCGTGTCCGGCAGCCTCTGCTCCCCTGACACCAACTTCGTCTTCGAGGAGAACACCAAGGGCTGCCCTCTTGGCTTTTTCGTTGTCCTGACGGACATTTGAGAGGCACCGAGGTAATATACCGATTTCGGGTCTACATGTCTATTGAGTTATGCGACCAATTTGGGTCCAAATAACTGTCCATGGGGTAGACGCAGTGAAATTACATGTAGATATTTGGGATCGTCCCTAGACATATTTATTCTTTGAAGAATAATATTCAAACCGTTCTGTGCAGTTGTATTAGACCCTAGCGTCACTTTGGTATTCCTTTGAGTGATCCAAACATGGAACGAAAATACAAATCTAACCGAAGTAAGCTGCTCGTCCTACTGATCTATGACAAGCTACGGCCGCCGTGATGTACAATCCCGCCGATATCATGGAGCTCAGCAGGTCTCGTACAACTATCAATGGTTACTTTTACATTTCTCCTTCTCCCGTATCTCACTCCGCCTGATACGAGGGTGGTCAAAAACATACCCACCGGCAGTGGTGGCCCGGTTGCTCGGTGCCGCTTCGCCTGAGACATATAACAAATCATCAAGCTTTTTTGGCTCATTCTCTCTGGAGGATGCAGAAGAAGCCACTGACGCCCCGCGTGTCAGTATTACGTACACCTTGACTAAAGTACGTATCCAACGTAGTTCCTCCTAACTGGTAGACGGTAATCCTCTTGACGCAGTTGGAAAAAAAAACAATATCAGTAACAATGCCCGATACTCAACACCATAGTGGAGGGTTTATAGATAAAAATACAATAACAGCGTGTCCATTGATGACCCTCATTGCTTTTCCCAATTAACAACAAGGCCTGGCAACTCGCTATCGCCACCGCAGTAAGATCTGCCCACGTATGATGTGATTTTTACTTATGTTTCACTCGTGGTTCTTTTTGTGCCTGGGACGACTGCATTACTCTTCGTTAGCTTTAGGATCGCGACCAATGCTGGATAGTCCTGCATCGGTGCCTCAAAGGGGATTGACTACTCACTCCGGTCGACTTGGACGCATATTGTGACCTCAAAATGTTCAGCTCCTTCTTTTGCCAGCTCGACAATGACCTCGCAACTTGCTATGAATCCCGCTTCGCCTTCGAGTACATCTTTACCCTCCTCGGTAGAGTTTCCATGAACTGATATTGCTTCAACCGACACACCAGTCAGTGCCGGCTTATCCAATAGCGCGGTTAGTGTATCTAGTGTGACTAGTGCTCATAGCGTGTCTAATTTGACTAGTGTGCCTGACTATCGTGACTAGTGTAATTACCCTTAGGACATCGTTGGGTGGCGTGACAACTACGACAAGGACTTCATCGGTTTTCTAACGCGTTCAAGGACTTCAAATAACTTCAAGTCCTTGCACACGCCAACTTCCTCCTCGAGTCCCACATAACCATCGCCGCCCATTACATCGACTTCCGTTGGCTTACATCAACTCCGATCAGTTTCGTCCCTAATTCAACTTTTTTACACACCAGACTTACCGAATATCACTACGATGCAAGACTAAGGCTTCTTGAGTCATACGTCGAGCATTACGACAGCCGCGAAAGGAGTCCAATTCAAACTTACTGTCGTTGTAGAACAAGTCTCTACCTTGACAGAACTGGGCTTCGGATGACACGCCCGGCTTCTTTACCAGACGTCGCAGGTGTCTGTTCTCTTCGCTGCTAGGAGCAATAACTGTAGAAAGTAGTATTAATATACGAGTTTTTCTCAGTTTCAAGCATCAAGGGCCAGATGAGGTGAGACGTTGATTTTGCTTTCCGATTCCAACACATGTTGTTCTTGTATTGATTATTAAACTTTCTCGATGCGATTCTTTGTCTATTACATTATCATTTTGAAAAATCGCTCTCTGCCTTCAACCAGGTTTCAAAGTCCTTCAACTCTGGGTACTCCTTCCTCAGCTCTTGGATGTTGACGCCGAACCCGACGTCGTAGAACCACTTGAACATCCACCCAAAGTCCTTTACCAGCGTCATGATAAGCCAGGAGAAGATTCTGTATGTCTCAGGCAGCTCCCTCCCAGTCGTCTTCTTGAACACGTCGGCGAACTGATCGATCGTCAACTCGTCGCCGGCCAGTGAGATTCCGCGGCCCTTGTACTCCTCCGGGTGGAGGAAGGCCTCGGCGCCGATGTGGAAAATGTCACTGACCGCGATCAACTGCAGCGGCTTCTCTTTGATGGCCATCCTCCAAGACGTCGCGAAGACCCGCCCCACGAAGTCGTCCGTGAGATCCTCCATGAAAGCCACCGGCCTGAGGACGGCCCAGTCCATGTCGGTGCCCTTGGCTTTGGCGAAGAGGTGCTTCTCGATGTTGTGCTTGTGGATGAAATGCGGAACGTTGGTCGGGTCATCCGCGCCGTGTCTATCGGCGGACGTGTAGACGAAGAACTTGACGCCGGCCTTGAGAGATGCATCGATGAGAGCCTTGCCGATGACCTCCTCGCCTCCCCCACTCTGTCCGAGGACCTGTCTTGAGTTTTAGCTACAGTATTCATGATGCCAGACAAGGTTAGAGACAAACCTGAACGCTGAAGACGCCCCAAATGGGCGAGCTTGCCACTTCCTTGCCGCTTCTGAAGAGTGCTGTTGGGTCGGAGAGTTCGCCCTGGACTAGTCGGATCTTGGGAGACTTTTTCACGAGCCGCTGTGCAGATGCGGAGCTCGCATTCCGCGTGACGGCAAGGATTTCCAGGTCGGCATTTTGTTCAACGAGGCGGTTGATGACGGCACCGCCGTGCTCCTCCCCAGTCGAACCACAGATTAGGATAGCTCGTGATATGTTTAGATGTTAAGTTGTGTGTGGACTATGAACAGTGGTTGAGAGGAGTAATCGTTGTTGGATCTGAATAAATTGAGCTTGAATGAACGTCCAAAACTGTGTCAACGAAGGATACTGTCGCGAGTCAAATAGTCAAGTGAAATGTCCACCCCGTCGCGGAGATTGATAGTCTATTTCCGATGAGACGCGAGCGAAAAGCCCGCGCTGGTGAGCGCTGGTGAAGCACTCACTCACACTTACAGCATTGGGTCATGACGTCCACGAAGGATTAGCAAGCTACGATCCATATTGCTCCGTCAGCCGCCCAAGAGCGAGAAGCGACGCCTTTCGGCCTCCAACAAAGACCGAGCCTGGGCGGTCGCCTGTTCTCATATCATTCGCTCGTCCTGTCGCCAATGCATTATCTCCTTTTAGATACGTCGGGCTTATCGTGAAAAGGTGTCTATGTAGGCATCGCACCTTGGATCCGGGAACATTGTCTGAGTAGACCGCAGTGATCTAGCCGCGCGTTCTCTTCCGTGAGCTTCCATTCCTGGAAAGAAGATGTGAAATATTGATGGAACGTGTACGTACGTCTCTTGCGCCCCCCCCCCAGAGATAAGACACAAGGCACCAATATGTAAGCGGCTAAACCAATCTATCTTAGGCTACAACCTCAACTCTAATACCGGACGGCCGACTCTGAAAGGCTGTGGTGATGGGAACAATCTCAACCGTCGGCCGTGGCTCGGACACGGACGACACCAGTCATACTTCATAAAATTGGGCTGGGAGCATCCCGTGACACAATTCCTAGGTCAACTTATTGACCACACATACACTAAGATACAAGGATTGCTTAGCTCATCCCGCGTAACTTTGAAGTCCTAACTGGAGGCCGGGTTTTGGAATTTGACTTCTCAACGTCCGTTCAGCCCCGGGGGGTTTCGGGCATCAGACCAGCATCCCATCACAACTACGAATAGAATTTCGTTTGATGTCTCAGGGACGAGGATTTGAACTATGCGGTGACACACGGCTGGGCATAAACGAGAACTCTTTTGTCCCCCCCCCCCCCCCCAAATTTTGTCTCCGGGAGGAGCGATAAATGTTGTAGAATAGCACTCACTGTCGCGACCTACCGCGGATTCACAAAGTCTCAGGGCTACAGAAGACTGGGATAAGAATGAACACCAACGACACCAATAGGCTGCGCGTCGTCGTCGTCGGCGGCGGCATCGCAGGCCTCGCTGCCGCCGCCGTGCTCCGCCAGCGCCACGACGTGACCGTGTACGAGCGCGAGCCGGCGTCCGCGCCCGAGCGCGGCGCGGGAATCGGCCTCGGGCCCAACGGAAGCAAGATGCTCAAGAGGGCATTCCAGTTCTGCCCGGGCGATCTCAAGGCCACCGTCTGCGCCGGGTCGCGGACCTACGACAAGGAGGGCAACCTGCTGCGGGAGACGACGGGCACGGCGGAGCCATTTGGGGGCGAGTGGCTGCTGATGCACTGGACGGACCTGCGGGAAGAGCTGCTGCGGCTCGCGACGGGGGACGCGGCGAAGCTGGGCATCTCCGGCCCGCCGGCGACGGTCGTGGATGGGGCCGAGGTCGAGGAGGTGGACGTGGATATGGGGACGGTGTGGCTGCGGGATGGCAGTGAGGTCGACGCGGACGTTATTGTCGGTTAGAATGACCCCACCCCAGACGCGTCACCCAAAAGAGAGAAATGCACGAGTGACAGATAACCCTGACGATACCCGCAGGAGCCGACGGTATTCACTCCTTCGTGCGGCAGGCCATCGTGGGTGAGCCGCCCCGCTTCCGCTCGACGGGCGTCTCCCTTTACCGGTTCACGTTCCCGCTTGACAAGGCTCGCGAGATCCTCAAGGGGTACCCACCGGCGATTGACCCGGCCAACGGCGGGTTCTTCAGCATCATGGCGGTCGATGACCAGACCAACCGCAACATCGTCTTCTACCCCTGCCGGGACCTCACCGCGCTCAACGTCATCGCGCGGATCCCGGACTCGATGCTCTCCGACGAGAGCTTGACGTCCTGGAACGCGGAGGGGACCTCGGAGGAGATGCTCGACCACTTCTTCGACTTTGCGCCGTGGGTCCTCGAGATCATGAAGTGAGTTTCGCTTGCTCCGCCGTATGTGCTTCACAGAGCCGGAAACCACTGACCAACCCCACCGTGGGAGAGAGGGAAACAGACACGCTGAGGTCGTCCATCTGTACAAAGTCAAGGACATGGACCCCCTACCAACGTACACCCGAGGCCGCGCCGTCGTGGTCGGCGACGCGGCGCACCCGATGACGCCATTCCAAGACCAGGCCGCGACGCAGGCCATCGAGGACGCCGAGGGCCTCCGCCTCCTTCTACATGAGGGCGTCGACGCCGACAACGTCAGCCGCGCGCTGCGGACGTGGGACTCGGTGCGGTGTCCGCGCGCGTCGCAGGTCCAGCGGAACTCGCGCTACGTTACCGATATGTCGGCGCAGGCGCAGCTGGACCGGATGAGGCTGAACTGGACGTATAGAGGCATCCACGCGGCGTTGAGGAATCGTTAAGCGGCCTCCCTAGAAAATGAGGAGGAAAATGGGGATAGGTAATGATGGGTTAGGTGAGATTGGGGTGACTGGATTCCTAGATGTGGCGTCCACATTCCTTGAGGCTCACACCCCACCTCAGGTCAGCCATAAACTCCCGGAGCTGATGAATCATCAACTAGACCAAGACATTATCCGGAAGCTGCACTGTTTTATCGGAATCCCAAGACCGTGCCTGGAAGCAGATCGTCTGTAGTGGGTGGTAGGATGAACGGGCCTCCACATAAATCGGCCCAGAAATGTATCGTCTACATCATCGCTCTGTCATGGCTGAGCGCCTCATCAGTATGTATCGCATCACCTGGCGCTCGGGTGATAATCCTTCCCCCAGGTCCAGCACCGCTAGATTGACAAATCATTCCATACATTTAGGTATATAACCAAATCTCTGCAGTAATTGTCAGCGGGGGATTTACTGCGCTCCGAATGTCACACGATCAAATCCATACTGTAAAGATTATTAAGTCTCGATACCCGGATAGTGTCCCAATATCGTACCTCACACATCTAAACGTGCCATCTCATCCTTAACCACCCCCATACTCCAATCACAATGTCATCAATTAGAGCTCTTCATCTACAACCTGCCCTGCGAGCATCCACACTCCGCCGCCCCCTGCAACACACCGTCCGCCGGACCTATGCTGTGAAGGAACCCGCCCAGCCAACGCAGTCACAACACGGCGGAAAACAGCCCGGGTCAGATCAGAAAGCCCCGACGTCGCCCGATCAACTCAGCGACAGGTAGGTTCCAACTTCTCCCCGTCCAACACCGGCCGCGCCCGTGTGACGGGACAAAGCTCTCTAACGGCAATTTCCCCATAGGTCAACAATTTTCCTCGTCGCGGGAGTGGCAGTGGCGGTCGGCGGCTTCTTCGCCTTCCTCATGGGGTCCCCCGACCGCGCCGCCGGTGTGGCCGAGAACAGCACCCGCGGAGGCAATGGCTCGGCTCTGCCTGGCTACGGGTCTAAGCCGTCGAGCGAGCGGCATCTGGAGGAGACAACGGGGCGGGATCCCCGACGGCAAAGCGGTTTGGCGGGGATGAAGAGCGAGCAGACGGACCCGAATCAGGCCAAGGCCAGGAACTGAAATAGGCTCGGAAAACTATCGAGACGTTGTCAAGGTCTTTTTGTTTTGTTGATCATGTAAACCGAAGATGTTTGCTTTTTGTGCCTGCCCTGTTCTGAAGCTATAACCGTCAGTTCAAGCCCGTGCATGCATTGCTCCGTCACATCGTTTACCTGTGTTCTTGAACTTCGGAACTAGGAAGCAGGCTACGAATATCATCTATAACAGAGCCATAATAGCAATGGGCCCTCAGGATGCAGGCATCTCAACCCAACGTCATAACCACTCTATCTGAGGCTGGTCTGAGGTGATATATCAAGCGCTATTGACAACTGGATATCATTTTCACCTTTCTAGACAAGGCCGAGATCAATCATTATTGGAAAGTGGACTTGCGCATGAGCAATCCAAGAGGCAGTTACTGCCGATGGCAAGTTTTGACTTGTCTCCTACATGGCCAATGCCCTCCTTTACAAGCCATTAATGTGATATTTCAGGCAGATGAACAATTAGGGCATAGAACCAAAGAATAGTGAAACCAAGTATATTCTGCTAAACAATTATTACAACGCGACGCGTCATTAAGCTATGGAAGCTGTCCATTGACCCAAACTCTCCACGCGGGTATAAGTGTTTTCGCCTGCCGTCAACTCGTGTTATAATATCTCTCGGCGACAAAGGAAAATGAATTAAGGGACTGGGGCCTCTAGTAGCCGCTAACGTGGGCAGGGCTGGATAGAGTGTTGACGTTGCCGTTGAGACCACCGTTGGGGTTAGAATCGTACAGCGAATCAAAGTTCTTGTCGATGTTGCCATTCAGGTTGCTGTTGGCATGAGGAGCATACTGTCCTTGCTGGGTAGGCAGACCATGCTTCTTGCGTTCGATACGAGGCGCGGGGGGAATGTCGGTCGACTTGCTGGCCTTCCCAATGGAGAAGACAGGGCTCTCCCAACGCTCTCCCTTGCGAGCCAAGTCCTTGTACTCGGTGGCCTTGGTGCTAATGCCGCCGGGAAGGTTGATGTCGGGGAAGATGGAGTCCTCCTTGGTGATGGCGTAGTTAACCTTCTTGTCGGCAGCAACCTCCTGGGCCTTCTGCTTGGTTTGCAGAGCGCGCTTCTGCATGGCAGTGGCGTAACGGTTGTAGATGTTGGGGGTTCTCTCGGGATCAGACCGGGCCTCATCGATGGCGCGGTCGGCCTCCTGCTTGACCTGGAAAAGGATGCTGTCCAGCTGAGTGGCCTGATCTTTGATGGCCTTCTCAACGGCCTTCTGAAGGGCAGGGCGGAGAACCTTGAGCATGATGGGCTTGAACAAGCTAAACAGGAGCTTGTGGTTCGACTGCTTCAGCTTGATGCTCATGTGCTTAATGTCCACATCGACCTTGTCAATCTTGAAGAAGTTCTGGCTATCCTTCTTGTCGGCAGAGGACAGCTTCAGCTTGAAGGAGAAACCATCGCCAGCCAAAAGGATGTCGGCAACACCAGTATCGGCAATGGATGGGAAGCCTTGTTTGCGCTTGACGTGGTAGCTGACATCACGCAGGTCAAGCTGCACCCCAGCAAACTTGACTTCGAAAGACTGCTTGTGCTTGTTGGCAGTGTTCTTGCGTCCCCAAAGGAAGTAGTTCTCGCTGTTAACCTCAAGGACGTTGGGCATGAAGTTGTCCGACTCAAGAACAAGATTCTCAATGACGGCATCGAACTGAGGGTCGGAATACTCGATGCGAGGGACGGGAACGTAAGCCACGTTCTCAAAGATGGAAGGGAGGATAACCTCCGAGAGATCCTTGATAAGGTGGGGCTTAAAGGTAGGCTTGCCATTCTCGTCATTGCCGAGGTCGGTGAACAACTTTTGAACAGCCTGACCAAAGCGCTTGTTCTGAGGATCCTGGTCAAACTGATCGATCAAGAACTTGATCTCATCGAAAACTCGGTCGGTGTGAGTACGGTACTTGTTGCGGAGCAAGTAACGACCATGGTCATAGAGGTTGTTCCACTCCTGGTTGGAATCCTCATCCAGGATGTATCCCTGCTCGAGAAGGCAGCGGCGGACGTATCGGTCCATAGCCTTGAACCAGTCCTTGAGCTCACGATCGTTGTCGGCATCACGGTAGATCTGTTGAATGGACTCGAAGAGATCCTCAGTAGAAGTTCCGTTGGCAAATCGCTCGATGAGAGTCTTAAGGTCAGACTCAGCCTGAGCGAGGCCGGCGCGGGTGTCTTTCACAGTGCCAGTTCCGCCCTGAGCGATGGAACGCGAGTGGCCAGCATACTCCTCGGCGAGGTTAAGAAGAGTCTCGATGGCCTGAGCATAATCGGGATGTTGCTGGCACTCGAGTACCATCTTCTTCAGGCGCCAAATGGTCTGCTCTTTGCGTTCCTGAGGCATCTTCTTGTTGAAATATTCCTTAGCACGGCGACGGTATTCTTCCTTGCGCTGGCGAGCCTGCTCCTTCGTCTCATCGTCGACGTTCTCATTGTACTTCTTCTGAGCGACGTTGAGAGCTGCGTTAAGGCCACCCTGTGCGTTTACACCGGAGCTAGTTCCCTCCTGCTGGTCACGCGCGGCGGTCGCGGCCAGGTCCTGAGGGCTCTGCGTACCGTTGGGGTGAGCCGCCTGAGTGCCGGCATTGGCAACTTCCCGAGCATCATCAGCAAGAGAACCCTTGTAGACACCCTGAGCCTGCTTCTTGAAGTTCTCCTTGGAGAAGTCGGGTGCTTCATGCCAGGTGTTGTCCTCGGCAGGGCGATCAATTTCCTGAAGAGCATCACCCGAGGGGCGGACACGGTCGGCGGCGCTGGTAGCGGCATCGCCGGCCATGTCACGGAGAAGAACGGTAGCATCCTTGACTGTTATCATATTAGTTCGGATTGAGCTAAGGATTGCATGAGCCAATTGACGTACGAAGCTTGCGGAATTGACCGTTGGTAATGATGAGGGTTCCGAGAGTCCGGAGGCCCTCTAGTGCTTTGTCACCATGCTGCTGGGCGACCTCCTTGTTGATAGGGGCGCCGGGGACTTGTACAGCCTTAGGGTCGAATTGCTCAGTTTGCCAGATGAAGTCCTGGAGCAGGTTGCCCTGGTTCTTGGACAACAGAAGGTTCTTTGCTTGAATGATAACGTCGCGGGCGTCGGCGACGAGCGCTTTGCCCTCGGGGGAAAGCTTCTCGGGAGGATTAGACAGGGCCTTGGAGGCCAGGAAGCTATTCAAGGCGACATCGATTTGGTCGTTCTGCAGCATGGACCTCGTTAGTATTATCATGCGATGGTGTGGGAGGTGGCGGCGCAAGGATGACCCCTAAACACCGACGGAGGGCCGCGTGGACCCGAGGCGCCATGCCGCTATAGACTTACCGATGGAACCTTGCCAGCTTGGAAAGCGGACACGATGCCGTAGAGTTGAAGCTTGCGGTTGACATCGGCCTCCTTCTGCTTCAAGTCGGTCGGCTTGTTGACCTTTGCGGACATGATGAGGTTTGAAGCTATCGCAATTGTATTGTTTCGTGAATTCTGTTGGACGGCGGTCGAAATAATAGGGAATTACGGGGTTTTCGTTGTACAGGACAAAAAGGGAAAGCTTGTTGGTATTTTGATGGGGGTATCACAGAGGAATTGGGTATAATGAGAATCGCCAAGATGAGGTTCCTGTAGAAAGAGGAAAACAGGAAAAGGTATCGTATCGATGAGGGAAGAGAAGAAGCAGAAAAGAAAGGTCAAACGAGGGGGGGACGGTCGAACGCGAGGTGGTGTTTATACCTTCTTTCTGTCGTGTGCGTGTGTCCAAGCGCAAGAAGGGCAAAATGACATCTGCGTCAGAATGAGATTTGCTCTTAGCAATTGATTGGAAGGGAGAGGAGGGGAGAGATGGTAGTGGAGGGAGGGAGGGAGGCAAGCAACGGCAGGCGCGCGTGGCAGGCGTTCGTCTCGCAGCAGGAAAGAACCCGGTACAATTAGAAAATTCAAATTGGCATAGGCAGGCAGGCAGGCGCACCGGAGCTTGGCCCTCTACGCGTAGCTCCTTCCTTCCCTTCTGTTGCCGGTTATTTTTCCTTGGTCTTGGTCGTCGCCGTGGGACTCGGGTGCGGTGACGTTAAAGGAAAGGGGCAGGAACTTGATGCACTACGTCATTAGCCGGTTTGGCAGGTAGTGAGTGTACCTATGTATGTACCTACCTTGCGTGGGTGGTCCAGACCGTACGTACCGCGTACTTACCGGCACTGGCAGTCACTCCAGATTCCACATACACGTAATGCATCTCACCTATCTACCTACCTACCTGCCTACCTATCTCACCTGGTCGGTACGGGGCACTTTCGCATAAACCCTTGATGAAGAAAGGTGCCGGGGCCGCTTGCTTCAACAGCCTAGCCCCTGGCTCTGCTTCGATTCGCAGGGGGCGAGACGGAGAGTTCCAGCTGGCAGTGCACTGGCATTTTCTTAGCACCTCGTCAAGGTCGGCTTTTCCGCCCTAGTGGCTAGTAGCCTGGAAACTTTAGCACCCACTTCCCTAGCGGTCCCACCTTGGACGCTTTGGCACTGGCGCCTTTCCTCGCGGCGCACAACAACCATCTTGCAGCATGCACACACAACAGTCCCAGCATCGACTCACTGAGCACGGGAAGACAGACGGCTGGCTGGCTAGCTGTCTTGTGTCATATGTGGTACAAGGGCCGAATACACGAGCCTAGACTGCTCTTACCAAGTCGTACCACCAAGGCTGGCGGTCCTCGTTGTGGAAATACACGTATGGGCCGATGGCATGCGCTCGTGCGATTGCTTCTCAGACAATGGCTTCCCAGCCTCCCGGACAGTCTAGTCGCACCACGGATAGCACATCAGATAGCATGGTCTACACGAGGAGTTGTCAGGTTTCCCAACGGCGAACGGCTTCGTCCAGTTGGCTATACCTACTTCAATTGGTGCATGGGTAACATGCTGCCCCCTAGGGATGCTGCCATTGCATTGGCGAGGACGGGACTTGTATGAACATGGCAGATCTCGGAGCTAGCTCTCCGACTCAAATCAATCTCCACCGCGGACTGATTCCTGGCTGGAAAGCCTACCTTGATAGGACGAATTGTCAATTGCCTACGCTGCCTTGTTCAATTGGATTGTACACTACGAATAACGTGTCTGGTCACGTCGATGATGTGCGCGTGGATGTGGCGGAATGGACGCAGCGAGTTGGTGCGCGTGTCCGTCGGCCGCCCTGTCCATCTCCATCTCGGTGCCGTTGATGCTTTTGTCTCGGACAGCGTGACTGCGCATTGGATCGAGACAGGTCATTGGCAAGAAACGACGACTACAAAGCTACAAAGACGGTGTCCCGTTGTTTCAGTACCATGCATCGCAAGTCTGAAAAAAAGTAGGTAGCGTACCTCAACGGGGAGTTTTCCTACCATGTCGTCATGTCAACGTTGGCGCCGACTGGGCAAATACGCGACAAGTATCTCGCTAACTGAGGCCCAGTCCTCCCTTCCCAGTCCCTTCCTCCAGGGTACGGATACGCGGAAAGAGACCCACCTCGGTTCCGGGGTTCTCCCGCATCCTCCCTGCTGCGGCTTCCCTCTAAATGGGAAAACAACAACAGAAGGGAAAGTACGACAGAGAGACAGACATTACTGACCTTAAACTTCTCTCGGTGGGTTGGAAATTTCCCCTCCGCCCCGTCTCAACGCCCCAACATTGTCCGTCTTTTCAACCAGCTACATCCGGCTGTACTTGCTGATAGAGATCCCACGGTCGATTCAGTCAATCCTAGTCGAGAGAGGCTCAGATGTAGATGTAGTGTACTTACCATACCCGTGAACACCCTCACCCTCAATCGACCGGACCAGTCCGCCATCGCGTCGAACAATTAATTCCCCACTGGTCCCGGGTGGGGGGTGTCATCACGGCATTCGGAAGAAACTGATGCAAGGACTTAGCAAGCGCCGCATCCAAGCCAGCCGCCGGCCCCCCATTGCTGCCGCATTCTGCATTAGCAATCATTGGCACGTTGGTAGCGACATCATAGCCGTGTAGACCACTCGGGACAAACCCTTTCTGTCACTTTCACGCTGTCAATTGCTCCCAATGCGTCACAAGGTGACTGCCGCTACGCGATTGACACGTAATCATCCAGTCTAGCTGCTGTTGTTGATGTCAGTGAGTCCTCCCTAAATGCTTCGTTGGGTGTGGTCGGCTACTGCCCGTCAGGCCTTTTCATCTAGGTACACTAGATTTGGGATTTGCTCGCCCCTCTCGCCCCGAACTTTCTTCCTACTAGTCGCCACCTTGATACATATGATACATACGATACATATACACATGCTCGCCTCGGTTTGTTGCGCGCTGGTCGTTATACATGACTTGGTATACATCGTGTACTAGATCTGCGATCGCCAGCGGAACACACCATTAGTTCCATATACCTACCACCCACGTGCGATACATGACGTCAGGCGCCGGTCATCAATGCGATGCACCACCCCCTACGGAAATGTCAGCTTCCAGCCTGTGACGCCATTCATTCTCTCCTCGTTACCGCAAGCCACTGCATCACCAATCCATCAGCTCATTACAACAATCCTGCAATCTCCCTTGCGACACGCCGATGCCTCTTTGCTTGACAACTCTGTTTGCTTTTCCCGCCTCCCATGATTTCAATGTTCAGACGTACACTAGACAAGCAGATTGACCCGCGCAGACAATACCATCTGATGCATCTCGCATGCCCCGTCCCCCCGTCATCCCTCCCTTTCATCCCATCCCTTGGCAAGTGTCTGTCTCCATCGAACTTGTTTAAGCACTGGAGGGAAGGACTAGCCATCCATGAACGCCACAATGCTTTTTTGCCAAGGATTGATTGTTCACCTATTTCGATGGAGGGCCATTCCCGGAGCGAATTCTCCTCGCTGCCGTTACCCGGATCTGTCCCGACAGTTTAGATCTTTTATTACCCTTGCTGCAATAGTACAGCCGGGTAGGTCCTCTTCAGCCGCAGCCATCGTTAGTTTACTGGAACCCCATCAGAACTGGGGTTGAAGGATTTTGGGATTCCAGACAATCTACTTTGTGCAATCCTGCCCGTACTGGTCCATCATAGCCAAGACGGCCTTGTCGAGCCAGACGCGTTCCGTTTCTCTACGCAGGGGCAGCCTCTCGCACACTTCCATCAGTGCCTTGAAAGCAGTCTCTATGCCTGACGTGCTCTCCATTACCGGCTCCAACACAATGGACGCCTCCCTGCCCGGCCAGGCGCGGGACAGAACTCTATCTAGAAGCTCCGCCCTGGGTGGCAGCGCGCATCCCATGTCAATCTGCATGGGGTCGATGACATATTCACACCCGAATCGCTGGAAGAACCGATCTAATGGTGCAAGGTCAGTCCGCAGCGGTATCGGCATGAGCGTTGCATTCTCCCAACCCATGATGGCGACCAACTTACCGTCCTCGCCAACAAGAACATTGTTGGGTCGCGGGTCTGGGTGAGATATCGTCACCGGCCAGCCGTTCATGCGGCCACCGTCGGTTGGCAGACGCCACTTGACGTCGGGCAGCATCTCAAGACGCTTCGCCATCCTACCCACAACAATGTCCAGGCTAGCGAGCCGTTTCTGCATGTATTCGTCGTTTACGTACTCGTCCCTCCAGACGGAGAGGTAGTCTTCGAGGTAACTTTGTACCGATGCGTATGGTCCGTGGACAGGCTTCCGCCACAACCTATCAGCGCTGTAAAAGTGAGGGGACACGATGGAGCCGGTGTAGAAGCTTTTCGTTTGCCAGTTGATCCGCAAGCTGCCGATCAGGCAGTTGTCCTTTGGCGTGCCGGAGGCCGTCACCTTGATCTTGGCCATGAAGTCACGGATGCCCTCGCCAATGTTCATAAGGTCTTTGTCGCTCTGCGGCGGCGTCTTCCAGGGGAAGCCGAAGCCCTCCAGCCCCGTGTCCGTGGACCCCTGGAGCTCATACTCCTGTAAGGGGAACCCAGACACGGGCTCCATCATCATCCACTCCAGGCCCAGTGGGTTCCGGGGGTACGAGTCGAACGCCAGCACCCTAGGGACCAGCCGGGGGGAAGACGATGACGGCGACGACGACGACGTCGCCGCCGCCGCCCATACCATTGTCGCGACCTCGGTCTCGAGCTTCTCGTGCGGGCACACGGGCAGGCTGAACTTGAGAACGACCTTTTGCGGCAGCCGGCCACAGGGTCGGGCGGCGGGCACGAACTCGACGAGGAAGAAGTAGTTCGTCCGCCCCCGTCCTATCAGCGACACGTACTCGACGGCGGGGAATTCGTAGACGCCGTAGGTATTGTACCAGGACAGCATGCGGTGAACATCAGCCTCGGTGGGGACGCAGCCGCTGGCCCAGTCGGCCGCGTACTCGCCGTTACGCAGCGGCGTCCAGCGGACGTACCGGTCGCGGGAGGCCCGGTAGGCTTCGGTCGAGAGCGGGGTCTGGTCGGGGATCGTGGCGACCGGGGACAGCGGGCTCGGCGGCGGGACGCGGTCGGGGAGGTCCAGGGGGATGCCCTTGATGGAGGCCAGGGCGGCGTCGAGGCACTGGGACAGGCGGGAGGCGAGGCGCTCCCGCGGGAGGGCCTTGAGGACTATGGTCTTGGCTTTCTTGCTGAGGCGTTGCTTTGCGGAGTCCATCGCAGAAGCGTTAGGCTGGGGGAATTGGCTCTGGGTCGAGGTTAGTACGGCGCTTCTGGGTATACTTGGATGGAGTCCTCGCTAGGAAGGGGTGTTGAGGTTCGATATGATTCTGGAAGTCTTGTACTATGTTTTGTTGTTATTGTTGTAGTGTATCTCATCTGGTTCAATCTTGTCCATATGTGCTGGTCCTGGCCTGGCGTCTTATACCCGGGAAGTGAAGTGGCAAAATCTATCATTAAAGTTGACTTGGGCAAGCGGAATCTTTTTCAACCTTTACCATAGAAACAATCAAATTGTTCCATGCCGTTGTGCACAACACAATGTCACTATTTGAGGTGACCCTTGCCGTGCGTGTGTGCAGGATAAAGACATTTGCCCGGTTTTCGAAAGCAGCTACCAGTCTCTCGAAGCCCAAAGATGACGGGGGCTGAACTTGCCGTTGTAAAGAACGAGCAATGATAGAAGCAGCACAAAGAACGGAAGAAGGACGCCCCTGGTCAACAAGGAATTAACAGGATCGAATGCGATAGGCCAGTGAGGTTTTTTGTTTCTAATCTGATTGTTTTCTGCTCTTGTTCTAACCCTCTTCAGTTGGGCTTAGCCTTGAGATTCTCGAAATCAAGACACGGTCTGCTGTTTTACGAATGGCAAAAGAGATAACGAGGAAACATTGCTTGTATCATTCGCCATCTTACTGGTTCATACATGCCAACATTTCAATCCCGCGAAGATTGGCCAAGATCGTTAGACCAATACCTCGTCGTAGCCGTATTCATAATGATAACTACATAGGTGGTCTGTAGCGGCAGCGGGTGTACTTGTAAGCGGGGCTTTTGTCGAGTGCATTTGGCGTATTACCATGCAGGTTCTAAACATCTGATCGGTGACTTTTACGGCCGCCCGAGTGAATTTTTGCGCTCTTCATCCACATGTATGCAATGCGGGGTCGCCGCGCTCTTTCATTACTTCCTACAGCGATACAAGCAGCATGATCTCGGCTGGGCCAGATGCCTTCCATCTATACAAGACGCCTACCGAGCCGATGGATACGGATACTCGCCCTGCAGGGCGGCTGCGGGGACAGTCCCATCCATGTTCGTCTCCGAGAGGCGAATGTTGACAGTCTGCCGTCGTTCGCGGCGCTCTCGTACGTATGGGGCGATCCATCCCAGCAGCAGCAGATCCGGGTCTCCGGCCACGAGGTGTTCGTCACGAAGAACCTCTTCGACGCTCTCCGGCACTTCCGGCTTCCCGACCAGGAGTTGATGCTCTGGGCGGACGCCTTGTGCATCAACCAAGGCGACTTGGAGGAACGCGCGGACCAAGTGCAGCTGATGCGGGAGATCTACTCCCGAGCCGCCACCGTCCTGGTCTGGCTGGGCCTCGACGGCGACGAGGGGCAGGCCGCGCGGGCGATACCCTTGATGGAATCCATACACCAGGCCTGCGAGGACCGCGCGCGCGCCCGAGGCGTCGCGCTGCTGGCCATGGCCCACTTCACCCCGGCCACGGAGAGGCTGGAAGGCCTTGCGGGCGTTTCGATCCCGGATATCGCCGCCGTCGCGGAGCGTGCAGGGCGTCCGGGCCCCGACCCCGAAGGCTGGGCGGCGATCCGATGGGTCTTGTCGCGGCCGTGGTTCACGCGGGTGTGGTGCGTGCAGGAAATCGTGCTGGCTCGCGCGTCCAAGGTCTGCATCGGCTCCCACTCCTTTGACTGGGTCAAGCTGGGCGTCACTGCGTCCTGGCTCAGCGAGCAGAGCATTGCCAGCGACTACGACGTGCCGCCCGAGCTGGAGGGGATGAACTGGGACGCCGCGTACAGCATGTTCGACACCAGCGACCTGTCCGAATCCAGCCTTCTGGAGGTCCTCGTCGCGTTCCGCGACCTCGTGGCTACGGATCCGCGGGACAAGGTCTACGGCTTACTAGGACTCGTCAGCCACGAGGCGCTCGCGCGTTTCCCGGGCGTGGATTACAGGAAGAGCGTTGCCGAGGTGTACGGCGACGTCGTCAGGGCTTCCGTCGATAGCAGCGGGACTTTGGCGCCTTTGTCCTACGCGAAACACGGGCATGAGTACGTGCGCACCGAGATCCCTTCTTGGGTGCCGCGGTGGGATGCCAGCGAGGACGTCTGCAGCATACTCCATGACTTCTCGGTGACTGCGTGGGAAAACGGGGACAAGCACGGTCTGCCCGGCCTGGCCGACTTTGAGCCCACTGCAGACGGCAGGGTCGCGCTGTCCGGGGTCCGGTTCGATAGCATTGCATGGGTGACGGAAATGCTCGATATCGTACACTTCAAGGAAGATATCCCCTCCCCAGAAGCTGCAAAACACCCTTTCCTCGATATCTGGCACCGCGCGTCCTCCAACAATTGCTATGTGCTATCTGCGTCCGCGGATCACCCTTATAACGGTATTTCCGAGATGGGCCTGACGCTGACCGCAGGTTTCACGGACGTGTACGAGCTCGTGGGCGACCTCGGGCGCGAAGACTTGACTCGGTTCCGCGCCGATTTCCTCACATACATCCGGCAGCTATTCGACAAAGCCGGGAAAAAGCCGGAAACGTTTAATCCCCTCGACATAAGACTTAGCAACGGCGACGCCACCCGGTTCCGGATTGCCGCATCGCGGTCTTGTGACCAACGGCGCGTCTTCGAAACGACGGCGGGGTTCTACGGCCTGGCCCCGGCATGTGCGCGAGAGGGAGATGTGGTTGTTCTTCTCTACGGGGGGCCGGTGCCGTTCGTCCTGAGGCAGGTCGCCGAAGGCTGGGTCCTGTTGGGTGATGGCTTCGTGGGCCCTCTGATGCCGGAGATGGCGGTCGGAAGTGTTCGAGAGCGGTTCAGCCATGAGGAGGTGTTTGTGCTGGTTTAAGGCGGGCAGAATAAAACCAGCTCGCTAGCAAACCGTATCTACATGCTGGGGTATGTCTCATGTCCCTTGGATTCCCCAAAGTCTCCTGTCACAACTCCAATTTCTCCTGCGGAACTGCAAAGAGACCAGATTTCTGGGGTTTGCAATCGCCAAACTTTGGAAGCTCTCCCACCGGATCCGAGCTCCTTTTAGATGACTCCGCGCCCTGCAGGTAAAGCATGTCCAACTCCTCCCTGAGCTGGTCGTGACTCACCCTCGCCTCGAGCCAGTGCTGGTTCGTGACGTTCTCGTCATCGACCCAGATGTTACAACCATGGCAGCCATTCTCTCCGTTTAGGATAACGGTGTTATAACCATAGGCATTTCCGTAAGAAAAGCGGCCGCCGAGGCCACTGATGGCGTAGAGCATGGTTACTGGATCAAAAGACCACCGGGGTTGATAGTAGGAGTACAAAATATACGCAGCGCGCACCGGGTCTGTCTTGGGTCCATCGGCCATGAGGGGTCCGCCTGAGAGAACCGAAGCTCCAAGATTGAAACCGACGTAGACGATGGGGCCCTTCCAGTTATGGATTACGTGGGCGGTGGTATACGGGCTGTCGCCCCAGAAGTTGAATTCGTGGCCTTCTGGATAGTCTCCACCCATGACGACTAGCTCCATCACCTTTCTATTTACCAGCTCGGTGCCGGTATAGTTGGAATAAGAATCGGCGGTTGAGTTGAGGAGCCCGGAGAGGTTATGCAGAAACCCGATAGACGCGATAGTTACAGAGGAATCCTCGGCTTCGGCAAGCAGCTTGCGGTACAGCTCGACAGGGTCCCAAGCATCCTCGGCGTCTGACATGTTCTTCGGCCAGTGAGTTGCGAGTTTGCTAGCGAACTCGCCCAGGCGTTTGGTCCAGTTGTCGAAGAAAGGTACATGGTTTAATGGGCGGCGAGCACCGACGGGCACCTGGCCATGGTCGTAATGGCTGAGGATGGCAGAGGCGGCCAGCACCGAAAAGGAGGACTGCGAGTTGATGTTTACTCCTAAGAGGTTGACGTCTGAAGATGTTGCCGCAAGAAGAAGCGCACCGGCATCACTGCAGAATATCAGTATAGTTCAACTTCGTATATATAGTCATGATATATATATATGTATGGAGCATGATATTGGGATTCTCTTACTCGCAGTCGCTGAACAAGTCCGTGTCAATGATGAGGTTTTTGCGGGCCAAGACATTGTGAATGAGGCAGGCAATTAGCACGAGACATTTCACCAAGTGCGAAATAGTGGGGAAAAGTGTGACCGACCGTGCTGAGGTCTGCATACTTGTGTGCGGCATGCTGAATGTTGCAAATATGGAAAGCAACCAGTCGTGAGCAAGGCACGCGGGGAAGCAGGAGGCCAGCTGGCAGCACCTGGGCGCTGCGGTCCCAGCTGGCGCGGTACACGACGTGCGTGATAGAACCAGTTCATAGTCCCGAGTGTTTTAGCGGGCTCCAAGTGGGCTCTAGGGACCGCGGCCCCACTGATGGCCGTTGTGGACATGAACCGGCACCTCTGCAAAACACATGGCCCTCCCTGTTAAAACATCACACCACACCACATACACAACACATCACTTCAACATTTTGATGACGCAGGCGAGATGCTACCTACTCACTCTTGGCCCATGAAAACAGCCAACAGGCTTCCTCAAATCGGACGAGTCAAAGCACGCCTTTCAATGTTACCTGCAGAAACCCCCACACAACAGGCCGCTAGGACTCCCCCTCCATCAGCAATGCTTCTTCCATTATTAGAGTACAGATCGGCAGGCGTATCTGCCGCCGTCTGGCTACCAAGGCCAATCATAGCCGCAGCTCTCATCCACTGGACGAATTGCGCCATTCAAGCCAGTTGCGACGCAGGACGTTGAACCATCCAAGAAGTTCCTGGACGCTTGTTTCACTTGCCGAATCTGCAGAAGTGTGGCAAGCGCACCTTGTATTATATTATGGCACTGATCCCCTGTGAAGCTCCATGCTTCGACTCTTGAGAATCAGGCCCCTCCACCCCCAACGAGCGACGACAAGCTTGATTAGGATAATCGATTGGTTTCGTGTCGTAATTCGGGCTCCGCCTACCAACGAGGAAACTTGGCCAACATGGGTACCGACCCAGATCCCGCGAAGAACTTCGAGGCGGCGCGAAAGGATGGCTCGCCTTCGGGCGCGACGCGTGATGGCAGTCTCGACATCCACGTCATCAATGATGCAGCCATCATTCCCAAGGGCGCCTTGGATCCCGTTTACGAGTCCAAGGCTCGGGTGCTCAACCGCGCTGTAGGCGAAGCTTCCACAAGCTGATCCAGGCACGGATACTAGACGATTGATTGCTGACCTTGGGTTCCAGATACAAGAAATCGGTATGGGACGATACCAGTGGCAGCTTTTTATCGTCGTCGGTTTCGGTTGGGCAAGCGACAACCTATGGCCTATCGTGACGTCGTTGATCTTTACCCCAATCACCAACGAGTTCGGCCCTTCACGACCTCCTCTTCTCACGCTCGCACAAAACATCGGCCTTCTGGCAGGCGCCATGTTCTGGGGCTTCGGCTGCGACCTCTTCGGTCGCAAATGGGCCTTCAACCTCACATTGGGTCTGACCGCGTTCTGGGGATTGGTCGCGGCTGGTGCTCCCACTTTTGCTGGAATCGGCGTCTTTGCGGCCTTGTGGTCATTTGGTGTTGGAGGCAACCTCCCTGTCGACTCGGCCATCTTCCTCGAATTTCTTCCGGGAACTCACCAGTACTTGCTGACGGTTCTCTCCATTGACTGGGCTATAGCCCAAGTCATCGCAACTCTGATCGCGTGGCCACTACTTGGTAACCTTACATGCCAAGAAGGCGCGACTTGCACCAAGGCCAACAATATGGGATGGCGGTACTTCATGATCACGGTTGGTGGATTGACTATGCTTATGTTCCTTGTCCGTTTCCTGGTCTTCACCATTTACGAGTCGCCAAAATACCTTATGGGCAAGGGACGTGACGAAGAGGCCGTCCGAATTGTCCACGAAGTCGCTAGGCGAAACGGCAAGACTACGTCTCTCTCAATCGAAGATCTCAAGGCGTGCGAGCCTGAGGGTTATGTTGCGCGGAACGATGTTGCAACAACCGTCAAGAGGAATCTGGAGAAGGTCAACCTCAATCGCATACGCATTCTGTTTTCGACGCGCCGTCTGGCCTTAAGCACCGGCACGATCATGGCTATCTGGGCACTCATTGGTCTCGGCTACCCTCTCTATAACGCGTACATACCATACATCCAGGCAACACGAGGCGCCGAGCTCGGCGACGGCAGCACTTACCTGACCTATCGCAACAGTCTGATTATCGCTGTCCTGGGCGTCCCCGGAGCGTTGCTCGGAGGTTGGCTAGTCGAATTGCCGGCACTGGGAAGAAAGGGCACTCTTGCCATCAGCACCGTTCTGACGGGAGTCTTCCTCTACTGTTCGACGACCGCGATGACCAGCAAAGCGCTTCTTGGATGGAATTGTGCCTTCAATTTTTGCAGTAACGTCATGTACGCAGTCCTTTACGGCTTCACCCCCGAGTTGTTCCCAACGCCGCAGCGCGGGACTGGCAACGCGCTCACCGCGACAAGCAATCGCATCTTCGGTATCATGGCGGTAAGTGGCACTGCCATCAGGTTTCTCGCTGAGTGGGTACTGAACAACTCTTTGAACAGCCTATAGTCGCCATGTTCGCCAACCTCAAGACGTCGGCGCCAGTCTATACCAGTGGCGCTCTGTTCATCGCCGCTGGGCTCTTGGTACTGATACTACCCTTCGAGTCGAGGGGGAAAGCAGCTTTGTGAGACTGTCGATTGATTTCCTCTCAACTGCGTCATATCATGTCAATCTTGTTCGTTCATAATACCCAATACTGAGCTGCGCCGAACACAAGAGTCACAGCGATTGGACTATGTCTCTAGAATTCGTCCCCCACCTCTTTGGAATTCCCATCATGATTAACGTCGAATTGATACCGCTCCGGACCTCGGCCAATGCCATTGGTGTCGAATGAAAGCGCGTTCTTGCTGATCAATACAGTTCGGTCCTTGGCGAGCGCAGTCAGGGAGCCCAAGTTCCGACCATCGGCAATTGCAATATGTCGTTATGGTTCTCAAAGTCTTGGCGACGTAGCTTCTTATCTGCATCCACAGTGCCCTCTCCCCGCTTTCCCCCTCATTAGATACCCCGAGCTGCCTCTTGTAGTTTCGTTGCCAATGTTGACGCCGGCTCGGATGGAATGGGGCCTTTGGTTGACAATGCAAGAACCCTTGCTTCCGCTCGTTATCGGTCTGCCCTGTGCGATATTGTTAGCATTGCCAATTTTTAAGGTCGTGAATGAGATCAGCCAAGTCTGGTCGTTCCAAGAAGAGCCTTCGGCCATGCCTTGGCGAGCCATTTTATCATACCTGGAGATTGCGATGCCACGGCGGGGAAAGAATATAAAAAGTCCAAATAAACGCCGACATCATCTTTTTTGTGAAGGTGGTCGCAGGATTCAACCGAGGCTCTTTTATGGTCTTCAAAGCTTTCTCGACGACCAGCACTATGGTGACCACATCTCGTCTGGGCCTGCTCGGTCTGTGTCTCCTGGCGTCTGCTCAGGCAGCCAAGTACGGTTACAACAATGTCCAAGTTCGCAAGGATAGCGAAATCGTGGCCGCGAACTTCAAGGATGTTGAGGATGTCGAGTTGCTTTCACCTGCGTTCTTGACTCCAGAAACGATTCCCGAGGGCTTTTTAGACGGCACCAAGGGCCCGACGGACGATGATCTCCTCGGTAAGCACAATCTGTCTCCGGGCAATAAAATAGACTACTAACGGGAGACAGACACCTTTGTTCAGGGTCTGGCCGACAAGAACGAGTGGATGACCTACAACAAGGCCAATTTCACCTCCGAGGAGGGCCGTCCGTTCCCCTACCTCTATCTCTCTTCCACTAAGTTGTCCCGCAGGGCCTCCAGCTCGACTAGCAAGGTCCGCGTCTGGATTCAAGGTGCCGTGCATGGCAACGAGCCCGCTGGCGACCAGTCCCTGCTTGCCCTGCTCGGCGCCCTGGATGCGAACCAGACATGGGCTGCCTCCCTCTTTGAGAAGCTCGACATCGTTATTCTGCCGCGCTACAACCCCGACGGCGTGTTTTACTTCCAGCGCACGTTGGCCACCAACTACGACCCGAACCGCGACCACGTGAAACTCGCCCGGAAGCAAACCCGGGACATCAAGACTCTGTTCGGCAAGTTCAACCCCCACGTCGCCGTCGACATGCACGAGTACAGCGCGCCTACCCGCTTTGGAGACTACCGCCACGCTGCTGACGGCCTCTTCTCCGCCGCCAAGAACCTCAACATCCACCCGGACATCCGCGCGCTGTCCGAAGAACTCTTCGCCAAGAACATTGGCTCGGCCATGGAGTCCCGGGGCTTGCGCTGGGAACCCTACGTGACGGGAGGCTCAAGCGCTGACCCAGCCTTCAAGCCTACCTTCGCTGAAGCCGGCTCCGATGCCAAGATCGGCCGAAACGCCATGGGTCTCACGCAGTGCGTGACCTTCCTCATCGAGATGCGCGGCATCTATCTCGCCGACCAGGAGTTCCAGCGCCGCACCGTCGCCGGCCTGACGATGGCCACGAGCGTTCTGCAGACTGCGGCCGACAACGCCGAGAAGGTGTACACAACCGTTGAGTCCTCCATCGCCGACTTCAAGTCCTCGGACTCGGAGATTATCGTCACAGACTCCTCGGCCGTGATCCAGCGCACCTTCACCATGGTCAACGCCAACAACGGCTCCATCACGCAGGTGCCGATAAACTTCCTCTCCACGACGCCCGTCAAGGCGAACATGACCCGCGCTCGCCCGGCGGCGTACCTCATCCCCGCCGCTTGGGCTGACCTGGTCGAGCGTCTGAGAGTCTCCGGCCTGGAGGCGCAGACGCTTATCGAGCCGTACAAGGGCACCGTTGAGGCCTACAGTATCGAATCCGCCGTCTTGGAGACGGGCTACTACGAGGGCGTCGTCCGCGCCGACGTCACGACCTCGACGCTCACCAAGGAGGTGAACCTGCCAGCCGGCAGCTTCCTCGTCAGCACGAAGCAGAAGAACGCTGCGCTTGCGTTCGTAGCGCTGGAGCCGGAGAATATCGACTCGTATGCCAGCTTCAACATTGTGCCCGTAAAGGAGGGCGACGAGTACCCGATCTATAGAGTCTTGACTTGAAACGATAGTAATAAATTAGATTAAGACACTTAGATAAAAATACATGAAGAAATCACCAAGTGGCATGCATGAGAAGTAATAGTACATTTTCACGGGGGGAGCCAAAGTGGAAAAAGTCCTTCACGCACCCACGCGATGACGCCACTCGATCCCTTCGACGTCCTCTCTCCCGGTCATGAAGCGGATGGAGTTTTTGAGGAAGACAGCGAGCGCGTTCATCTCGTCGTCGTCGCGCGGGCCGTAGATCATGAGGTACGTGTCCGCGACGCTATAGAGGCTTGCGAACAGTGTGCCCCGCGGCCGGGCGAGGCGGTGGCGCTCGGCCCAGCCCTTGGCAATAGCGTGCTTGGCGTCGGCGGGTGAGAGGTAAATGTGGATGGAAAGGTCGCCGTGGTGGTGGCCCATCTCGCCGCGGGAGGTCCGCGCCGTGGCGGGCGGGGTGGGCGAGGCGAGGACCGCAGGGCACACGAAGAGGGCCGGGTTGTTGCGCTCGTAAAGGGAGGTTTTGGACTCCACGAGTGCCGGGTTCTGGGCGACGGCGTTGGCGAAGAGGTTGTCAATGTACTACGGATGAGTTTATGTCAGCTCATTGGAGGGCTCCAGTGAAAGAGGTCACCGGGGGAGGGGGAAAGGGAGGGGACGGGAGCGGACCTCTCTCATCCGTTCCGGAGCGTGCTGGGTCAGCTGCCGGTGAGGCACGATGCCCCCCAGCTCGGCCCTGTCGCCCTTCCTCGACGGCAGCGACTCGACCTCGTCGTGGGCCCCCTCGTTGGGGTAGTCGCCGGTCCAGGTCACATAAGCCTTAGAGAGGGCGAAGGGCCGGATGACGAGGGTGACGGCGAGCCAGCCGGCGAAGTTGTGGGGCACGCCGCCGGGGCCGAGGGCGATGTAGGCGCGGTAGTCTCGGACGGCCCAGACGAGCACGGTGGTGGACAAGGACGCGAGAACCGTCGCGAGGACGGGGCGGTGCGAGAGGGGGCCCAGGGTGGTGTGCAGCAGGTGTGCCATTTGGGGCGGTGTTGCTTTTCGGGAGGGTTTCTGGAGCGGGAATGTTGAGCTGGTGGTATTCGGGGGGACTGACTGTCAGTATGAGTATGAGGAATGAGGATGAGATCAGAGACGAGTTTGAGGCATGAGTTGGGAAACTTTATGAGGTTAATATCAGATGATAATAAGGTTAGAGGAGGATGTTTGATACGTACCTACAGCACGCACATTACATACACCTGACAATGGTTGGGGAAGAGCGTGCGGCGTCCGAGAACGTGGGATTAGTCAAACGATTCCAAGCGGCGCTTGCCGTCGCGTGGTGTGATGTCTGCGGCGGAGGCGGCTAGCGAGGGCCGTCATACCGGGGGGGCGAGCAGGTCGGGCGCCCGACACAGCAGGGCTAGACACACGATGGCTATGTATCGCGGCTAGCGGGCGATCCATGAATTCATCTTGTGTGTGAGATCGTGGTTAAGCAATTTCGCCCATCACTTTTCTCAAACGCTACCGTTAACGAGTAGAAAGTTGCTGACGCTGGCGGCACGACCCTCTCACACTATGGAGACAACTCCTCAGCCTCTCTGGCGGTCTTGCTGCTGGCATCGCTCTCGGTTCCATTTTTGTTATCGCTCTTCGTGGCTTCACACCTCTTCCTGTGGCGCCGAAGGAACGCCAAGAAGAACGCCACCGCTGAGCCTATGGAGAAGCGCAGAGAAAACAGTTAGCGAGACCTCCTTTGTCAAGAGCCGTCCTCAGGACCGGAAGTCTTCCGGTCTTGGTCGGAGCACATAGAAGGATGCATGAGTTTGTTGAAGAATATCATGGATATAGAATATGGCAATTGGAAAAGAACGTAGCAGATTCTAACGCCTCAGCCAAGTGACGAAGCATGCATATACGTTCTGTTGATCGTACCTGCTCTGTTATTATTACATGCATAGGGGCCTCCATTTCCTCTGATGCAATAAAGCTGTACTTTGATACACCCCTGTTTAGCGATCTGGTGTAAACACCCCACCCGGCCCGCTTTGGTGCATTTACCTCTAGGCAGCATCCCCAAGGCAACGAATCCACTGTTGAACTCCAACGGCCTCGGGTCAGTCAAACGCAATGGGTATAAGTCATGGTTGCGCCCAACGCAACAAAGATCACTCCCAGTCTCAGCACATCTATCTAAAGCGGTCTCTCTTGCATTCACGGCCATCCCGGATAAATTTGACTTTTTGAATACCGTCGAACCGCTTCCTATAAAGCAGAACCCGCAGGTTCGACTGCCCATCATGAGCCAACGCAGGCGAAATCGATCGCCCGACGCAATGGCCTTGGACGAGGAAGAAAAGCAGTATGCGACCGGCGGCATGACGCTAGAGGAACTGGATGAGAAGTGAGTGGTTTTGCTGTTATGCCGACGACGGACGTTTACACCTGGCCAGGTACCCCAACCGGCCGCGCAATCATTCGCAGACAATGCGCTTTTCGGAGCTATTCAAAAGTCTCTTCAATCCGCTCAATGAAAACAAGAAGCAGCCAGCCGGCCGTGGTCCTCCTCGCGCCAAGAAGGGACCACACGGCCCCACCAAGTTATCGCCGCAGGAGCAACGCCGACACATCATCGAGCGCTTCATCTCCAGATGGCGGAACGAGGTGGGAAACGACATTTATCCGGCCTTCCGGCTGATTATGCCTGACAAAGACCGAGATCGCGGCAACTACGGCCTGAAAGAGAACGCCATAGGAAAGCTTCTCGTCAAGCTCATGAAGATCGACAAGAATTCGGACGACGGATACAGCCTACTCCACTGGAAGCTACCCGGCAACACTGCTGCGTCGCGCTTGGCTGGCGACTTTGCTGGCCGGTGCTTCGAGGTCCTCTCCAAGCGACCGATGCGAACCGAGGTTGGCGACATGACAATCGCCGAGGTCAACGAATTGCTGGACAAATTGGCCGCCTCGACGGGAGAACTGGAGAATCTGGAGGTCTTTGAAGTCTTCTACGAGCGCATGAACGCGGAGGAGCTGATGTGGCTGATCCGCATCGTTCTGAAGCAGATGAAGGTCGGCGCGACCGAAAGAACCTTTCTCGGTCTCTGGCATCCGGACGGCGAGGCGCTATTCAGCGTCTCATCTAGCCTGCGGCGCGTCTGCTGGGAACTCTACGATCCTGAGGCCCGTCTAGAGCAGGAGGATACAGGTGTCTGTCTCATGCAGTGCTTCCAGCCGCAACTCGCACAGTTCCAGATGCCCTCTTCTTTCCAGAAGATGGTCGACTACCTCCGTCCAACGGAAGAGGACCCCGAATTTTGGATTGAAGAGAAATTGGACGGCGAGCGCATGCAGATGCACGTCACGCAAGACTCGAGTGTCCCGGGCGGGTGGCGCTTTTGTTTCTGGTCCCGCAAGGCGAAAGATTATACATACCTGTACGGCAATGGCCTCAGGGACGAGAAGGGGGCATTGACCCGCCACCTGGGAGACGCTTTCGCGACTGGGGTACGAAACCTCATCTTGGACGGAGAGATGATCACCTGGGACCCAGAGGTCGATAAGATTATGCCTTTCGGGACTCTCAAAACCGCCACACTGGCCGAGCAGAACAATCCATACAACAATTCCGGTCCGCGCCCACTCTACCGCGTCTTTGATATCCTGCTACTAAATGACAAGCCACTGACCCAGTACACGCTGCGAGATCGCCGCCTAGCTTTGTCCAAAGCAGTAAAGGGTGTACACAGGAGGCTGGAGATCCATGAGTACGAAGTCGCCACCTCGCCGGACGCCATCGAACCGCTCCTTCGCAAGGTTGTCGCCGAGGCATCGGAAGGCCTGGTCCTGAAAAACCCGAGATCCATGTACAGACTCAACAGCCGCAACGACGACTGGCTCAAGGTGAAACCCGAGTACATGTCCGAGTTCGGCGAGTCGCTGGATTGTGTCGTTATCGGCGGCTACTACGGCTCGGGTCGCAGAGGCGGCGCCCTTTCCAGCTTCTTGTGCGGCCTCCGGGTCAGCGAAAACCATATCCAGGCCGGAGCCAACCCAGAGAAGTGTTTCAGCTTCTTCAAAGTGGGCGGTGGTTTCTGCGCAAACGATTACGCCGAGATCCGCCACCGGACAGACGGCAAGTGGCTGCAGTGGGACACAAGAAAGCCGCCGGTGGAATACATCGAGCTCGCCGGCGGCGACCGGCAGTTTGAGAGGCCCGATGTCTGGATCCGACCGCGCGACTCAGTTGTCGTGGAGGCCAAGGCGGCGAGCATCGGCAGCTCGGACCAGTTCTCACTAGGCTTCACCCTGCGGTTTCCCCGTTTCCGCCGCTTGAGGACGGACAAGAACTGGGACGACGGGCTCAGCGTGCAGGAGTTCCTGGACCTCCGCAAGCGGGTCGAGGAGGAGGCCAAGGAGAAGACCATGAGCGTCGAGAACCGCAAGCGAAAGTCGGTGAAGCGCGTCAAGCGCGAGGTGACGATCGCAGGGACGGAGAACTTGCCGGTGCAGTTTGAGGGGCAGAAGTCGAAGCTCTTTGACGGCCTCGAGTTCTGCGTCTTGTCGGAGTCGCTCAAGCCGTTCAAGAAGACCAAGGCTCAGCTCGAGACGTTGATCGAGGAGCACGGGGGACGGATCTCGCAGCGCGCGGTGCCCCGGTCCAACATGATCCTGGTGGCCGACAAAAAGGTGGTCAAGGTGGCAAGCCTGCTCAAAGAAGGACAGAATAACGGCGGCGTCGACATCATCAAACCGAAGTGGATACAGGACTGTCTCGAGCAGGCCGATAAGTCCCTGTTGCTACCGTACGAGGAACAACACCTGTTACACGCAACGGAGGCGCTCAAGACGGTCGCTTTACAGAATACGGATATGTACGGCGACAGTTACGCCCGGGATATCAGCCTGGACGAGCTCCGGGCGATATTCAAGAGCATGCCCAAGCGAGAGCCAGACACAGAGCCCTTTGATAAAGGGCAGTTTGTGAACCAGCTGTTGGAGCGCGGCCATGACATGGGGCAGCTGAGAGGGTTCTTGTTCCACCGGTGCATCGTGTACCTACATGACGCCGACAGCGAAGGCGAAGGGGATGATACCAAGATGCTCAAGTTTAGAAACTATCTAACGTTTGGCGGTGCTCGGTTGGTGAGCGATGCGGACGACGAAGCTGCCACGCATATAGTGCTTATAGGAACGGGTGACCGGCTCAAGGAGGCCGCCAAGGGTCTTCGTCGACAAGTCAGCAATCGGCGGAGGATTCCGTACATTGTCACTGGGGCGTGGGTCGAGGACTGCTGGCGCGAGAAAACATTGCTGGACGAGGAGAGATACGGTCGCATATGAGACGGCAAAAAAGAGAAAAAGAAAAACTCCCGCACAATCAAACAAAACGGGATTGACAGTAATCAGCCTTATACCCTGAGTAAAATGTCACTGTATTCAACTCCGGCACCTATTTCCCGTCTATAAATGCTACCAACTGTTGAAGTTTTCGTGACCAGGATGTATCCACACAACAGAAAAATAAACAAGAAGAAAAAAAAGGAAAAGTACCGCTCATTTGCCGATGGTGAGGAACAGGCGGTCGCCGACGTCGCCGAGGCCGGGCTTCAGCATGCCGTTGGGGGTCAGCTCGGCGTCGATGCCGGCGATCCAGATGTCGGTGGCGTCGGCCCACTCGGCGGCGGCGCGGCGGACGCCCTCGGCTGCGCCGATGACGGCGAGGACAAGAATGCGCTTGACGCCCCACTCGCGCAGGGTCTGGATGGCGGCGGCGCAGGTGCCACCAGTGGCAATGACGGGGTCGAGGATGATGGCGAGGTCGCTGGCGCCGGCGTTGGAGCCGTCGGCGACGAGCTGGTTGGGGAGGTTGTTGTAGTACTCGACGGGCTCGAGGGTCGAGGGCTCGCGGTAGAGGCCGAGGTGGTGGACGGGGACGGGGTTCGGGAGAACGGTTTGAACGGCTGGTGTGTGTTAGTCTTGACCTGGTCGGAAGAGAGGGAAAGAGGGGACTGAAGATTGGAAGGACGATGTTACCTTCTACCATGCCGAGGCCGGAGCGGAGGATGGGGACGAGACAGAGGCTGCCGGGAGTGATTTCGGTCGAGATGAATTCGAAGCCTAGCGGTGTAGCGTCCTGATGTTTTTTTCCAGAGTCAGTTATCATGAGCTCTGTCTGTTGTTGTATGGGATCGGACCCGGGGGTTCACTAGTTCGCACCTTAGGACCGTCTGTCGCCTTTGTCGAAGCGGCGAGTGCCTCGTAGGCCACCATCAACGCGATCTCGTTCACCAGCGTCTTGACATACTTGGCAGGCGTAGACTGGGACCGCAGCTGCGAGAGCTTGGCGCGGAGGCACGGGTGCTGAGAGACGTGGACGTTGGGGGGGAGCTGCGGGGTGTTCGTTGAGGAAGCCATGGTTCTGTGGAGATTCCTGGAGAGTATATTACGAACTGAACATGGGGAACTTGTAAACTGAGGGCGGATTAAACACTGGTGGGGAGGAAACCGCAATTAAAGGAAGAAATAGAAGCGGCCCGAGAGGAAGAGAGAGAGATTGGAGAGGTTGGGTAGGACAGGTTGGGGAGAGATAGGTTGGAGGACAAGGGGTCCAACGCCCACGTACGTCCGTCCGTCCTTCCCGCCCGTCCCCCCCTTGTCCTCCTGACCGGCGACGATGGGCACCTGGGAGTGGGGCAGCGTGCGTGCGGAGGAGGAGCTACGATAAGATAAGGCGGGGACGCTTGCCCGCCATCTCATCTGGCATTGGAGGGGTAGTAGGCGATCAGGTAGACTCCGGCCTGCGACGAGCCGTCGGAGATCGCCGCCCTGCAGCTCAGCTTTGGCTTGTTGTTGCTGATAGCTTTCATGCACGGGAGGGAGACGTGGTAAGAGGGAGAGATGGCAATTGACATGTTATCAACCTGTTCCTCTTGAATTATCGTCGTCTATGCCCCTCAACATGATATACCTACCTCCTCCATTTATACACCCCCAGGTACAAGCAGTACGTACCGAGGTAGGTACCCAGGTAGGTAAGGTAGGGTAGATACGTATCCGTACCTGACTGTGGAATGTCACACCTCGGTGTGCTCCGCTTTTATCGGTGAAGAAAAGAGGGGACGCCTTGACCGTTAATCGGAGGAGGGAACGCTGAGATAGCCGAGCCGTGGTTGCCGTTTTCAATTCAATAGGGCCGGGAATGATGTCCATCACATCTACATTCTCGACCTTTTTTTTAACACTGACACCCGCTTCCGGCATTCGCCAAGGATTAAAATCAGACATCAGAACTGTTTTACACGTCAATATGTTGAAAAGCCTGATAAGACGACTACCACCCGGCTAAGGAAAAAAAAAAAAAAAGGTGCAAAAGCCTCGGTCCGACCAGACCCTCGTCAACTAGCTCCCAACCAAAACTGTCGTCATGACATTGCGCCAACTGCGCCTGCCAAATCATCACGACGGAAACCGCAATGCATAACGGCGACCTTCGCGGTCATGACTTCTTCGCGTACACCGGCGAGGGTGACGACCGCTCCAATGACGACGCGCCGCCCGTCGTCGACTTCAGGCGCCGAGGCACATTTGACATGCCTACCGCCCTGAAGCCGCGCGACATGAGCATCGATTCACAACACGCCGGCCCCATCGCGCATGACGTGCCCGAGGGCCAAGAAACTGTCGTAAAAAAAACGGTCGCTGACCCCGTCAGTCACATCTACAGCTCCGGCATCAGCCCCAGCAACAGCCTGACCGCCACAGCACATAGCCCGGAGGAGACGACGCGGATCGGCGAGGGACGGGATCGCGGGCCGTTGGACGACGTTGAGCTGCAGGACGCCCGGCACGACAAGCCCGACGGGACCGCTGTGGCGCCGTCTCGGCGTGCGTCGCTCCTGTCGGCGCTAGAGATCGAGTTGTACACGGTCTCGTACCTCATCTTCTTCGCTGTCCTCGGCACCCTCGCCCGCCTGGGCCTTCAGGCCCTGACCGCCTACCCCGGCGCGCCCGTGTCCTTTGGCGTCCTGTGGGCCAATGTCGGCGGCAGCCTCGTCATGGGGTTCCTGGCCGAGGACCACCTGCTGTTCAGGCCCCAGTGGGCCCCCGACGCCGTCTTTATCGACCCCTCCGCCGCCGCGAGGGCACACCTTGCGGCCAAGAAGACGATCCCGCTGTACATCGGGCTCGCCACTGGCTTCTGCGGCTCCTTCACCTCCTTCTCATCCTTCGTCCGCGACGTCTTCCTCGCCCTGACCAACGACCTCCCCGGCGCGGTCACCGCGCCGCGCGACGGCGGGTACTCCTTCATGGCAGCCCTCGCCGTCGTCCTCACCACCGTGTCCCTCTCCCTCTCGGCTCTGGTCGTCGGTGGCCACCTCGCCGCGGCCCTCGAGCCCGACGGCTCGTCCGCAGCGTATCCCCCCGGTCGTAAGATCCTCGACCGCGGTGCTGTCCTCCTCGGCTGGGGTGCCTGGGCCGGCGCCGTCGTCCTTGCAGTCCTACCCCCGCGGGACGCCTGGCGCGGTCAGGCCGTCTTCTCCCTCGCCTTCGCGCCCGTGGGCTGCCTCGCCCGGTTCTACGTCAGCCGCTGGCTCAACCCGCGGGCGCCGACGTTCCCCCTCGGCACCTTTGCGGTCAACATCGCGGGCGTCGCGGTGCTGGGCATATGCTGGGACCTGGCGCACGCGGGGGTGGGCGGCGTGCTCGGGTGCCAGCTGCTGCAGGGCGTCGAGGATGGCTTCTGTGGGTGTCTGACGACGGTGTCGACGTGGGTCACCGAGTTGACGGCCCTGAGACGGCGGCACGCGTACGTGTACGGCGTGTCGAGTGTGATGGTGGGGTTCGCGGTGTTGGTCGTCGTGATGGGGTCGTTGCGGTGGTCCGAGGGGTTTGGGCCACTGAAGTGTACGCATTGATTGATGTCCGAGATGAGAAGCCTAGTCTTTTGGTTTTTTAGTGATTTTAGCGTCGAGCCAGTCATACCATGATATTTGGTGGACACGTACTTACTTCTAATGGTCGAGAGTCTGACTTCATGATTTTGTGGATGACTTAACCTATGTTGTAACGTCAATCTCTGTTGATATTTTGGCAAACTGACGCTCCTCGTAGCTGTGACGATTTGTTTCTAATCACTATGCTCTCCAAGGAGACTATTGGTAAGGCCCAAGTGAGACTGTAGTAACCCAACCAGCTCCGTGTTTCCTAGCCGCAACGCCAAATCCAAAGGCGTCTCGCCGTTCATCCCCACTGCCCCTGCCGCGGCGCCGTGCTTGAGGAGAAGCCGCACGTCCGGGACCACGTCCGACATCCTGCCAGCTATGCGTTCGCAGAGTGGCGTCTGCCCGCGGGCGTCTCCGAGGTTTGGGTTCGCACCGATCTGAAGAAGACAGTCTATCGCCAAGGAGTTCCCGCAGGACACGGAGCAGAAAAGCGCCGTCTTTCCCGTCTGATCTTGCGCGTCGACCCCGATGCCGAGTTCGCTGAGGGTTCGATAGAACTCCGATGGGTTCCCCTCATGCCCGTCCAATCTCTTTTGGGCCGCATGATGCAGCGCAGTTTTCCCAGTACCGTCCCTATGACTGATATCTGCCCCCTGTCTCATCAAACATTTAGCCATGTAGCTGGATGAGAGAAAATCTGCCCTCATCTCTTCCTTCGACACGTAGGTTTGGGGAAGGAAGAACATGGAAGAGCGACCGATGGCATCAGTTACCCCGATATCAATGTGTTCCAGAAGTTGCTCTACAACCTCTTCCGACGCATTTCCCACTGCCAGAAAAAGGGGATTGTGCTCGGCCTCAGCTGATGCGTGAGGCTTCACCCCGTACTCCAGGAAGCGGTGAACCATCGAATCGTAGCTACCGAGCCGCCGATCACAGCTCCGGACAGCCTCTGTCAACAGCGTACGACCGTCGTGGTCAACCCTGTTTGCATCGACTCCCAGGGTAAACAAAAACAAGATAAAGTCTTGGTTGCCGGACCTCGCTGCGTTCATCAGCGGCGTTCTGCCCGAATCGTCGAGCGCGTCGACGTCCAAGCCAAACTTGACGGCTTCGCGTACGACGTCGAGGTAGAGACGGTCCACGACGGCAGAGTGACACGCCACGTGCAAAAAGGTCTGGCCCAGGTTATCTCTGTGCATGGGATCCAGCCCCTTCTGGAGCAGTCGTGACCCCTTGTCGACCAGATACACACTGTAGCTCTTGATCGGCAGCGCCCAGAGCGCCGTCCGGCCCTCCGTGTCCGTGGCGGAAACGTCTGCGCCTAATTCCAACAGACGATCGAGAATGGGACCGGCGCTCCGTCTCACGGCAGAGAAAAGTGGCGTCTCGCCAATGTTGTCCTTGCAGTTCAGGATGGCGCCGTGTTTGAACAGCATGTCGACCGTCTCCGGGACTTCCCGATTGCGAATCACTTGATCTGGCTCCCGAGGTCGGCTATAACCGTTGCTCTTAAGCTCTGTCGACGTCGCTGGTTTTTCGGCTTCGCAAGCAAGGTGAAGTGGCGATTTGCCATACATGTCAGGAATCCCAACCGCAGCGCCCCTTTCGACCAGCATTCGAGCGGTTTGCAGGTTCTGAAACTGGCAAGCGAGATGCAGCGGTGATCTGCCATCCTCGTCTAGCTTTCCGAGGTCCGTCGATTTCTCGATCACGATTTCGGCGATTCCAGGGACTGGAAGTTGGCATGCAAGATGGAGCGGGGATTTGCCGCGTTCATCCGGCGTCTGGGGATTGACGCCCTCGCCAAGGAGCATTTCAACGATCGCCTGGTTGCCCGCCTGAACAGCAAGATGAAGGGGCGAGATTCCATCCGAGTTGGGTGCTCGTATGTCGGCGCCTTTCTGAACCAGCACTTCCACTGTTGCTTGACTCCCAACCTCGCAGGCAGCATGGAGAGGAGAGTTCTTGTCCTTGTCGAGTGCGTTGACGTCGGCGCCGCTCCCAATCAAAGTCTCGGCCACCGCTGGTGATCCCGGCCAAGTTCGGTTTCCGCAAGCGAGATGGAGAGGCGTTTTGCCGTCGTTGTCGCACGCTTGGACATCGGCGCCTTTTGCTATCAGAACTCTTGCTATCCTCTCCGCGGATGACGGCTGGGGTAGTGCTGAGCTTCCGCTGGCGATATGAAGTGCTGTCGAACCTTTTCTGTCGATGATCTTGATGTCGTCATCCTTCTCGAGCAGCAACTCTGTCAGAGATTCCAGCCCCGAGTGAATAGCGGCATGTAGGACTGTACCAAGGCCTGCAGGACCTGCGTCTGGGTATGTTTTGGCGCCTTTTTTGAATAAAAATGTCGCTATGTCATCCTGCTTATGATTCACTGCCTGCCAAAAGGCCTCGGTAATGAATACAGGGTCACATTGCATTTCTGGCAAAGTCATAGAATCGCCAAGAGCCATAAACGCAGCAGATTTGTAGCTCATGTTTATCCATGATACCTCATGATTGGGATTATAGTGAGATGGCTGCAGCTCCGGATACTTCCCGCTGGGTCGGATGCTGGGGCTCCAGGAGAACAGGAGTTTCACAATATCGCCATGCCCATTGTTACAAGCAAGATTAATCCATGAAAGCAGTGTCTTCGGGTTGAGCTCTCCATCAGTAGCCCCGAATTCAAGGAGGAGTTCGACGGTGCCAGCTAGCCCTTGCGCTGCAGCGAGTGATAAAGGTGTACGTCGTAGCACCTTGTCAGGCTTGTTGATCAAGAATCCAACTCCACGGGCTATTCTTGGGTCGTCTGGTAGTATGCCACCATGAAGGTCTTGATAGCCCTTTAGTGACTGCAGGATTACCCTTGCCACGGCTGCGTTCTTCGTCTTGAGGGCTCTGGAGAGAACGTTGTCATTGGTTGCCAAAGGACCAATTGTTGGATTGATAAACAGCGAAGTAGAGCCAATTATCGTTGTAATCAGTGACGTGTACTTCTGCTCCATGAGAAAGTGAAAGAAGCTCTCTGGCGCCTGGTCTGGAGTTGAGCGGCCGCAAACTATGCCAGGCGAAGGGTAGCTTCGATTTGGATCAAATAAGCGACGGCGGGGACCCCAGGATCCAGGGACGAGGACAGAAAAGTCTTGCAGGAACTCCACCTGCGATATAGAACATGCCGCAGCTTCAGCATGATGCAACACTTGACTTACTGCGTACTCCATGAAAGGAAACTTGTCGCGAACTTCCTTCAGTACCGGCTCAAGAGATTCTCTTGAATCGTGATTTTTCTCGTCTGGGTAATCATTGTTATCGGCTTGAAGGTACGTATGGCAACAATCCTTGAGTCGTTCGTGACTTTTCCCGGCAAAGTCGCTTTCGAGATCTGGCCACAAGGAGCGGATGCCACCATGTTTGAGTAAGAAGTCTTGCACCGATTCGTGGACGAACTGAACAATCGACTTGTCGGATCTGGTTGACGTCCTAGCCAGTCCCCTTGAAGATCTAAGAATGAACAGGTCCATGTCTTCCGTTGTTATCTTGTCGGGATTTCGAGGGCCAGGAACATGAGATTGCAAGCCAGTTGTCATGGCAAAGTAGTACTCTTCCCTTGTGAGCGGCCGACTGCCAAAGAGAAGCCACTGGGTACACAAAAGGAAGTCTTCCATGTTGCCCTTATCTCGCGCCAAGGTATGGTGAAATAACTCGCCAAGTTCAGAAGGTATTTCAATGAGTCTCTCCTTGACTGCGGATATTTGCCCGTGTATATACTCGTTGTTGAGTATATCCACCACTAGCACAACCCACAAGAAGACTCCTGATGCCTTCTGGAGAACTTGGGCTTTGATGTCTTCGCTTTGCTTCTTGTTCCCAGTTTGCAACTTATCCTGGACGTAGAACTCGATGTCTTCTTGGTGGCCCGTCTGCTTCTCCAAGGTAAATCTTTGACAATGCGGTATGTCCATATGGTGATGCCGACTGGAAAAGCATATATAGAACTTGACGTTGCTTTGAAAAGCGCAGTGACCCAATCTCACAAAAAAGTCAAGCATATCCCCGACCTCTTTTTCGTCACACTCATCGGAGGTGTCGACGAAGCAGGTAACCTCCTGTCGGCCCAGCCTTGAAATGGCCTTGAGGAGAAGGCCTTGTAGAGTAGGAACTCTGGATAGGCCACAACTGATGGGGGAAAGAGGTTCATCCGCTATTACATCGTGTAGTGCCACTCGAAGCATTGGCAACTTTAACAACAATTGCTGCACTAGCGACCTGTACATCCCGTCGATGGTCCTTTTCAGGTCATAGCCGCGGTTGTCGAAGAAGAACGAGATGAAGGCAGCTTCGGGCGTAGCATTTTGAGTCGCCTGACTCAAAGCATATTGCATAATTGTCGACTTTCCTGTTCCAGGTTCGCCGCTGATCCATAGAAAGCCGTGGTGGTTGGTCATTTTGTTGGGATCTAGCCAGCACAAATAATCAGGGTGGTCAAGCAGCCAGTGACACGTTTGAGAATGAGCTTCCTTGATGCTCTCATATCGGCTGTCGATTTGCCGGAGTCCCAAGGAATGTATCAACCCATCTCGCCTCAGCGTTAGCGACGTCTCGTCTGGGAACACTTCTACACTTTAGCCATATAGAGCCTAGAGGGGGTGAGAGGGGGATAATGAAGGTGCTGGACTTACCTTGTGCGCTTGGCCACGGTGGGGGCACTAGACCTGGTTGTATTACAGACATTAACTCCTTTGCATAAGCCGCAGCAGTAGCTGCGGCATATTCTTGCCATTGTTTTGCCTCGTGGGAATCTGAATAATTGCAAATGCCCCGGATGGCGAGGCATGGGAAACGTCTCTCCAAGCCAACTGCTTCCGTCTCAAAACACCAAATATCGTAACGCTCTTCTGCCAACCTATCGCGTGTTCGGCCCCGCGTCACAGCCTGGTGCGCAGAGTCTATGGTGCCATAATGTATACGTGGGTTGTTATCGGGCCTCGGGTTCCGGTGGACGAGTTTGGTTGGATCGCAAAGTTCGCAGGTTTCGCCTACATGGTCGTAGGTAGCCGCATATAACCGGTCCTGTTCAATTCCACGATACGTGTAGGCGGACATTGTAGGATTCCGCTGTATCATCTCGGAGAGAATCAAGGGTATCGAACTGGATTGCGATTTGTGATTGTCCCACAGCTTGGTGACTGCCTTATAGATACTCCAAGGGGGGTAGTGTAGGAAATCGGTTACGTGAAATCGGCCAGAGATTCCAATCCTGCCAACGACAACATCGCCGAGCCGCATATCACCTTTGCTGGGGACACCGCCGCCAATCCCAAAAGTCAACCGTATGTAGATAGAAGGGAAGTTCCAATTCATTTTGTTTGCGAAGATAGCAGCCCTAGCCGTGCCGTATTGCCCAGATGGTAGGCAAACAATAACGATATTGTGGCGAGCGATGCTGCCGAAAACATACTAGTTGGTGTCGTTGGGGTTCATCAAAAGGTGTTGGTATTACAGGGATCGCGATTAAGGTAGCCGTAATAGTATTAATTAACTATTAGTAGCTAGGTGAAGATAATAATAAAGGAAAAGAGAAGAGGTTACTGCTGTGGGTATTTGTGGTGGTGTAAGTGAGCTGCTAGGGTGAGTTACGTAATAGTAAATTACGTAACTATAGATTAGCTCTACTATTAAATAGTTAAATATCCTAATACTAGTAACTTTCTAAAGTAAAGGAAAATTACTATAAATAGCCTAGATACTGCCTAGTAGCTAAAAAGCTTAAAAACGTAATAAAAATTAAAAGCCTAAAAGTATTTAATACTTTTTGTTTATATAATCTATTACGTAGCTTAAGAAACCTATCCTTTTATACTAATCTAAACTATCCTATTTCTAACTAGTTATTCTAGCGCCTTATTAGGTAATAATTTAGTAAATCTATTAGTAGGATTATTATTACCTTATATCTATTATACCTTATAGACCTTATGTTACTTATATAACTACTAGAGGGCTATAATATTAATTATAAGCCTTTTCTTTTTTATAGTCCTAAGCTTAATAAGGCACTTATAAAGTAAGTATAAGTTAGTATAAAGGATTATTAGTATATATAGTAGCTTAAGGTAGTTAGTAATTATTATAATAGTTATACTAAGTGTATAAGTAACGTTAGTACTAGTAACTATACTATAAATCTTAAAGGCTAGTATACTTTAGGTAACTTACTTATACTTTATTAAGCTAAAGTAAATAATATTACTAGTTATAGTAAATTTATTACTTATAGTAGTACTTATAGGTGCCTTATTAGTAAGAATAATAATAAATCCTAGCTATAAAGTAAAGTCTTTATTATTTATAAATAATCTATTTATAAAGATAAAAAGCTTTATAAATTTAAAGTTAAGTAAATAAAATAACAGACTATAGTTAAGGTTATTTATTTACTACGTAATATAAT